TTTTTGGTAAAACAAGATAATTTTGAATAAATAAATAAATAAATAATAATAATAATAATAATAATAATAATAATAATAATAATAATAATAATAATAATAATAATAATAATAATAATAATAATAATAATAATAATAATAATAATAATAATAATAATAATAATAATAATAATAATAATAATAATAATAATAATAATAATAATAATAATAATAATAATAATAATAATACTGCATTTTCATAACACATTACATTTGTGGTTAAAAAATATTTTAATTTGTCGATCATTAATATCGCATTTATTTTTTTTTAAATAAAATTTTTAACAAACTTTTATTACTTAAGTTATGATATTATTGTTTTATTAGTATTTTGCTTAACTATTGCTTAATTTTAAATTATCAACAAAAACTAGGCGTCAATAATGAAAAAGATTAATATTGAAAGTATCCGATTAAGTGTAACTCTTAACAAACTTATATGTTTTTAAATACTTTAAATAACAAAATACTTGATATAAGGGATTGTTCACATATTACGTTCGCACTTTTTAAGAAATCTAGACCCCCTTCCTCCCCTATGTTCGCAATTGTTCGCATGTAGTCATTTAAAAAAATACGTTGGCATATCCCTAACCGCTACCCCCACCTAAGAAATAAAATATCTAATTGCGAACGTTCTTAAAGTCTCTACCCCTCCCTCTCTTTCGCAAAAGTTCGCTTTGACTAATCCCCCTCCCATCAAGTGCGAACGTAATATGTGAACCACGCCTAATAGGAATAATATCGCATTAATCTCTCTCTCTTTCTCCCTCTTTCTCTCTCTCTCTCTCTCTCTCTCTCTCTCTCTATCCCCCCATTTTAAYAAAATAGCTAATCATAAAAATCTAACCTTGCTAAATTTAATCTCTTACTRAGCTTTTTTTATTGCTTTTAAACTWTAAAATGCTAATTCAACATTGATAATTAAAACTTGTATAAATAAAAATTTTAACTTATAAATAGACGATTTATAAATATAATGTGTATCAACAAAGTTTGATAATAATGCTAAATCTGTTTGTCTTATTTTATAAATATACCAGATTTAGCAGCAAATCTACTAAAAATCATTTCTATAAGTATTAAGTAATAATCAAAATAAATAAATTTTAGTTGATTTGAATTGTTTGCAATTCATATTTTTTTATCTAAATTGTCTATAAATTATTGAAAAATTTAATAATTTACAAACAACTATTTTAAGCTTACCGGTATAAAAAAATCAATTTACAAATCTACTATTATTATTACTATTATCACATATATATTTTTTATCTCAAAAAATATATTAGAAAAATACATAAGCTAACAATTTTCTTAGTGAAAGTGATTGTAAATATATATATATATATATATCTGTAAAATAAGTTTACTAAAGATAAAATATATGATTAATGTCATTCACAAYAACATTATTGTTAACTGCATTGCTATCTTCGGGTACCTTTAGAGGTGATAGATATTGTAGATATATATRTARAAGAGAGAGAGAGAGAGAGAGAGAGAGAKAGATTCAGGACCTGTTAAGTTGTCTCTGACATCCAGAGTAAAAGTTGTCGGGCACTGCCCTAAAAAGCATGTCAACCTGTCTTACTGATGCCAACCTTTTCTAATGATTAACAATGTTAGTGAACTGCTTTATGTTATGCAATCTCTATTGTGATTATAATTTTGACTTATAAATATACACTAGACTTTTATTATAGATTTATAGGTATATACTTCAAGTATTACATAATATTATATATATATATTTATTTATACCATCCCATCCCTGATTGCTACTTCATAAATATCTGATAATATAATATACTGCATAACTAATCGGTAATTCCCCGTTGAAAGTAATGGCCACAGTTGAAGGTCAGTCGTAGCCTTTTAACTGACACTATCTGATGTGTTTGACCGACACATGTATTGGTTGATATTGTGTTCACTTAACATAATCACAACAATCATTAATAAAAAGATAGTCTATAAAGGATAGGCATATCAATGACTGACTTACAGTACATTTATATCAATTGCTATTTAATACTTTTATTAAATCTCTCTCTCTCTCTCTCTCTCTCTCTCTCTCTCTCTCTCTCTCTCTCTCTCTCTCGGTTACTAACTCACTCACAMATTTAACCATTTTTTWAATATACACAATATTATGCATYAAATGAAAAATCTACTAATATTATTGTATRATATATAAATATTTTGTTTAATACAAATACATGATATAGTTAATAATGTTTATATTCATGTATAGATATTTATAAAAACATACTACAGTATAAATCAATGTAATATACAAAATTATTTTATGATTTGCACTTAAAATGCACAAAAAACCTTATAAAAAATATTTAGTAAATTTTATATAATAATAAATTATAAAATATTAATTGTATTTAAGTAAAAATATACAATATAATGAAATATATTTATTAAAATAATTACAGTAAATATTATTTATCCTTGAATGAATGGTATAAAATTTTCTATAAATATGTTTATAAAAAATTATTATGTATACTTTTATTATTATTTATGAAAAATATTAATTAAAAATTTTTAATAATAAGTAACAAAAATAAGCTATTATAATTATTATGTTAATTTATTAATATGATTATCTTGTCAATATTATGTTAAAATGTAATGACAACTATAGCGATATATTTAAAAATATTTAAAAAATACACTTATATTTTAAAATATGACTAATTATTATTGGCAATAATCTTAATGGATATTAATAATGTAATAATAAAAAAATATTATAAAATCTATAGTTTGTAAAAAACAAAATCTTTTACGATAAATAACATTATTTTAAAAAATATCAAATGACTTTATGCACTAAAAATTTACTTGCTGACTTAAATTATAATAAACAATATAATTGATTGGTTTTTACAATAATATGATATATTTAGTTACATCTTATTATTTTTAAAAAATAACTTATTTTCAAATTTTTCCATAAAAACAAAATATTATTTTTATTATACATAAACTTTATTATCATTAAATAATATCTTATTTAATAAGTTTGTATGAATTTCTTTGTAAAATAAATTTCTTTTACATCATATAATTTATAGTATGTTTACCAATGTATCAAAAAATTCTTATTAGAAATACATTTACATTACTATTAGAGATCTAACATTTGCTATTAAAATATAGAGTACATGTACTACAGGTTTTCTATAATAGTTTAGTAAATACTGATGTATTAATTTAATTTAATTTTTGTTTATTACTATAATTAATAATATGTTTATTTGTTTTTTATTAATATTTTTATTAACCTTAATTAATTTTGTGTGATGTAAATGTTTTATAAATAATAAGAAATAAATTTGATTCATTTGTTTAAAACTTTCCAATAATTTCAATTATTTTAATGTCGTATTAGATAATTACATCGTTAAATAATTTGATATATTGTTTATCAAATATTATTAATAATAAAAAAATAAATTTTTCAAATTAAATTTAATTATGTTTAACACCATTGAAATTCATAACATTTGAATTTTGTTTAATAGATAAAGCGTTAATTATAATCTTAAGTCTAATTTAACAATAAAAAACAAATATTAATAGATAGTTCAAAATAAAAATTGATATAAAATTCACTTTAAATATTTTATGTTATAAAGATGACCTCAACATTATTGTACATATTTATCATAACCAATAATAAATAGTTAGTTAATAGTCATGAGTCCTAATCTATCTCAAAACTCATTTAGTTATAACTGGGGGACTGGTCCTCAACCTCACTGGCCTTCAACTAGTGAACCACTCATGAAAAAAACATTAATAACTTAAAATATTTTGTTTTTTATATAAGCATTCAAATTGAACATAAGTATTTTATAATATATATGATATATAATATCTATGTATGAGTTAGTGAATATAAATTAAGATCATCATTAATATAAGGGTTAAAAAACTATACGGTTGATTATATTTATCAATATTATGTAACAAAGAGATTTTAACTTTTTCATTTTTTTAATGAACTGAACTAGGTAAGAAAACTTGTTTAATTAAATTTATTTATTTATTATTTAATAGTATTGTTGTTACTCTTATAAATTATAAGTTATAATYGATGATAATCATGAATTGATGTWTAAATTGATTATTTAACCTTAACATTTTTTTAAAACAATGTCACAAAATTTGCTTAAATTTAATTTTATCATTTTTCTTAAAAACAATAAAATATAAATGTTTTCTAATAAATAAATGCCTACAAATATATATACTAATAATAATAATAAATAAATACATTAGATAAGTTGAAGTAAACAGGTTCAATAATATAATCAATATTTCATTATTATTTTCTAAAAATATGAATCAATAGATTAGTTAGTTATAAAAATAGTAATTTTTTATATAATAATTGATAATAATTATATGGTTTGGAATGCAATATGTTATCTATAAAATTTTTAATATATATTTTTAAATAATCAAAACATTTTATCCTTCAAAACGGAAAGTCTTTATTGTAAATATAATAATAAAATAATAAAMTAAATARAAATATCAATATTATAGAGTTATAGAAAAATTCAGTCAAAACTGGTTGATATTCAAAAATATACTTTTATACATTAGCATTGATTTTAATGTGAAAATTTAAATTGCCTGATTTTTTTTATTTCTAATTATAATTGAAATATTAATATCAGTATTATTAATAACCTAAAATATWTATATACCTGTGAATGTCAACAATATTTGATTTATTTAAAAAATAGACAATAAAATAACAAATAAATGCCTATTATAAAAAAAATTTATAACTCATTAATAATAATCCCACAAAACTACAACTACTTCTATCACCACATAAATATTTAATAATATTAAATATATGCTCAATCATTACCTGTTCCCCAGAAAATATTATATAATAATAAATATTTTTTAAAAAATTAAAAAAATTAATCCAATAAATATTGATTAATAGAGACAGCAATTTGATTGAACACAATATTCATGTCGTTATCAGAGTCACCTCTAACTGTCTTAAAGTTTAGTTTGTCTTCCAATCCCTAATACAACAAAAAATAATAGCAAATAAAACAAACATTAATTTTATAAGTATAGTCAATAAAAATATTATTTTTTTAATAATGTGATTACCTTTTCGGGCAAGAAGTATGAGTCCCAAATCTTATCAGTTGTATTGATCATATCGTCATCAAAAGTATTGGCCACGGCTTTAATAACCAGTAATTTGCCGCTCATTTCAAGATATTTTTTGCCAATATTTAGTTTGATTTGTTTGAATTTGTTTTTCATTTTTAGTCGATAATTGCCAAAAAGTTTAGCCCTTTTGAACGACTGGTTCAATATGTCATCAAAGTCTCGGCCAACAAACCCTTTGCCGACAAACTCTTTAATATCTGCACTAATTTTACTGAGCTTTGAGTTGATATCAGGTTTAAGTTTAAGTTCGCGAACGAGCTTTTCGTTAATAACTTTAGGCAAGTCTTTGCATATAAATTTGATTAGCATTTCAATGATGGCCTCATCGCTAATCATGTCTTCGTCGACTTCCATATCAGAAATAGTATCAATAATAACGGCCCGACGTATCGGCGATTTCCTTAACATTTTGGCAACAAGTAGTGCACCGTAAAAGTGGCCAACAATGTCAAAGTTGCCTTTCGGGTGGAGTGTCTTCAATAGTTTTGTATAATAATTGGCGATCTCTTTCACATCATCTATTTTTTCCATATCTTTAGTCCAATTCAATCCAATTACCGGTCGATTGATTTGTTCTGCCAATCCTACGAGTGAAGAAAATATACCCTCGAGTGGGGGCAAGAAATATACGGGATTACCGGTGCGCACACTGTTTAACGGTGTGTAGGCATCGGAAGGAATAATAAACTTGATTTTTGCCAACTTTTCTCTGGCATTGTGTAACTCTTCGGCAAATTTCTTGAATTGATCCACTCTTCCGGTTTCAAATTCTTTGATGTGTCGGACTGTTATTGATTTGATGTCATTCATAGTCAACTTTATTTTGTAATCTCTTTCTAATCCCTGTTGTAACTCAACGGCAAACATAGACTCCATACCGATCTCACCCAAAGTCAAGTGATCGGGTGTAGTGCGCGGATCGATACCCAATGCCTGCCATATCTGGTTAACAATCTTTGACTCTCGACTGCCTTGTTGTGTAACACGTTTAGCCCTAACCTAATATATTTATAATTTGAATTATAAACATTAAATCATTTGATATAATATAAAATATTCAATTTATTATAYATATATATGTAATATATCATATAAACTTTTATGTTGCATTCGTATAATACTACTGTATATTAAAATGTAAATTTCGACATAAATATAAATAATTCATTTTTAAACATTTTCTCTATAATATTTTACATACTAATCTAATTTAAAATTATAATAAGCTATTAAATACAAGTTATTTGATAATTAATTACAAATAAATTTTTTGATGTATAATTAATAGAGTAATTAAAGTTAATTAATTTTGGATGCGAAACAAACTTCATTAATGATATAGTGTTTTTTAAATACACTACACTTGCAATAATTATACAGTATTTATGATATCATAGATACTGTACTTAAAATATGCATAACTGTAAACAGTTATGAATACATTTTTATGAATATCAGAAAATAAAAAAATTGTTACAAAAATTAATACTTTTGTGAATAGCGGTAATGATTTAAAATTAATATCATATGATATGTTATATTACGGTATGTCATGTCTAACACTTACGACACACGAGATTACGGCTTGTGGTGTTTGAAGCAATTTATCAAAGATTTCCAGACATGAATTGATCCGCTGTTTGACGATTCCCGACAACGAACTCATCTCAGTGTCAGACAGCACACCGACATCACCAATAGGTCCCCATTGAATGGCCAAACCGTGCAGTCCATCATTACGTCGGGACTCACATATGCGTTCACATACAGAGTTGGCGTATCCATAGTTGGATTGTCCGGCATTTCCTTTACCACAAGCGACGGATGAGAAGACAACAAAATAATCTAAATCTATACTCATTTGACGTGTTATGCGATCCAAGTTTTCAAAGGTCTTTGCTTTCGAGTCAATAGTTTCACAAAAACCATCAATAGTTTGCTTTTCTAAAAGACAATCATTGAGTACAAGAGCCAAATGAAAGACACCACCGATTGGACCCAATTTGTGTGCTTCACTTAGTAATTGTTTAGTGCCTTCAGTGGTATTGGTGTCATGAGTTGACACAATAACCTTTGTATTAAAAAACTTAAATCTATTTCCCAAAGCCTTCACTCTTTCCAAAAGAAATTTCTGATAATCAGATTTAATACCCTTTCTAGAGGTCAATACAAGTCTTCGTGCGCCCATAAATAACATCCAATGCATTAATTCCATACCAAATCCTCCCAAACCTCCTGTTATAATATAAGTCTTGTTGGGATCAAAGTAAGTCTTAGTCATTACTGTCATTTCATTTGCGGGTTTGATATCAAGTAATTGACTTTTAATGGTTTCTTCATCTCTGATTTTAACGATAATCTTTCCAATATGTTTACCGGTTGTCATATAACGGAAAGCCTTATCAGCGTCTTCTGCCTTAAATACAGTCCTATTAATTGGTTTAATTAAACCGTTGGTACAGTTTTCGTTCATCCATTTGAAAAAATTTTGACCAAAATCTTGAGTCAAATACAGTTTACGATCAGCGGAAACAGCGATGAAAGAGAGGTCTTTAAGAAATGAAAACATTCCCATTTGTTTGTTCATTTGTAAGTCATATTTGCCGATCTCAACAAAGCGACCGCAATCGGCAACACATTCATAACTGGCCTCAAGTTTTTCACCGGTCAAAGAGTTAAGTACCAAATCGACTCCCTTTCCATCAGTCAATTCCTTAATTTTATATTTAAACTGAATATCACGTGAACTGAATATTCTGTTTTCTGGTATATTGTATTCATTCATTAAAAATTGTTTCTTATCTTCCGTACCAACAGTTACATAGAGATCGCAGTTATACTTTTGGCACACATTGATGGCCGCCTGTCCCACACCMCCGGCTGCCGAGTGAATCAAAACACTTTCATCTATAAGAAATTAAAAGTAATATTTAAAAAATGATCAGGGTATGTATATTAATTTTAATTTACTTTTTTTTAGTTGTCCTCTTTCTAATAGCCCATACCATACAGTACTATATGTACTCAATATAGTGATAGCGTCATCCATAGACCAGTTATCTGGTATTGGAGATATCAGATTTTCATTGGCGTCAATAGTTGTACCAAAACAGCGACTCATATTGAAACCACAGACACGCTCTCCAGTATCACTGCGACGACCGGCGAACTCAAAGCCCAGCAAACAATCAGTGAATAGAGTTTCCGGACCAGAAATAAGTCGACCTTAAAATTATATAATTTTAATTTATTATTCATTATATTTATTGTATTATATTTATACGAACCCGTGGCTAACATGACATCCCTGAAGTTAAGTCCACTACTATAGACATGACATCTTATTTGATGTTTGTGAACATTACATAAATCGTAAAATTCATCGGTTGTGACGATATGTCGTGAATCATACCATTGAAGATGAGATAAGTCTCTGTTTAGACCGACATTCAAGAAGTACTCATTTGACGGGATTTTGTCATAATTTTTGGGTAAAGTTATGTGTCTGTAAGTACCGACTAATCTTTCATTTATTACATTTATTGCCAAATCATTGTTCAAAATGTCTGAATATGGCTTTTCTGTAAATTTAATCGAAGATTTGTTTGAATTGCAATCAAAAAGACAACGAAGACTATCGCCTCCCGGTTCCAGACGAAGACAATTGATTAGACCAACGATACCATTATGTTGTGAGTCATTAGCAATGAGCCAAATGTTATCTTTTGTGTCAATATTTTCTGTAACTCTTGTTTTCAATGTCTCAAACCACGACATATCGCTTGCATTGATTTCAATGATATTGTGTTTTTCCGGAACCGTTGGTTTGGTTTCAATCTTTCTAAAGAGTACAGCCATTGAATTAATTGAATCATATTTTCTACCGATTTCTTTGAAACCCATTTGAATGGCAGTTGTGGTGAAGTCATTGATTCTCTTCTCTAACTCAATGTTTTTCATATTTTTGCGTCCATTCATTGAATTCAACAGTAGTTCCGGTTCAGTGTATTTGTACTTAAAAACTGATAACAAGAATCCTTTGGAAACAATTGCATCGTAAGCTTCTTGAAGATAAACATCAAGTTTGACATCTTTTAAGTCTTGTGTGTCTTTCATTACAATGAGTTCGAGTTGTGATATATCTGATGGAAATGCCGAAGACTTATAGTCCCATTCAGTCAATTTAAACGACTTATTCTTGTATTCATCATTTATATTATCAATACATTTGGTAGCAATAGTATAGTTGACATCAATTGGATAAATAGCTGCGTGAGCCAAGTGATTGTCAATTTCTTGAGCCATTAAAGCGTTGGTCACATTAATCTCTAAAACTTTAATTTCTTTTTTCGGCACATAATTCTCGCTCACAATATCGAGAAGTGTACGAATCAGGTGTTCATTAGTGGACACCTGATTAATGACATCCATATTCATATCAAACTCGGGTTGCATTTGAAGATCAGTTAACATTTTACTAATTGAATTTGAATCAAAATTTCTATTATCATCTTTCATTGTTGCGGACAATTTGTCTAAAATCTTTAACATTATCTCATTGTTGTTAATATTATTTAATTTTTTATCCAAATTATCATAATAGATGTCATCATCAATCTCTGTCCACAAGGATTCTGGACTCTCTAATATCTTACATGCTTTGGATGCAAGTGTTGAGCATATCTATGATAAGCAAAGATAAGTTACAAAATTATGAATTTATCAAATGATTTACCGATTAATAAATATACAAAACCTTTATATAATTTAATAGGTATTCTCTATCGCATCGATCGATACAATTTAGATCTTCATTTGCAACGAATTGATATGATTCCAGTTTCAAGTCTTGTACGTTTGTCCTCCGAGGTATAGGCAATGCCATAATGTCTTCGACTTCTATACCATTGGTAACAATCATACGAGAGTTCATATTTCCATAAACAGGTAATAATGATTTATAAATGTGAAATCTGGTGCCAATCACTTTCTCCATATATAACTTGTTATCCAATTCAAGAATATCTCCCAAATCTTTCTCAACGTCTTTACTTTGAGTCTCTTTTTCCATAACTCTGTTAATAGTCTCTTCTTCGTCAAACTCTTTGCCATCATTTTCAACCACTTTGTTAGCCATTATCGCTTCGTATAGGGCTTTCGGATCGCAACGTAAACGTTTTATCATAACGGGAACCATTAGCTTACGGAATGGCATGGCTACGGCCATGGTTTGCAAAACAGAGTCCATAAATGTAACCCAATTACCATTCCATTCTACCTGTCCTTTAATTGTAGTAAAGTTATCTGTTTTAACGTTATGAAGACCACGAAAGAATGGTCCGTAATCATAGCCAACAGATCGTAAATCTTTATAGATATCATCGGTTGTTAGAGTGACCTCACTTTCCGATGGTTTCTCACTTTGAATGTCATGTATGATATGTTGAACACACAGAAAGTCTTCATCCGGACAGAAGATTTTTCCCAAACAACAGGTGTTGTTATTTTCTTCAACAACAAAATCGCCTGAAATATAAGTACAGTATTTATCAGTAATTTTATTTTATGACAAAACATTAAAATTTATTTTTAATTACCTGTACTTTCGTGTATTTTGACTTTAAGTTTTGTGATTTCTGTATCCGATAAAAACACTGGACGCCTAAACTGTATGTCTTCAAACACAACTGGAATCTGATTCCATATCCGACCCTTTTTAGCGGCCAAATGTCGCCATACAAGCATCAGATAACCGGTTCCGGGGAATAGTATGTTACCGTCAATCGAGTGATCGGGTAAATAGACTTTGTATTGGCGCTGAAGATTGATTGTCTCATTCATGTCAGATGATGTACCTTTAAAGTAAAAATCAGGATATTTGCGCACAAAATAATTTTTATTGTGATCCCAACACATCAGCGAACTGATTGATTGTGTATTTCTAGCCACTGGCCACTCAACTTTAGGGTATAGATTTTCAATGGACGGATTGATTCCCAGTTCATACAATTTGGCCAAACCTGACATAAAATTGTCTAAATTGGTGTCATTGGAGTCACGCTTAATGAGTGACAAATAAGTGGACGACTCGAGAGTTGAGGTTATTGTTTTAGCGAAAAGACCGTGCGGTCCGATCTCAACCACAATAGCGTTATCGGGAATAGTCTGTAGCTTATTGTAGAAATATACGGGACTAATGAGGTTATGAACGAAATATTCTGCCGACGCATACTTCAAATCTTCATTTCTTAAATCAGACTCAAGAATTGCCGTTGAAATCCATTTTTTAGATCTTGATTTAGGATTTGGAACCCATTTCTTGATTTCGTCGGTCATCTTCTTTGCCGATGACATCAGATATGTACTGTGATATGGGATGTCATGACTCTCTAATATACGAACAAACAGTCCTTTCTTTTTCAACGATTCAATCAGTTCTTTCATTTCATTATATAGACCTTAAAAATAATAGTTATATTTAATTAATAATTCATTACTAATTATAATAATATTATAATACCCGAAAAAACGACCGTATCTTTTGAGTTATTGCAGACAACGTAAATATTTTTCGGACATAATTTCTTGGCTTCACTCCATGAGATGCCTACCACAGCCATCARACCTTTTGGTATTTTCTTATCATTTTCAGTAATGGATCCTCTAATGTATGTTATGAACAGTGCCTCTGAAGTAGATAGACAGCCATCAGCGTARGCACAGGCAATCTCACCAAATGAGTGACCAATTATGCCGTCCGGTATTATATTAAGTGATTTCATCAGATCTGTTAATGCAATCTCCAGAGCAGTAGTCGAACAAAACTTTTTGGTCATCGATGACATGGAGTTCTTGTCATCAGATAATAGCAAATGTTTTAAGTCTATTCCAAATTGTTTGAGTATTTCATGGCATTCCTCTATTTTATCGGCAAATATCTTAATCGGCATCAATGCCTTAGCCATACCAACCCATTGTCCACCCAAACCGGGATATAAAAACCAAACCGGTCTAACATTTTTATCGACTAAAATTGCAGACTGTTTTTGATATTTGTATTCAATATCGTTGTTCTCATTTGTGATTTGCTTTATTATCATTGAACCTAATTTTTTTTATTAATACAAATTAATTTATTAAATATTTATAATTATTAACATAATATAATTAATACCTCGATGTGGAAGACCTGATGAATTAATGAACGGCTGGTTCTTCATAGTGTCGCTCAAAAGCGCCAGAAAATCGCGGGTAATCTTCTTCGGATTGTTCTGAATGTAATCAAACATTTGATTTAATGCCGATTCAGTTCTGCAGCAAATATTGATAATTCTGGGAATAGTATCAGCAATATTGAGCTGGTAGTCATCGACCACTTTATAGTTGGGCTCAAGTAATACGTGTGCGTTAACACCGCCGACACCGAAGTTATTGACACCAGCGATACCTAAATTTAATAAATAATAAACATGTAAACTATTAAAATATTACGGCTAAAAAAATAATCCAAACCTGGATTATATTTTAAATTTTCTTGAATGGGAACCAATGGCGGACACATATCAGCGATGGAAGTCTTGATATTTTTAAGATGAAGATTACGAGGTATGCATTCATTTTCATATGACATCAGAACTTTGATCACCGATGATATACCCGATGCACTCTCTGTGTGTCCTATATTACTCTTTAATAGACCAATGGGTAGAGTTCCCGAACGGTTCGGTAGTTTACAGTAAGCATTGTATATGGCTTTCGCCTCTTGAGGATCGCCAGCCTTTTATAATTTGTTTTTATTTGTTATAAATTATTGTTAGATTAGTCATTGTCTTATAGATTCTATACCTTAGTTCCTGTGGCGTGAGCTTCAAAATAATTGACATCCAGTGGATCCACATTAACTTCTTTGTAAACTTTAATCATTAGATCTTCCTGTCCTTCAGAAGAAGGGAAAAACATTCCCATAGTTTTGTTGCCATCAATGTTGACACCACTGTTCAATACTGTGGCATAAATACGCTTTGAATTACTCTTTCTTTGGAGGAAAAGACAAGCGACTGTCTCTCCCCTAACAAATCCATCGGCAGATTCATCCCATACTTTAGGAATGCCATCCAAACAATTTAATCGTGTAGTTTGGAAAACATGATTAGTGAAGGGCTGAAGATTTAGCTGTGAGCCACCGACTATTGCCTGATCACACTTTCCTATAAATTACAATCAAATTATAGTATAAAAAGTTATAAAATTTAATTGTTATTTTATACCTAATCGAAGATCATTGATGGCCAGATTGAATGCCACTAAACTGGAGGAACAGGCCGTATCGGTCACTAATGACGGACCCTTAAAGTCAAACACAAATGATATGCGATTGGCATACAAGCACTTGGAGTTTCCCGGAATCCATAGCAATGTTTCGGTTAATGAATTTTGTGAGTCTGGCTGTACCTCTTCTGGTATGCCCTCAGGCATTGCAAAAGTTGTGTAACCGATATAAACACCTGTATTTGATCCGCGAAGTGACTGTGGATTTATTCCTGTTTATAAATTTAATATTAATAAAATATTAATAATATATTTTTTAATTTATGATATACCAGAGTCAACGATGGCCTCATAAGTAGTCTCCAAAAGTATTCTCGACTGCGGGTCAACGGTGTCACCCATTGTAGGCATAATACCAAAGAAATTGCCGTCAAATTTGTCGATTTCTTTTATTTTTGCCATTTTAAAATTCATACCATATAAATCTTTTTTAAAAAAAATAATATCAGTCATTATTATTATTATATATATTATATATACAAAATTAAATAAAAAATATTAAAATTAATATACAATAATTAATAAATTAATGTTAATATGGTATATACAATTTTATTATAAAAAATATATAAATATTATTGTTTAGATTGTTATGGTATTAAATAAAGACCTGTAGGCCAACGGTCATCATCGGCGGTAATCATATCGACTCCATTGTATAGGTTATGAGCGAATTCATCGGTGGAGTCGGACTTCGGGAATCGGCCACTCATACCACTGATGACAATGTCTTCGTCCATAATTTTCGGTAATGTCTTTGTTTTCGACATTTTTAAATATCTATTTAATTGTAAATTTAAACAAATATAAAACTATATATTTTTCACTTCAGAATCAAATATAAAATAATTAAAACTTAATATAAAATCTATACAGTTTATTAACTTTTTAAAACTTTAAAATTTTAATCTCAAATAACTACTGTTAAATAAGTAATCTACTTTTTATATATAACACCTATTTATGTTATTTCTTTCAAATTAAAAGTGAAAATTTATTTTGAAAAATTAAATAATATACAACTTTAGTCATTGAAATCAATATATTCAATAGATTATGTATTTACCAAAAAAGATTTGCTTAATATAATTACTTATTGATAGATAACAAATATATATGTAATGTATAACATATAATAACTACAGTATAATATATATATTAAAAATCTTGACAACAATTTCACAAACAATCATTTGTTTGTGACCGTCATGTTTGTCATCTGAAAAATAAATGCCCTCAAGATCTGGTCCTATGATATTCAGTACTCAATATTTGAAAAAGATATACATTGTGTATAAATCTGTAAAATCTATGTGTATATGTGTTTTTGACCAATGGTATCAAAATTGTAATTGCTCAATTATCGTTTAGAAAATTTGGGGGTTTAATTTTTTTTATATAACTAAAGTAAAAATAAATTATCCCTCTTACTTTAAAACATCACATATTTGTGATGATAATAAATAATGAACTAAATATATATTTAAATGGGTCACACGTATCAAATGCTAGATTTTTTTTTGGGAATATATTTATTGGAATTCTGGCTAAAAAATTAAAAAGAAAGACTGTCTGGATGTCTACAGATATACTAATTTTTCATTAAAAAAAATATATTTTTAATATATATTATATATAAACTATAGTTATTGTCCTTGAATTAAGTTCAGGTTATGCACTTTTTTTATTTATTATTAAAAGTTTCACATCATTTTTTTATAATGTAAAAGATAATGTGCTTTATGTGAATATATATACTGTATATATATTTTTTGAGATAACATTTTATTTATTACATGCGTTTATTGAATACTAAGTATCAATAGTAATAGTAATACACTTAAGGAGACCTTCCATTAAAAAAAATAAAATGGTCAGAGACTAGAGTTGACAAAATAGATAAATTTCTAGAAAGTTTCTAAAAGAAATTTCTGTCTATGGGATCCCCATATTAATTTTGTTCTCTCTTAACAATACATTATATTTACAAATAATAACTAAATATTTTTATTAGTATTTTAATTAATATTTAAATTATATAAATTAATTTATTTAATTATATTAAACTCAAAATATAATTGAATTATGAATAAAATGTTATAAAAACTATAATTAGACAAATGCTGTATATTAGTTATATATATATATATATATATATATATATATATATATATATATAGAGAGAGAGAGAGAGAGAGAGAGAGAGAGAGATCACATTTGTATAGTAGTCTAGTATACTGTATTGTAAAGCTTTATTATGAGTTATTAATATAATATTACAATAGCTATAGACATGGAAATCCCATAGTATTATATTAAAGTAAAATTTTTATAGAAATTTACTAGAAATGTTCTCAGGGTTTATTAGAAATCTCTATTTGCCCATCACTTTCAGAGAGTAATGACATGTAATTAGATGAATACATAAATTTTAATTAGAGATTATACACTAAATAAATTTGTATCATTTATTCTTCAACAAACAATTGCTATTTTAAAAAATTAATTATGATTTTTGTTAATATCTTTTTAACTATTAATATTTTTTATTATAATACAATGATTTATTGTAATATATRTTAAATTAACATTTTTGTCAACTGTTGATTATMTATAGTGTTTYAATAGTTGAAACATAATTTCCATAACTTTTACTTTAATAMTAATTTTTATTTTAAATGTTGTAGAGTAATGTTTAATAATTAATTTATGGTTTATTTAATTAATTTTATATTTAATCATTAATTTATAATATYWATGTTAAATTTAGGTTTATTAATTGTTTAATTAACACTGAAATTATGTAAATTAAAAATATAATATATTAGTTTAACTTCAAAATTATAACTTAAAAATATACAATTTCTTAGGTAATAAAAATGATAATTTTTTAGTCACACCTAAAATAAATAATTTAATTTTAGATTTAAACTAACGGTTCCCTTTCCAGTGGTGAATCATCAATGATATGTTGATATCATTGATAAATTTTACCAATTGTTAGCACACTTTTAACAAACTCAATCATTTTCATTACAACACTACATACCTGTGTTTCGTTTGGCAATTCAGTCTTTATTTGCCTACCTTTCCAACAGTCCAACAATATTGAGTACAAGTAAGCGATATCTATATGAAAACTCAGTTCAATATCCCGATCGGTATACTTATTCCATACGTAACGTCCGGCAGTACTCATGTGACTCAAACCAAAATCAGTCCATTTGGCCACCAAATCGTTATTCTCGTAAAATATCAACAGATTTCCCAAATGAATGTCGCCGTGAAATATACGGCTGTCGTGAAGATACTTCAGACCTAATAGTATATCAATAAAAATTAATTACCGGTAATAATGATAATAATACTAATTATTAAACTAAAATCATAACAATTAAGTTAACAGTGAATACAAAACTCTAATACACTCACCCATATTGATGGTCATCTTAATGGGACATATATTTAGATGGTTGGCAAAAGTCATGATAAACTTATCCATTTCGTAGGCCTCGCGCTTCTTCAGGTTAGAGTTCTGAGAAAAAAGATCAGCGGTTCCGACAGCGACTCATTGAAGTCGACAAACKTAACGGCAAATAGTTTCAAGTTTTTTGTGTCCTTCAATTTCTTCGATCTCTTTCGACATTTGACTAATTAATTAACAAATAAAAATTATACCAATAAGTGAATTGTTAATTGTAATGTGATTTGTGGGCTTAAATCTATATTATAGTCAGCGAGTAAAAAAGTATTGTTTTTTATGCATTTATACATACAGTATATAAAATGTTAATTTTATTACTTAATTATTATTTAGTTACGGTTAGTTTGTGGTTAGTTTGTGGTTAGTTTGTATATAAAATGTTAGTTTGTATTAGTTTGTGGTTAATTATTATTTAGTGTGTGGTTAGTGTGTGGTTAGTGTGAGGCTAGAAAGAGGTTGTATGGGTGGGTGGGGGTGGGTTTGTGGCAAATAATTTTCTACTGGATGTCTATATAATAGATTTGTTCCTTCGGATAGTCAATAATAAAGTCGAGTTCATCCAGAGCTTTGAGATCCTGTTCGATGTTCATTGAATGTCCACTTTCGCCCATTTCTACCCGTTTGTACAGCTGTTCTAATGGATCCCATTTAGGCGACTGTGGACGGGATAGGGTGTGACTCGTGGCCAACACATTCATTTCATAGCTCGGGTCGTCGTCCGTAGATCTGTCAGATTATCGACCAAAAGGATTACAACAACTTTTTTTGTCATTCCTCCGCTCAGTAATTGTTTTTTAATTTTTTATAAATTAAAAAAATATGTTAATTATATAAATTGTTAATTTGTAAAATTTATAAAAAAAATTAGTGCATTAATTAAATTTCATAATCTACTGTATCAGGTTAATTAAATTATATTTAGGAAAAGTAGYCAATAATAATGTTATACAATTTGATTGACTGTATAAATGTTATTTAATTATGTTATTTATTAATTGCAGAAAAATAATACATTATTATTATTAGACTATATATCAGAGTTTATAAATTAAGTAAAAATTAGTGACTCTTTTGATAAAATCTTCAATAATTGACAAACACTAGTCGGTCATGAGTGTGGTTATCGGTCATCAATTGATCGATCAGTGGCCACAATATTATTGCCGACATAATAGTTTGACATCGATTTGATTGATTTATTTTCATCCAATGATAWATTAAATTATGACATGAATCATATGACAGAATAAATAATTTACAAAAAAAAATATTGAAAATTGTTTCAAATTTAATAATATTTTCATAAACTTTAGTGATATAAAAGTAATTTTGAAAAAATAATTTATTTATATATATATAAAGTTCATGTCATCACTAAGTGAACTGATAGTTTCGGACAACGGATGTGTTTTATTTATTTTAATTTTCGACAACATCTTTAAACTCGGATCAGTCAATGGTTTAAACCGAATCTTTTCGAATCTATTTAATGCCTTTTTCTCGAATTGTTTGCCGACTTTGCTAACAATTGTTGGCATTTTAGACATCGTATGTCTTTGTTTAGTCATCTTATGTCTTGTGATCAACACTTTTGGTCGATCTTTTTGTGTGTTTTTCATTTCAATTTTTATGTGTTTTTCTTTTAAATTAATTACTGAATCGTTAACWTCATGGTTAACAGTGATGACCGACAATAGTGTTGGCATAGCTTCGGTTGATGTACTGTACTCTATGGTGTCGTCCGATTCATATTCAATATTAACTTTTGGTTTATTTTCTTTAGCACTCTGTATGTACTGTGTGTTAAATAGCATACAATGTATTAATATAGTAATATAGATAAAAAACATTTTATACAAATAATAATACTAATATAAATCATGTAAAAAATAAAATATGTAATAACTTAATATTGTATTAAAAAAATATAATTTTCTATATTGTATTTGACTACAATAAATACGATATACATAACATACATGTTTTATCAATAGTTTGTTATTATTAATTTATATATTTAAAATTTAATAATATTACATAAATCAAGTTTTTACCATATTTGTTTTTTCTGAAAAAATATGGATATTTTCAATAAATTTATTAATAGATTTCAAATATTTAAAAAAATATAATGTAAATTTTACAGTACATATGTATTAATAGATATGTACTGTATATATTAGACTTTACACAGTATGTTTTATATGTTTATTTGGTAAATATTTTATACCATTATATATATTATATATATTATAATTAATAATTATTAAATATTATTATTTTTATTAACTTATAACTAGTATAACTACTATATATATTATTGAAACTATTTTGTTTTTGTTGTATAAATTGCATATAGTTTTTATTATTTGTATTTATTATTTGATTAAATGTATAAAATAAATACATTATGATTTATATTAATACAAAAATATAATTACAAAATTATATATATATTAATTAATTATATCATGCATTGTCTAAAAAATTAAAAAATGCTTAAATATTTAATATGACAATACTTTAAAAATATGTAATTAAAATAGTTTTCTAGATATGAATGGTATGCCAAACGAGAAAGTTTGCCACAAACACAATAGAAACAGTACACCAAACAATTTATTTAGATAGTATAGCTTATTAAGATTATGCCGGGCCTCGGGTAGTGTACTGTTATCCTCTTTTAGTATATATTGACGAGTGCCCAACACATAGTCACCCCAATAGGTCGACCAATTGACTGCACGGACATCAAAATGAAATATCTAATCATAAAATATTGAAATAAAATAYATTTAGACATTTGATAAATAGACAGATCAGTGATATGTTAAAACTAGTCATACCTGACGATCAATACCCTTAAGCTGGTCGATGAGCATCAGTATGTTATTGTTGGTAAAGTTCCACTCATGAGTTGTGAACCATTCGAGAGCTCTAACCGAACGGTGCAGACGCTCATAGATGCGAACCATAATACGTTTGCGACCGAATAGTGCCATCAGTCCATCAAATAGATGAGCGGGTATTATGTGGTCAAACAATTCACACATTTTATTCATAAACTGTGACTCTTTCAGATGTAAACTTGGGTATCGGTAAAGTTGGCCACTCGGGTATTCAAACAAATAACTAATAAAACCGTTGAGTTGACCCCATATAAACTTATTTAGAGAACCGGACGTACAGTTGTACACAAGTACACCGTTTGGTCGTTGAGTGGCCGTAAACCAGACGATGGCAATCATTAAATTGATGACAATGTCCACCGGGACAATATCAGCCGTTGCTTTCGAGTTATAATTCATTGACCTTAAGATACCTTTACCGGCTGCAGTTATTAGACCGGTTGGTCCGTTCAAGTTATCTACCCATCCGGACATTGGTTCCTTCCACGATGCCGTCACTATTGATGGCCGCACAATGGCCACGGGTAGACTACCACACTCATCGAGCAATAAACTTTCGGCCAACGCTTTAGTAAAAGTGTAAGTATTAGGTCGATCGCCAATTAGTTTTGGTGTAATCGTATTGACCACATCTTCATCCATCCAATTGACAATATCGATGACATTTTGCGGCTCTACCGGTGCTTCGTATACCAGTTCTTCAATTTCCGATCGGTTACAGTTAGCGTAAGCGGTCGACACATGAATTAAAGCCTATTATTGAAAGTTTATTATTATTAATCAAACATATTATTATAATTAATGCCTATTTATTAGTTTTTTAATTCCAGTAATTAGTTTTRTGMTTTAGATTAATTAATTATTTGTAATTTTATTATATTATTTTCTTATATATATATATATATATATATATTTATTTATTTATTAACGACAAAACTTAAGAAATATATTCATTTTTAAAATAATCAAATAATGTACTTAAAAAATTAACAAAATAATCTGATTAAAATTTAAAATAACCAATTTCTTAATGTATTATAATTTATTTAATCATTGATTTGCATTTATTTTGCTTTTACTTGTACTGTATAATAATACAACACAAAGGCATGACCTGTAAATCTATTTAATTGATATTGAATTTACTAAATAATATTGAATATTATTTTTTATGATATCAAAAAAAGTTCACTGTTTTTCCTTTAAAATATCTTTTGACAAATTATTTAATCCTTTTTTGTGATAAAAAACATATGACTTTATATTTAAATTATTTGAGATTTAAATTTAAAAAAATAAATTAATTAATAATATATTTTCCTTGATAATTAGTTTGATAAATTTAACAAAAAAAAACTAATTAATAAACATGAAAAGTTCAATAAATAAATATATATATATTTATATTTTACCACTAGATTTGGCATTTTATGGCACAATGCGATTAATCGTCTCGTTCCCAATACATTGAACTCAATTGATGTCCTAATATTCAAGTGAAAGCACAMACACATAGAAATATTATTATTAAAATATTTGAGTGAAAAAAATTTAGTTATAACTAAATATTTACTTTAAAGGTTCGTCAAATTTGACAGTCGCTGCTGAATGAAATACAACTGAGACATCGTTTAGCAATAGTTTGAGATCAGAGTCGCTGATTCCCAGACCATCGAGAGTGATGTCACCCGTAATGGCCACCACTTTATTCAGGGCTTTCGGGTTCTCATTTCGAAGCTTATCAAAGATCTATCAATTTTTAAAATAAAAATTGTATTTTCAATTTAATTAATAAATTTTTAAAACATATATAATATAAATAAGACATACTTTAGTGTTGAGCAGTTCCTCGAGTCTGGTCCGGGGGTTCAGACCTTTTTTGGATCTCAACAATATGTATATATGTTTAACATCACTACACGATCGCAATAACTTTTCCACCAAAACCTGTAATTTAATGGAAACAAACAAAACAAAAATGTGAAAGTTTTATTTAATAAAAGTATTACATTTTATTATTATTTATTTAATATTTTGTTTTGTTTTGTATGTTTATAAGATTATATTAATATTTGCACAGATAATTAAATGCATTATCATGTATATATTATATAACAGTATCTAATAATAAAAATAATTACAGATATATTTTCCTTTATAATAAATAAATAGTTAGCAGTTTAAACATTTTACTTGAAAACCTATGCCCTAAATTTTTTAAAAAGTATTTTGTTGTTTTTAATATGTAAATTAATAAAATCTTATATTATAAAATTAATTTATAAAAATTCAAAAATATTAAATATATTTATATTTATATAATTTAATCAATAATACTAACTTTGCCCATAAAACCCGTGGCACCGGTTATAAAAATACTGCGATCCCTATAGAAACTGGCAATTTGTGAGACATCGTTGTTGTTGATAATGGATGACATGATTTAACTATTTAAAACATTAAATAAAATTCAATTAAATAATWAAAAATATTTATTTCAAAAAAATTAAAACATAATTTTAGATAATATTGTGTGATAAATTTTTCATTGAATAATATAAAAATTACATTAATAGAAAAACTTATGAATATAAAAATTACTTATAAAATTAAAATAAAAATCTTGAAGTTTATAAAAATATTTACATTTAAAATTAAATATATAATGTATTAAAATATTAAAATATTTATATATAAATATTAAAAATATATTAACAATTAATTTTAAAATTATTTTGAACTATAAACACAAACTTTTTTTAAGGTTAGGTTCAGAGTTGATACCAAATGGAGTGAGACATCAAATAATTATTTTATAATATATAATGATTTGAATATTTATTTTCAATTATATAATAACATTTAATTCGCATAATTTTTATTTATTTATTATTGTTATTAAATATTTTTCTCTCACTTTCTCATATGAAATGCATGACTATTTTACCACTAATGTCATCGCAATCACACTCACATCACGCAAAAAAACACTAACTATTCAATAACTGTATTCAAAAAAAAACTAATTGAATGATTTGGTGGTATAGACTATCAATTGATTACATAAGCTAACGGTGCGCACCCGCTAAAACACGTCTCTCTCTCTTTCTCAACTCACCGATCACTAAACTAGATTCAAAAATGTGTAACATTTAATATGAAAATGCATTTACTTTTTTGAAAGTAGAAAATATTTTTTAACAGTATTATGAAAATTAATGGATATATTAAAAAACAAAAAACAACAACAAAAGTCTTTAATATCACAGTATGGATCAGTTTTTTGGTGGTRGTGTGCGTGTGTGTGTGTATGTGTGTGTGTGTGTGTGTGTGTGTGTGTGTGTGTGTGTGTGTGTGTGTGTGTGTGTGTGTGTGAGAGAGAGAGAGAGAGAGAGAGAGAGAGTGGGTTGTCCCAAAATACCACATCAACATCACTACCAGCACAGCAGGAATTATGTATTGTAGGTCACCATTTGAATAGGTTCTGCCTTATCACCAGAAAACACAATCACTTGAGGCTACAAACCCTACTTTCACTTTTGATGAGCAAAACTACATTGACTTTAACGTTGAAATCGTTAATAATTCACTTGAAATACCGGAAGAATTTTGTTTTCATATAATAATAATAATATTAGTTATATAACTATTATTATTATTATTATTATTATTATTATTATTATTACTACTACTACTACTACTACTACTACTACTACTAYTACTACTACTACTACTACTACTACTACTACTACTACTACTACTACTACTATTACTACTACTACAACTAAATCAACAATTATTAAATATTTATTAGTTGCTGTCTTTCAAATTATTAACTTTCTGGGACTTTATTAATGAATATACACTTAAGGACTAAATCTAAATATTCAGTCATTTAATGGATTAAAGATTACATTTTGAAAAAATATTGTTTGCAATAAAATATTATTTATCTTAATTAATATAATTTCTTTTCATAAAAAGTTTAACTTAATTAATTTAAATTGTTAAAATAATATAATGAAGATATTTATGAAAATAATTGCAATTAAATTGATGAATTCGTTTACTTTTATATTAATTTACATCAAAGTACATTAAGTTTTATATTAGATATTTTGTATTATTTAAAATATTTTATTATAATTTTTTAAAAAAACAATATAATTACTGAAAAATAAATTTAAATACATAACTTAAAAAATAATTACCCTGTATAAAAATGTCCATTATCTTTTTGTTTTTGGATATTTTCTAACAAAATAACATTAAAATATTTTTTCAAATTAATTTTGTTAAGTGTTATATTTTTATTTAGATTAATAATGTCTTTAACATTCAATACACACCCATTTATTAGTGAAATACTTCCGTATTATTGTAGATCATTATATTATGTCGTAATTATATATAAACTTATCAAAAATATTAATTTTATTGCAGACATATTATAATTTTTATGACATTCAATATACAAGTATTTATTCAAACATTCATTATGACAATTAATATATAAATACTATATATCAATTTTATATTAATCATAAATTAATTATTGTATAAATAAAAATTTTAATATAATTAATAAAACTTAAACAAAACATAATTACTGTAAATAAATAAGTATAATCAATTTTAATTAATTTTTTGTTAAAAACTTTATTATTAATATTAAGACATTGAAAAATTAAATAATTACATTAAAAAATAGTATTTAATAGTATTAAATTGCACATTATTAAAAAATACTACTTGTATAAACTATCAATAATAATAAAATATAATAATAATAATTATTATTATTATTATATATAAAATTATTATAAAAATATTTTACGAGTAATAGTTGAGATAAAAATTTGTTGTAATCTGTGAAAACTGATAATATATAAACAAATACATTAAAAAATCAGCTGAAAATTATATATATATATAATTTTTTAATAGACAATCACAGCCATTAACAATATAAAAGCAACAATAACTTTGGCACTTGTTATGAGCACCGGTCGGTGGACAGTACCGGACACAGTATAGCTAGAACTGTCAGCTAATTTGATTTCTGGTCCTTTGGGGGGTCGTTGGGCTACAAGGTTATCATTTTTTAGTTGTCTATTATTATCATTATTATTGGTTGTTTTACTCTCATCCTCACACCTGTCCTTCCAATATCGGGCTTTAATCTGAGCTAACCGGCCGTTTTGTTTGAGTTTTTTGATGGCTGAATTAAACCTAGCCGTATACGGACTGTCTTTTTGCATGGCTATAGCGTACTGTCGGGGAGAGTATTGTTTTTTGTCCTGAATGTAGGTCAGGTCACAGTAGAGTCCAGTTAGGAACTCTGCAAAACTGCCCTCAACTATGAAAGCATACTTTGTTGAGTTGACTTTATCGACACCCTCTTTGGCATTACTGGCCATCCAATCGGGATGTTTTTCCATCTGACTGTACACCTTGTGAAGCACCGGATCGGTTGATTGCGAGAATAAGTGGTGAGTACTACCCGATCGATAGGTTCCGTAAGCCAGGTCTGAATCGGATAGATCTTTGAAGGAACGTATGTTTCCGACATTCTTCTTGTTTACCAGTATTGCGATGTCGTTCTCCATAAACGGTTCGGTAAAATCAACAAATCGTTTGCGAGGATCAGTTACAGTGATATCAGCGATGGCAAAGTCGGCTCTCTGTTGTTGTTATATTAAATTGAAAAATATAAGATATTTTTTTAATAAATAATATTTAGATTGTAAATAAATAAATTTAATTTATTCTTACATTATTATAGACTTCACCAATCATACCATTGATGCGGTTGTCTTGAATGACACCGTATTTACCGTCGGGCGAGAAGTAGAGTCTATATTCAAAGCCAATAATATCTGCAATTTCGTTCATCAGGTCAACCACATAGCCTTCGTATTTGCCGCTCAACCGGTCAGCGTATGGCCAGTTCTGGACATATAAGTAATGTTTATATTTAATATTTCTTTAATGAATAATTAAATGTAATTAAATATTATATAAATTAGATTATAATAATTAAATTTGAAAATATAAGTCATTGTAATGTAGTAATCTTTATTAGTTTCAGGTAATTAACCTATAATATAAACCATATCTTAATTGAATTTTTCTCAATTAGCAAAATTTTATTACTTAGTTTTATAAAAAGTATTTTAAATAATTTAATTAAAAATATAGTTACTTTTATAGTTGTTTTATTATTTTTTTAAAAATAAGATCAATGACAGGAAGTATTTCAATTATTTTGTGCAATATTTAAAAATATAAAAATAATTTTTATAAAATCTTATAAAAGATTACAAATATTTTATAAAATATAAAACTTGTTTAATACTTGTAAATTAATTATAATATTTAATATTTTTTACATTTGTATGAGTCACATAATAATTATTAATGAGATTTTAAAGTTACACTTAAATTAGTCATAATCATCAATAATTTTTACAAATTAAATCTATTATTTCATTTTGAATTAATTAAAAAACAAGATTACATCATAATGTAGATAATATAATATGAATACAAAACTAGAAACTACCTAATTATTATTAGTATATATTTAATATAAGATCTATTAATGATTTTAAATAGTATTAGTAATTAAATAATGTTAGTTTTTACATTTATATATATATATTTTTGTTAATGAGTTTATAATAATAACAATATAGCATCTAATTATTAATTAATATAATTTATATTACACATAGTATTTTATTAAAAATCAAGGTCCTTTATTGTTTGCACCCCAACCCACATATTTCATATTAAATAGTAATTCAATGAACACGAAATCATAGCAAACGTTTGTATTAAAATAATAATTATTTTTTAAATCAGTATTTTTTTATTTAAAATCAATTAATTTATTGATACTGTGTTAATATATCAATAGTATATATATAATTTAATTATAATTAAAATTATTGTTGAAAAAAATTAATGATTGTTATATAATAATTAAACAAATAAATGGAAATTTTTGAAAAACTTATAGACAAAAGAATAGTGATTATGAATTGATTTATTTATACTTTACATATATTAATAAATTAATTGCTTATCAATTATAATATAATATTAAATTTTAAAAACTTTTGATCATATGATTATTATGAAAAATATTTTTAAAAATTGACCAACARTTGGAAAAATAAAATGTTTTCTTATAAATTATAAACTATAATAGTTATTTGTTATATAATATATTTATAAATAGTAATTATCATAAAAATTATTAGTTTATATTTAAGAAACTTTTTAATTTAATTTTTAAATTCATACAGTATTAACATTTATACTAACATAATTATACTAACATAAATAATTATATATATTTTATATTTTAAATAATAATATACAAAATAAATAAATAATAATATTGATAATTATAGTAATTTTAATAACAATGTTATAGACATACATAAGATATCTTTAAAATCATATTTAATAAATATTTCTTAATCTTTTTCTGTTCATAAATTTATGTAAATATTTATTTAGTAAATAAACTATCTATTACTAGAATAATTTTATTGTTAAACATAGTTTTAATTATAAATTGATTAGCAATTTAAATATTCATCTGTAGATTCATAGCTTATTAAATATTCAAATTAAGTTTTTACAATATATTTTGTATATAAATAATATTAAATGATATGTTGTTAACCTAAACATACATTTTATATTTGTATTTATTAAAAAATAAGGCCAACAATTATATACTATTATTTATACAGTATTTATGATGAATTATGATGAAAATATAAGAAAAAATAAAATTTATGATAAAAGAGGATTTATAAATATATTAATATTTCATAATATGTTTATACAAATATAATAAATTTAAAATTTAATAAATTAAAAAATATATATTACTTATTAGCCACTAATGATAAATAATGGATAAATGATTAAATTATACTAACTCTTATAGTAACTCCTCTAAGTATCTCCGCTTGACGTTCAACACCATCACTGCACCGATAGTTTAGATTTATTAAAAATATTAAAATCAAACACAATTTGATCACTAAATTCATTGTATTTTCTATTACACAATTAAAAATTAAAATTAAATTTTATCAAAACAAATCTTAATATTGAAATTATTATTAATAATAAAACAAATAATATGCAGAATATTCCAGATATTTAAAAATTTATAAATAAAAACTCATTTAAATTAATTTTAAATTGATTTATATTATTAAATTAAAAAATATTTATATAAATCACGATTGTTTTTATATCAATCAAAATTTTATATAAGAATACTTCAATGTTCAACAAAAAACACTTTACAAACAAATAAAATTCCTGTCAATTAACAAAAACGGTTATATATGTAGAAAATACAAGAAATATGTTGTAGAGTTGTATATTAAATTAAATTACTGTATTAAACATAAAAACATAAATTGAATATATATTTTTCACAAACAAATAATGAAATGTTTTTTTCTAACGAAAGCTTTCTAATGAAAAATCGTGTGATTCATTGTATGGCATCTTTCAAAACAAAGTTTCATATTTKAAAGATTTTCATAAAAACTTGTTTTGCAAAACTTTTACTATGTTTTCAAAAAAAAACTATCATTAGTTATGAATTTATAAGTTATTTTTCATTATAAGTGTTATGTTATTATTACATACAAACATATATTGTATAATATAATACAGTGTGTGTATATATATAACTTTATCTTATGTGTGTATATATATAATATACTGATATATGTTTCATAAGATATACCATAAAAATGTTTGTGTTATATGTGGGCGACATTTACTCTTACCCTTGAATTACAGGTAAAATGATATGAGATATGATGGGTTGGGACACCAAATATAAACTAGCAGTAAGAGTAAGAGTATATTAATAATACAAAAACTTATATATATATTATTTAAACTCTGGGATCAGATATTAATTAAATTTTATGCTTTTTTATTATTATTAATTTATTTATATTAACATAAAATATGTTGAAAATGTCATTAATTTTTGTATACGTTAAATATCGGATTTTTTTTTAAAAAAAAATGTTTTAACTTATTGATGAAGTCCTTGAGTAGATAATAGTATTTAAGCGTAAATAATGAAATTATTAACACACAAAATATAACTTCAGTTTATTGCAAAAAACAAAAAACAAAACTTAAGATTTATTGAAATACATTATATATTTAAACTGACGGCATATGATSTGCTCTCCATTTAATATGAAAACTAAAATATAATAATTATCTAAACTTATCGATCATTGAAGCTATAAATTATTTAATACTCATAGTATATAATTGTACATGATGAGTTAAAAAATAGAAATTATATATATATATATATATATAGAGAGAGAGAGAGAGAGAGAGAGAGAAGAAATGGTATATATATATATAAATATAAAATATTTAATGAGAGAGAGAGAGAGAGAGAGAGAGATAAATTTGATTAATTATAATAAAATTGCAATAAATTATTTTTGTCATAAATATTTACAAATAAAAATATTATTATACTTTAAAAAAGTTGTGACAACTATACTATTGWAAATAGTTTTAATTTATACAAAAAAGTAAATATTAAATATAAATAAAAGTTTATTATTAGTATTAATTTGTTTTGACGATGTTKTTGTAAATTTGATAATTTTTGATAMATACATAAATAAATTAATATTTTTTAAATATAAATAATTTTTATTATAATTAATTTTTAATTAAATTATAATATAGTACTTTACAATATTAACGTAAAGACAAAAACAAGTCCATAAAAACAAGTCTAGTACTCCATTACACACAAAAAATTATATACATACATTGTATATATATTGCATTGAATGAATGCAATAACTATATATTGTAAACAAAAAGCTATTTGTAAGCTTTAAAAACAAAAAATTAAGTAGGCATAAAAATTTAATAGTTTTAGTCAATAATATGTAAGCATTTATTGCATTTTTAAAAATAAATTAATAAAAATAAGTGATTACTACAATTTTCGAAAATTACCATTAAAAATAGCTTGAATATGAATTTCAAAACTTAAATATTTTAGCAATAGCAATATTTTCAAATGAGAAAAATTTAGTAAATTTTAAAACAATTCATAATATATAAAAATATACTAAATAGAAAATAATAATATACAATGCTTATTGCTATGCAATAACTTAATATTAATGTTAAAATAATAATAGACAATAAAATTTTGCAATTTTATTTTTATTGCTTTGAATAGATTAATGCAAAATATAATATTTACTTAAAATAAATAAATTTAAAAGTTAATACAAATATAGATTACAAGTACAAAATAATTGTTTATAACTAACAATTTAAGGCATAATTAATAATCTAAGTTAAATTTATTTAATTAAATTGTATTAAAACTAAATATAAATGTCAAATAAATTATCACGTTAACTAAATATTTTTATTTTAATTATTTTAAGACCATTTACGAAAATAAATAATTTATAAATTTTTATAAGAACATGAATTTTAATATTTTTTATATGAAAATATATTTGTTTTGAGTTTTAATTTTTATTAGGCGCATAATACATTAAAAAACTCATTGTAAAAATTATTATTTTATTTAATAATTAATTTGTTAAATTAATATAAAAGCACTGGCATAAAAAGTATGGTCAGTTATTATTTAAGTCATAGATTGAAATTTGTTTTGAAAAAGTAATAGTTATAAAGTAAAATATTTTATATTATTGGCATAAATATGAAATTTATGATTTGTTAATTTTTTACTTATTTTAAGATATTTCATATAGGTTATCATAAATAAATTAATATTTAAATTAGCATTTTTTACAATAAATATTTTTTGTTTATATTTATATACTATTTTTTAAATATAAAACAATATAAATAAATATGAATTTATATTTATATTTTTAATAAGTGATTTTTAAGACTATTAAGATTATAATTTTTTATTACATTTATTTTAAATTTTAAAAAATATTTTCATTTTTTAAATTTTATCAATTATAATTTTATTTGTATGTTTTTACGCTTAATATTTTAGAAATAATTGTAATAATTGTATAATATAGAATAAGTGATAAAACTTGTAAATTTAAATAAGTTAATATAATATTATTTATTATAAAAAATAATTTTTTGTTTGTAAATTTTTTTGTGTGTAGTTGTGGGTGGAGTTAACTCACTGTATAATAAATAGTGCTTTTAGAGACTTGATTTTAAAGACTTGTTTATGTCTTTACGTTTATGTAGTAAARTATTAAAATAATTTAGAGTTGGAAACTTAGCATTATTTAAAAAACCGAWCCATAACCACAAAAAAAATAATATTATAAAACCAAAAAAACTGTAGAATAAAACAATAAAAACAAAAGCAAACCCAAACCGTCTATTTTTTAGTAAAGTTTATACTGTAAACTCTATAGAAACTGAAATTAAATCGATAAAAATAAGTAAAAAATCAGTAATCTATTTATTTAAACTGAAACCCGAACCGTTAAGTTACTATTACTCTACTCTAAGCACAAATTGGCGGGAATGGCATTGCAAACGATAGATGTGTTTGAATTTCAAACTTTGAAAAGTAGAGGTCTATTGATTTGATATTAAATATTTGAATAAAAAATATCAAATCATTAACTTTTAAACAATTAATTACAAATATTTGTAGACAACTAAACATAGAAATATATGAATAAAAGTCAACACTTTAATGATTAATAAATAAATATCAAACAGTTATTATCGAAAGTCTCACTAAAACTATCGATAGAATCGATAGTCAAACCAATTGATTGATTGAAGAGTTAATTATTAGAGAGTCTATTGATTGACGACTAAAACAGTTATAAATGATTTGTATTATTGAATGAACTAAAAGATGAATCAAATCGATGACAAACTATTTGTCGGCAATTATATTGCGGCCACTGATCGGCAACTGTTGACCGACAATCACATCCGACTAGTGATAACTGTTTGCGATTTCAGATACGTTTCCGATCACCAAATGGATGGCATCGAGTACTTTGTGGTCGATGTCAATGACACCGAATGGGCCGATCTGTTGACATATTTCGAGGACACGCGCCGTAAGATTGCCAATACTATAGCCAGAGGTGACAATGTTTTGGTTCACTGTAGGGCCGGTGTATCGCGCGGTCCGACAGTAGTGACGGCATATTTGATGGCTACTAATGGCTGGACATATGAACGGGCGTATCAATTGGTCAAATCAAGACGATCGTCGGTTAACCCGAATCCGGGATTTGTTAATCAACTGAAACTCTACGAACAGATGAATCTTCGATTGGAYGCCAACTACAAGAAGTTTAGACGACATATATTGACATCTTATATGCCATCGATTGGACACAAATTTATATTGAAATACTTTGAACGCAGAAATTATGTCGAAAATCTGTTCACTATATCGATGGGCAAACAATACCATTGTATCGGATGTGGTAAACACTTATTCAATGAGACTCATGTGATTGAAAACAATGTGACGACCGCCGATGTTGACCAAAATGGTGACCAATATTGCAATAAACTCTATATTGAACCACAAGAATGGATGGCTATGGCGCCCATTAATGATGTGATTCCGACTCCAGTCAAATCACTTGTCTGTCCAAACCATTTGTGTGTCCGATCAATAGGTCAGTTGATCTCATTTAATGTATTTGTTTGTCACTGTCCTCGACATAAAAGTCTCAGTTGTCTTCACATTCAAATATTTTGCGATTCAATCGTTAAAAAATTTATTTAATTATAAAATTGAGATTTGTTTGCTTACAAAAAAATTAATCAATAGGTATTGATTAAACTAAAAAATTAATTGAAATGTTTTTTGACATTTATTATTATTATTTATATTAAATATTTTGCAATATTGTTTATTCTGCTTTATTGTTTTGCAATATAGTATTTAATTAGATTGTAAATGTTGTTATTTAATTAAATACTGTATATGAATTTAATACATAAATTAAAGTAAAAATTTGAATTATTGAAAATGTTTAATAAATATATTGTATATTAAATAACTATTAGCTGTAATTTGTTTCAAAATTGTTTTGTAATTTTTGATCATAATTATCAAATTACACAATGAAATCATTAATTATATTTATGCGATGTCTAGGCTATAGAGTCAAAAGTTGTAATAATAGATCAATATTACTAAATATGCTTGTTTATTTTATGAGATTTTTTATAGTTATTTATACAATTTACTTGAATTTTTGTCAATTATCTAAAATATCGTATAAAAGTGAATATATGAGCAAAAATTTGAAGTATATTTTATGTACAACATTGGAAACTAGTGTATCGTTGATATATTTAATCAAATTTAATTACCAGATAAATAAATTGTCAATAAAATCAATCAATGTTTCTGAGATTACAAAAAAGTTTGACTGGCGGTCTCATTTGTGGCTTATATATTGTTTACTAAATGTACTTGTTGATTTTTTGTTATGTATAATCCAACAATTATATTTTAATGAATACTATATAGTGATTAACTTGAAAAAGACATATTATAACGAAACTAATTTTATAAAAATTTTATTTGAAATGTTAACACTATTGGCATTTCTACTATTCCTTCAATTGCCACTAATACTGATACCTGTCTACTGTGCCCTCAATTGTCAGATAATTAGTCAAATGTTTATTCAACTTAATTGTCATATAATGTCTAATGAGTTCCGATTGACAGTACCAAAGATATTGAGTGTACAGACTATTCATTATAATATTAGTGAACATACGGTCCAATTGACTTCAATTATGTCTAAGCCGTTGCTTATATTGTATGCAAATATCATATACCAATCGTGTGAATATATATTTCATTTGATAACATTTGCCATAAACCCAGTTGACGCCGGTATGTATTTTAGTAGGTTTTTACAAAATTTATTGTTTTTTACTTTAGGTAATTGGTTTGATCTACTGATATCATGTCATAGATTTTCGGCAATGTTTATAAGTTTTTTGTTGATCACAATCTGTGGGTCAAATGTGGCCACAAAATCACGACAAACATACGATTCTCTGACATATGTGGTGACCAAAAGTAGTGAACAAATACCTAAAGATTGCATACCATACCTGTCATTACTTATGAATTATTTGAAATCACATTGCATTGAATTGAACGCGTGTTCATTGTTTAACATTAGATTAACATTGATTTGGACCACAATTAGCATAATTATAACATATTCAGTCATATATATTGAATTAACACATCATTAGATATTTTTCCTATATATACAGTACATTATACAATATAAACTTAGTGTACATTTATCGGTTATGAAATTTGTTTGCATTAATTAAAGTTAATATACAGTAACGCTTTAAATTTGACGATTTAAAAATTTTATTAAGAAATAATTATTTTTAAATAAAATTAAAAAATAATTAGTGAGCTGTCAAATGGCTGAAAAATATCCGCCATCACCTTCAAGATCCCATAGCTTTCGTCGCGATTCCATCCGATCACGATTGGCATCGGTGACCAGTTATGACAGTACTGCTCAATCAATACCGGCTCAGACAGCCGTTGAAAGACTAGGCAGTAGTGATTTGACAGCCGATATCCCTGACAAGGGTTATGAAATGACTATGTTTTCCATGAGTCCCACCCCATCCCGTCCACAGTCACCACAATGGGATCCAATGGAACACCAGTACGAACGGGTAGAACTGGGCGAAAGTGGACATTCAATGAACATCGAACAGGATCTCAAAGTTCTGGACGAACTCGGCTTTATTATTGACTATCCGAATGGTATACTTGGAGCAGGATTTTTTGGATCAGTCTATCGCGGATATTATGGCAATCAGGTAATTACAAAATTCACATTTTTAACTATTAACTAATCGGTATATTTTTGTTTGCATTAATTAGTCAAATGTCGAAAGAGACAAAAGAAACCGCCGGAAGTTGAAAGACACGAAAAATTTGAATCAATTTGCCGTTAAGTTTGTTGACTTCCTTCAGGCGCCGTCTATAACCTCCGTTTTCATTGATGAGGACTATATCCGTGAGAAGCGCGAGGCCTACGAAATGGAAAAGTTTATCATGACTTATGCCAATCATCCCAATATATGCTCCATCCGTATGACCATCAATATGGGTGAGTGTAGGTCTCAATATTATTTACACGACCCTAACGCTCATTATTTACAATACGATAGGATATACCTAATCATGGATTACGCGGACGGAAGTTCACTAATGAATTATATGAATCAAAACGCCGGTAAACTAAAGCCATACCATCGGATTAAACTGACCCGCGATTCATTTAAAGGTAGGTTTTCATTCATCATTGACTTATTATTATTACTTTAGTTTAAGTAAATATTAATTTAYTTATTTTGTTTGTTATTTACTTATAGGTCTGAAGTATCTTCACGACAACGGCATATTTCACGGCGACATTCATTTGGGAAATGTATTGATATTTCACGAGAACAACGATCTGGTGGCCAAATGGATTGACTTTGGTCTGAGTCACGTAAGTAATGCCGGTCGTTACGTGTGGAACAAGTTCTCCGATCGTGATATCGAAAGAGGACTTCGCAAAGATGTTTCAGAGTTGCACTCAATATTGTGGAACTGCTGGAGAGGCAGAAAAATGGAGACCGAATTGCCCGACGAAACAAAATTGTGTAATGAAGTGATGGAAATGATTAAGTTTGTCAAACGGGTCCACACATTGGATGAAGTTTACCAAAAATATCGTCATATCATTGATGATTCACCTCTGGTAAGGGAACAGTTAATTTGAGTCTACATTACCGGTAAATAAAGCATTTTATAGATATATTTCTATGTTAAACAAATTATATTTACTAATTACCGGTAATTAATACTGTATTGTAATTTATGTTATTTTAAAATATATTGAATATTATCGGTAATTTAATTTACAGTACTTTAGAATATTTTTGTAGTTTTGTGTTTAGATTAGTATAAAATCTTTACAATAATATTTAAATAAATTTAATATAAAATTATTAAAGTTTTGTTTGCTTTCAAAAAAAATCAATAATTATTGATTAACTACTAAAATGTAAGTAAATAAAAATGTTTATTTTATGATCAATATTTTATTACATTTAGTTATATTGTAAAATACAATATAGTATTTACTGCTAATGGTATTTAATTAGATTGCAAACCATTATTACAAAATATACATTTATTAAAATTTAAATCAATTTCATATTAAATAAATATTTAGTTTTATATTACTTAAATGTTTATACATTTTTACATTTGATATCTTAAATATCAGAGATCATAAAAGTTATTATTATAGTACATAAACTACAGTTCATATAAGAAATTTTACATTTTATTTAACTTGAAAATGAAATCATTAAATTTATTTATGAGAATTTTAGGCTTTAGAACCGTTAGTTATAATAATAGTTTAATGTTACAAATTATCAGTTATTTTATGAGAATATGTATTATCCTAAATGTAATTGCTTTTGATTGCATACAGTTATCTTTATTATCTCGTAATCCGGGTTATATGAGTACTAATTTGAAAATAATCATATCTACAGTTATTGAGAGTTGCATAATATTATTATATTTAATCAAATTTGATTTTCAATTAAACGATTTGTCGCTAATCAATGTGACAAAAATGAGAAAACTATTTGCCATGAAATCCAAATTATTAATAATCTATTGTTTTCTAACATTTCTCATATATTTAGTATCGGATGCGATAAAGATCTGGTATTTTAAGGAACACTATATATTAGTTTATTTGCGTCGGACTGACTATACTGTGACCAATATTAGACTGTTTGTTGATATAATTATAAGAATTGGATTTTATCTATTCCTTCAGTTGCCATTAACACTCATACCTGTCTACTGTGCTCTCAATTGTCAGATAATTGGCCAAATGTTTGCTGAACTCAGTCGATATATAATGTCTACTGAATTCCGATTGAATGCACAGAATATATTGGAAATTCAGACAATTCACTACAATATTAGTGAACATACCGTCCAATTGACGTCAATCATGTCTAAGCCGTTGCTTATATTGTATGCAAATATCATATACCAGTCGTGTGAATATATATTTCATTTGATATTATATACCATAAACCCAGGCGCCGCCGGTATACGACTTTTTGATGTAATTTATTTATTTACTAAAATTGTTAATTTATTAGGTAATTGGTCTGATCTAGTCATGTCATGCCATAGATTGTCTATAATGGTTATAAGCTTTTTGTTGTTAACAATTTGTGGATCAAATGTGGCCACAAAATCGCAACAGACCTACAATTCACTGGCATATGTGGTAACCAAAAGTAATAGACAAATACCTAAGGACTGCATACCATACCTGTCATTAGTTATGAATTATTTGAAATCACATTGCATTGAATTGAACGCGTGTTCATTGTTTAACATTAGATTAACATTGATTTGGACCACAATTAGCATAATTATAACATATTCAGTGGTGTTTATCGAACTAACACATCATTAATTAATTAGCATTCAAATACATATTTAACACAAAGATATTATATATTATATAAAATTTAAAATATTTTAATTCATTGTGTATACAATATTTTTTAAACATAATTTACCGTAAAATCATGTTTTTTCTCCCACATGGAAATGTCTAAATGTATAATGCGAATTTTGTACCATATGAAAAATATTGTTTTTTATTTTGTATAATAATTTATTGTTTACCGGTAATTATTATCAGTGGTGGTAAAGTTATTTACCGTATGAAAATGTTATTTTTCATTTAAAAAAAATTCCATATGGGGGAAAACACGATTTTACGGTAATTATTTTCTATAGCACTTACCAATATTGTAGTATCAACATTTATCAGTGAATATTAAATAATCACAATGTTTAAATAGCATAATTTTTAACAATATAATTATTTAAACTATTTTTCTTTTAATTTTAGTGAATTAKATATTTAATTTAATTTTTTTTTTAATTAGTTAATATTCAACATTCAATTTTACAAAATTCTTATATTAATACTAAAGTTAAAGTTTATTTATTTTTGATTTTGATTATACATATTATAAATATTTAAAAATTTTATTTTATTTATTTTGGACTAGAATTTTGACACTCAATTCCGTAATTATGTAATAAATAATACGATTTAATTAGTATATAATAAATTATCATATTATTTGAGTCTCATATATTTATAATAGATATGAAAAACTTTAAGCAAATACTGATATTTAATACTTAAACAAATATTAGCATTTGAAGTCATATTATAAATTATAAATTATTATAATTTATAATATTATATAAATATCTAAAATCTAAAGAATTAAGATGTAATAAAAATTATACAAATGTCTTAAACATTAGTTATTACAAAGAGTATGATTTAAATAATATATTTTATACAATTGAATTTGTCATTGTATTTGGCATTAAGTTAATTATATAAAAAATTATGTACAAAAAATGATGATAATAATAATAGGTAAAACACTATAACTTAATAACTAATAAATTTAAAATAAAATCACTTTAAATAATAAATAATGTCATCACTAATGTCATCAAAAGTATCAACACTTGGCCAACACGTGTCAACCGATTGGATGTTCCGTTTATTTCATACTCTTCTGTTTGTTCCACACATTCATTAACCCAATAACTATCTCTAATTTGATCCAATTCTCCGCTATTCTTGAGCTCATCGATGGCAAAGTTAAATGCATTCAAATACTGTGATCCCCGGCGAAGACCTATGGCGTAGTGGCGCTGAAAGTCACGAAAGTCACTGTTAGTATCGTTGACGATCACCAAATCGCACTGTATGTTAGACAAGTACTCCAGAGTAACCGATTCCGTAATGAGCGCATAGTTACTCTCGTTAACCATTTTTAGTCCCTCCTCTTTTGTGGCCACAAAGCCGAACGGGTGTTGTGTCATTTGGACATACATTTTRCGAAGTATATCGTCCCGTGAATTATGAAAAAACAGAGCAGTGGCCGAATTATCTATTACACCGTACTTGACCTCAGACTGATGATACAGATCGACGAATGAGAGGATGTGATCGGCGTGTTTGCGGTGGACAATAGCGGCCAAACTTGTCGTCATAAATGGTTCGGTAAAGTTGACGAAAGCGCGCCTCTCATCGTTAATGGTCAGGTCGGCCACTGCAAAGTCGGCTCTCTATAAATCAAAAATAATTATTTAATTGAAAAACTTTTTTAATTAAAATAAACTTTTAAAAAAAAAATAATTAGTTAATTTTTCATTAGATGTCATTCAATTAGTTTAATTTTTATATAAATATATCCAATACATTAATTATGGCTTTTATGTTAGCTATGGATGGAAATGTACAATAATTGTACCATAGTTTTTTTAAATGCAAAAATATTTAATTTGAAAGTTAAAAACTTTAATAATATTATATAATTTATATATACTATTTGAATTGCAAATGAAAAAAAAAATTATGAGAATTAATAGATACAGTAAAATATAATTTATACTATTGTTATTTAAAAATTATAATACAAAAATGTAATATTTTGTTTTAGGAAAAATATTACTAAAAATATTTATGATAATATTTGCCATATAATAAATTATATAAAATACTAGTTAGTTTCCCGGTAATAATCATGTGACTTAATTTTCTGGTTTTAAATTATAAAAACAAAAAGCAATCTAAAAACAAATTTATTATTTAAATTTCGCGTTTAATAATATAATTTAAATGTTTTTTTTTCTTTACACGTGCAACAATAAATAAAATTAAAAAACTAACTGTTTAATTAACAATACTTTTTATTTAACCGTTATTTTAATTTAAATCATTTTTAATTGTTGTAACGCGCAAAAGTGTGACCAAGATATATATAAATATATAAACATTTCCAAATTATATAGTAGTATAGATTAGTTGACATTTTATACTGAGCACTACTAAAGTTATAAATTGAAAGATAATTGCATTTTAAAGACTAACATTTTATTTTTAATATAATTTTTTTGTTTTAATAATTTTAGTTCAATAATAAGCAGTCGTTAAGAACAAACATATCTATACTTGAAATGAATGGTCAAATCATTTATATAGAGATACAACAAATGGTTAAAATGATTGACCTATAAATAGGTCAACAGGTATTTGAAGGGTAATAAATACAGTAAAAGTGAAATATCTGACAAAATTGACAAAAAGTATTATATTTATGGATATTTATAAATATTTGTTAATTAAAGTACATGTATTACTTATTTTGTATGAAATATTTATAAACTAATAGTAATTTTAAAATTAAGATATTTAACTTTTCATACATGTTTTTATTTATTGTGTTATAAATATATTAATTTTTTTATTTATATTGATAAGCATAACGAAATTTGTATAATTTTTTTATCATAATATAATTGTACATTCAAATATTTTTAATACATAAAAAATTAACTATAAAAATAATAAATTAAGCTTGTATAAATTTTATTATTATGACAATAATTCTTATTATTGTGTAAAAAAATAAAATATCAAGATAATTTTTTTTTAATATTTACAGTAAACATTGAGAAACACAATTATACATTTTTATAGTATTAACTATTATAAAAATTACTATACTGATACTTATACAAAATGAAATAAATACTGTATAATTGACAATCAATAACTTTGACAACTTATCATTGATTAAATAAATGCATTATCTATAGTTCATCTTTGAATGTAATCTATTTTTCTTAATTTTATAATAAATAATTTGAATATTAAACTAACTAACGTAAATGTTGCCAATTTAATAATTCAAAAAATTATTATTTAATTAAATGTACATGTAGTTTATTTTAATTTATATCTATTATGTCATATTTTTGTAAGAAAATTATATTTATTTTATCAAATTATTTAATTACTTAAGTTAGTATAAGATATCATTTTTTTATGTATAAGTAAAAGTTGTGTGACAGTGAGTTTGACTTTTAATCTGCAATTTTTTTATGGAAATTATAATTTTTATGACACATGCATTACACATGTAAATCATTTATCATTTACTAATATTAGGGAATACCTGACTGTCTACCAGTCATATCAGCTCATAGAGAGTGAGTTCAAGAATCGGATTATTATCTGACGAGTTATCGCATGATTTCAGTCAAACATAGATTACTAACACATTTAAATTATTTAAATTTTAAAAATATATTAATTATATAATTTAGTTATTTTATTTAACTAAAGACTGTTATTAATTTTTTAATGCATTCAAAAAATTATATTTTTAATAAAATAAATTTCTAATATAAAGTAAATTTTAATTGAAATATTTTTATACTATAAATAAAAAAGATAAATTATTCAATGAAAATAAAACTTAAATAAAATGAATATAAATAATATACTTGACACCGATTTTTTTGTCAATTAATTAATTTTGTTAATTGTGTCACCAAAATATGACCAAAATTCTTAATGCTGTATAAACTAACTGTCCCTTTAGGTATTAATGAAGGGTTTTTGATAAAAACATAAATTAATTAACTTAAAATTAATTTTTAAAAGCACACTTATAGATAAAAAACATAGATTTATACCAATGTAAATGTTTGAATAGTTATGCATAACTAAAATAGATTGAATTAATTATGACATTAATAAAAGAATGTTACATTTTATTTTATAACTATCATTAAAATTATTTTTTTAAATAATTTAAAATATAAATTTTGATAATAAATGATTTAAATGTAACATTAAGTACATTTATTTTATTTTACTGATATTATATGATACCGTATTTTTTAAAAAATATAACAAGTTATATGGGATCGGGATATCCAGTTTAAGCCGGTCATTGAATTTACAGGAATTTCTAATACCTGTGCTTTTAAATACTGTAAAATATTCATTACAATAAACAGTAGTATATTTTTTTGGTAAAAATCTTAATCATTTTATAGTTAACTCTACGACAAACAGTCAACCATCAGTTATAATCGATAACTTATAATATTATATTAATATCACAATATTAAGTGAAAACAATTTTAAAAAAAATTGTTTGTTTGCAATATTTTTATAATAAGAATAATAATATTCTTTACATATAATTTAATGTAAGTAATATTTTTGTTAATTATTTTTCTAAGATCAATAAATTTATATCTAATTTGTCTTTTATAATATTGTACACATTAATATTATACTGTATATAGTTATAAAAATATATCAATTTACTTAAACTTAAAAAATAATTGTACTTTAACTGTATGTTATAAACTTTTTATATACCGGTACTTTTAAAATATAATAATATTATAAAATATTTAATTCTAAAATTACAAAATATACCCAAATGAATGTAGTTATATAAAAAATATATAATAGAGTTTAGTTTTTTCTATTATTATTAATAATAATATAATAGATATTATTAAATATTATTAGTGAAATAATTAATACTAAAGTAAATTTAACTAGCTAGCATGCTATAACATAGACAAGGTTAACAGGTAACAAAATTAAAAAATTGTTAATTTTTTTATCTAAATAATTAACATATTATTACAATTAGACATTTATTAAATGAAAAAATAATAAAATAATGAATTAGTAGTAAATTTGCAAAGTGCATGTATTAAATATAATTAAATTATTTGAAATGTTACAAAAAATATAGACTTATCGGAGTCATATAAATATACACTATGTTTTGCAATAATCATAATTACATAATTTTTTACGATATAATTAATTATTAAACAATGCAAAAAATTAATAAAATATTTGATATGATGGAAAAAATATCCAAATTAATATATTTATTAATTATTATCATTTCTATTAATATTAAATTTTACTAAAATATTCTATAAACACAATATATTAAATGTTAAAACATTAGTAAAGATTTGTTTAAAAAAATAAGGCATACATTAGCGACCAGTTCACCAATAAGGCCATCGAAACGACCGGTTTCATTGTCGTAGACGCCATACTTGCCATCGGGTACTTCGTAGAGGTCGTAGTCAAAGCCGGCACTCTTTGAGATGCGGTCTATGACCTCAATGGCAAACCCATCGTAAGCTATCTGTCCGTCTTTGTCTCGATACCGGTCCACATACGGCCAGTTCTGTACACATATCATACATTTGTATTAGTGATGATACTGTCATTAATATTCAACATTTATATTAAAAATGTCGCAATTTTTTAACATACGCTTAGCGTTACACCCCTGAGCTGAACACAAGTGTTCAATTGAATTAATATTGAATATATTATTACAAATAAATATATCACTGTTATTGTCATTATTGTTTAAATTTAGTTTATATTTTTACACCTAATTTTTATTATATTTAAAAATATTTACGTTTCACTTATGATTTGCACTTTTCTCAGTCTTAGTTTTATTATAACAATTGTTTTGAAACAACATTTTTCCTATGAATGTGTTTTTTCGTGAATTTCTATCGTAAAACAAACTAATGATATTTCAAAAAACATTTTTATTTGCCTCAAAAAGTATGAGTAATTTTTCCGTTTAAAAAATCTATTTTTAAGTCTTTTTAAAAATGTCTAAATGACTGAATGATGATCTCTATGGATGCCTCAGCTCTCTGYTCTCTCTCAGATGTCTACAYACATACACATAAAAAAGAGAGAGAGAGAGAGAGAGAGAGAGAGTATAAKTTAAATGAATGGTAACTCTATTTTGATATTAACTTTAGATTTCAAAAATGCTTTACTTCTGGATKTTAGCCAAACATTATTACCAAAATATATTTATAGTATAGTATATTATTTTGTGGTTGTATTAAATAAATAGTAAAAAACATTTATAAGATTCATTGATACTGAAAGAAAAAAAATTAGTCACCAAATAGTTAATAACTATAATTGTTATGAAACAGTTGGGATAATAATAATAATAACAAACAATTTATAACAATTCGGAAAATTGTTTTTAAAAGTAAAAGCAATCAATAAATTAAACAAAATAATCTAAAATTTATGTTCTGAGAAAAATCTTATTATTAAAATATAGATAAAGTAACATTAAATTACACAAAATTTTAAAATTTAGTATAAATTAAATTCAGTAAATTGTATGTTAGTTAAGAGTTGGTATTGCCATTAGTGCTTTCACTGGTAGATATTTGATAAATGCCTAACATATATATTATATAACATAGCAAATATTTTATAATAACTTATTAATTTATATCAACTTATCTTACACATTTAATTTGTACTATTATATTTATGCAATTTAAATTTATAAAATTTTATGGTTATAGCAGGTTTAGAGCATAAATAGAGATATATTTGATTATATTGTGTAATTAGTATTAAATTACTAAAACATAATAATTTATTATATTTATATGTAATATGCTATTGTCTAACAACATTGAAATTGAACACTTTTTTCACTGATTTACTATAATGTTTTAGGTAAACATTAGTGAACATTATTTTTATTACTTGATAAATACAAATTAATAATTACTATAAATATACAAATATTTTAATTTTGAAACAATTATCTACTTTTTTGCTAATTTTTTTAATTAATTAAATAAATATAGMATATTTGTAAAAAAATTAATTTGATTTTTAAAAATTCAGTTATCGATTCTGTTATTTAATGACAAAAAAATTATTTAAATAATTTAAAAAATATTAATACATTTCTTAATCCAGTTAGTGACTGGGATTTATAATTTCAATGCCAAACTGCTAAATAAAAAGATATATTGTATATAAAATATTTGTTATTAAATTAATTGCCAATGATATGTTTATAAATACAGAATTAATATTTTTTTGTAAACATTTTTGATGATTGTTATCATAACTTATAACTTTATTAATGTATATTTTTGTAATATATCAAATATATTTCACAACAAATGTTCAAATCCGTGTATTATTTTAAATATATTTTTATTTAAAAGTAAACATTATTTGCAATAATTTATTTCACAATAATATTGCATTATTTTTTTGATCAATTCTACGATTTAAATACTAATTTTAGTTGAAATCGATAATAACTAAAAATAGATTTATTTAATATAAATCAAATTATTTTTAAGATACAAAATATTGTTTAGAAGATATTAGATCTATTTAACTTAATATATTCAGTAAATATTTGATAAATTTAATGCAATTTAAATGTAAATTATTATAATATAAATTTAAAATACTATAACATTTTGTGTTGTATTGATAATTATTAATAAAAAACCGCTACTGACGTTGATTGTAATAATGATAATTATCATATTATTATTATTATTATTATTAATGTTTATTAATGAAATTATTATTATTTCCAAAGAGAATGAAATATAAATTTAAATATTAAAAATTAATGATTGTAATCAATAATTATTAAAAGTGCAAAATAACAATAATATAAAAAATAGTTTATTTATTGTTCAAACAATTACAATAAATCTTTCAAACATTTTATAAAAATTATAAAACAGTCTACTCTTTATTTACATTGAGAATTACGACATACTGTTAGATAAATTATGAAATATTTTTGCTAATAATTATATTCAATATAAACAAGTGATTAATAATATTTTTTTAAAAATTATTTATTTTTTTTAAATAAAATTAATAAACTAAATACAATTTAATTGTTTATAAATTACTTAATAATTTTTCAATTTATTAGTACAAACATTTTATTACAAAAAAGACCTGTACACTAGTTTTACGTAATAAAAATGTTGTCACGTAGATCATGTTTTTAAAAAATTAATAAAACTTAATTTGTTTATGTTGATTTTTTCTATGTAATTGTAATGTACAACGATTGACATACCAGTGCAGGTTTAGTGAAGGATAACTATGCCCTCGAAGGAGGCTTTCCGAAGGCTTTCCACAATATCAATACATTTACAAACACACTGTTTATAATCAGTTTTATAAACTCCGACACATTATTAGAGTTTATTGGGAATTATACTGAGTCTCGTGTGTCTGTCCCCACAATCTCTGTCCCCTCACTTAAAACAACTGATGATATCATATGATAAAAGTGTATTTTGATTATAATTTTTAAAATGATATATAATTATCGATATTAAGCGACAATCACATGAATAATGATAATCACAACAAAATTATTTAATTAATTAATTTTGTTTATTATCTCAATATTTAAAAAATAAATATTTTCACACAAAATGATTTATATTTGATAGAAAAACACTGACATTCAACAAAAAATCAGAGTATATAAGTACCGGTAATTTTAATAATATATTGAATCAAAGTTTTCATTTATCAAAATAATTTTATAACTAAACTTTTAATACTATAGTATTGGTTATAATACTTGTACTATATTAGTATATATATACAGAAAATACTAGTATTGTAATTAGATATTTGATTAGATTTTAAAATATTTTGTTTTTATTATTATTTTTTAACTTAAATCTATCGCTGAATTAGTTTAAAGTTGACAAAATAATGTCCACAAAATCAGCGCAAAACTTATCGGCAGTCCTCCATAAAGTGGACGACATGAGACTTGAGGACTGGCCAATGCCGAGACAACCGGCAAACAATGGTAAGTAAATATTTGAAATGTATTAAATAATTGCTACTTATATATACAGTATTTGTTAATAATTTAGTGTAAATAATATCAAATTAATTCTTTAATTTATAGATAAATATTATTTTTTTTTTAAAATTTTTATTTAATTTAAATTCAATTTTGTTGTTGTAATTAATTATTTAATAAAATGATATCCGGTAACATGACCTAATAATTGTTGTGTTAAAAATAATTAAATATCCTCGTTTCATTTTATAATAATATTATATTTAACTATTTCACTAATTTTACAAAAAAATTAACATTAAATAAAAATTAACATTTACTGTATAATTCATATATTGAATACATACAATTTATTTTTGTTGTGCAAGTTTTTACTAGTTTTGTAAATTATTATTAATATTAAAAATATTATTTTTAGTAATTAGGAAATAATTGATTATCTATAATTAGTACACTAAATATATGAACAAATTATTTTGTCATAAACAACTAATAGTAGTAGTAGTCAACCACAAATTATTAGTTTTATTACAAATGCAATATTACTGTATATTTGTAGGAAAAATATTGTTTAAAATGTTTTGTACAAAGTATTTACTAAAAAGCAATACAAACTATTATATACTAATATAAAATGCATAAAAGCATAAAACATTAATTAATATAAATTATCAATAGATTAATATATTATTATTTCTAGTTTATAAAATTATTAGTAAAATATAAATTAAAGTTTATAATATATAATTTATACAATACTATGAAAATTTTATTAAACATTTCTAACACTATGTTAATTATTTATAAATAACGCTATTTAGCTATAATAATAATAATAAAATCAAAATATAATAATATAATAAATCTTGAGAGTAATAATAAAAAAAAAATATTAATTTCATTGGTTTTAATACTATTTTGTGAAATATATCAATTGCAGAGGTATTACTTCGGACCAAATGTGTGGGCATTTGCGGCTCAGACGTCCACTATTGGAAACACGGGTCGATCGGCAATTTTATATTGGATAAACCAATTATCTTAGGACACGAAACGTGCGCCGAAGTGGTGGCCGTAGGTCCCGATGTCCATGATTTCAAAGTTGGTGACCGCGTATGTACAGAACCAGCTGTTCCCTGTCGATTGTGCTCGACCTGCAAAGAGGGTAACTATAATCTCTGTACAAACATCTCGTGTCACGCGACACCCCCGCACTCGGGCACTCTGACCAAGTATTTCATACATCCGGCTGATTATACATTCAAGTGAGTACTTATCGTAACCTATATTATGGATGATATGTATTATTAATATAACTAACATCGTGTTGCTTATCCATAAAAATAGACTACCTGATCACATTAGTGATGAAGAGGGGGCAATGATAGAGCCTCTCACAGTGGCCATGTATGCCTGCAAACGAGCCCAGGTAACTGTTGGCAAATTGGTACTTGTAACAGGTGCTGGCCCTATAGGACTGTTTAATATTATGGTGGCTAAAGCACTTGGAGCCGACAAAATACTTGTCACTGGTATGTAAATATTAAAACAATATTACATAAAAATATAAAACTAAATTGTTGTAAATTATCTCTTATATATAGACATTAATGAGAAACGATTAAAATTGGCTCAAAGTGTCGGCGCTGATCATACAGTATTGATCACAAAAGATAGTGAAGAAACAAAACTTGTCAAAGAAATAAAGGAAACGTTAGGTCAGATGCCCGACATTACCATTGAGTGCAGCGGTGCGCCGTCCAGTTCACGTCTGTCACTGTTGGCCACCAAACACGGCGGCATTGTTATCCTGGTTGGTCACGGACCCAGTAATGTTAGTTTGCCGATTGCCGATGCGGCTATTAGGGAGGTCAACATTCTCGGCTCATTTAGATATAAAAACTGGTATGTAATAGCAGTAGTAGTAGTAGTGTATGAAATAAGCATATTTTTGATATCAATTGCATATAAATATTTTAAACAAGTATACACATGTACAGTATATGTAATATTTACTACCAAAAAATTGCAATATATTACGATACTATTGATAAAATTAGTATAAATGATAATTTTTTGTTTATATAATTATTTTGATGTAGTTTTCCACTTTCAATATCATTGGTGAGCTCTGGTAAAGTGGATCTCAAACCATTAATATCCCATCGGTTTTCATTTGAACAAACTTTGGACGCTTTCAATACGGCCTATAAGGGAGAGGGCGTCAAAATTATCATCAATGTTGAAAACAATAAGCCTAAGAGTGGTGTTTAATAATTATTTATCTTAATTTTTATATATWTTATCTGCATTTTGTTTTTTTAAATAATTTTTTATTTAATCAATTTTATATAATGTATTTATAAATATTATAAAAGTACAAATTAATTGTTTATAACATATTTGTATTCTTTTTATTAAAAAAAATCTAAATATTTAATAATTTACTTTATATTATAACTATTGGATTAATGTTCCTCTACTTTGGGTATTATTATTATTAAGTAATGTTTTAATATATTTTGTATTTTATTATTATTATTATTATAATATACATTATATTACAACTTGTAAGTTAAATATAATTGTAAAATAATTGTACATTGTAATAAAAAAATAAATAAATTGAACTTTATCAATCACAATGTGTCAAATATTTAACATTTTAAATGTTTTCAAAAAAATATAACTAATCATAACTGATATCATTTGTAAACTATTTTGTCACGTAATTTAATTAAATTAGTACTAATGAAATGCTATATAATTAAACTAAATATTTCTAAACATTTATATACTGACACTAAAATCGTTAAAATGATAAATATTTTAAAATTATATTAATTATCAACTATTGTTTCAACATATCAACAATTATCAACATATGTTTGTTTTGTTAGATTTTTATTTAGTTATAATATTTTATGTTTGGTTGACTAGTATTATAAAAAATAATTTAATTAAACACAAAAATATAATATAATCTAATAGTTTTTGTTGATTACCTTCAATTGTTATCAATGATCAAACTTAACACTTACTGTTAATTATTAATCTATTTGTAGATATCAAACTAAATGTTTAAAAATAATTTTACAAAATTTGTTAAAATTTGTATAATTTTATATAATAAGTAATTTTTTATTGTTCAGATTACATTACTCACATTTATTAATATTATATGTAAATATAAATCGTATTAATATTATAATATTACAATATTAAAAAACAATAAATATATCTTACTTTTATTGATATAATCATGTAATTATTAAAGATTAAAAATGTAATTTTATTATAAAATTTAAACTTCAAGTTAAAGTTTACCAGTTTATATAGATTACTTATTAATCAGATAATTTTGTAGTATTTTAATAACATATTATAATAATTAAATATTAATAAAAGTATTTATGAATCAAACAAGAATTCAAAATTGTAAAATCAATWTATAATAATATTATTAATTTTTATTTTTAGTATGCCTTTATTTTAATTACTATAATGTAATATAAGTTTTAAATAATTTATATTATTAGTGTACGTTTTAATACTTTATAATAAAAATAAATTTGCATAAAAAATAATAAATAAAATAATAAAGTCTTAAAACAAATTAAACAATAATATAGATAACGACTTAAATATATTAGTTTAATTTTTCTGGTAAAATAAATTATGTCAGAAATTAGTTAATTAGTGACTATTTTAGATTTTCAGTATAAATATATTGTATATGTTTTGTGTCTAAATATTTAAACATATTTTTTATAGCTAATGATAAAACACAACATGTGTTACATAATTAGTATTTTAAATTATAATAGTAATCTATGCTTGATTTAGTTTTAAAAAATATTATGCATGTATTTTAGTAAACAATTCATTTAAACAAATATCTGTTTATAACAATAATGAAAATTATTTGATTGTTTTTTTCTAAATATCATAATTTCCTTAAAAGTTCACAATATTTAGTGATAAAATTAGTGATCAATTTATACAACAAAAAGCAAAATAAAGCATAAAGTAGTTTTCAATTTTAAAGACATTATCGATACTTAACTGTTAATTGACTACAGTTGACAAACAAGTCTAACAAATATATAAAAATTTTGTACAAATATTGAAATTATTAATAAATTTAATCAATAGCTATAATTACTTAATTACCGATTGTTTTATTTTTTTCAGAAATGTAAACTGCTTTCATAATCACTATATAAATAAGTGTTTGTTAGCTATTTTGTTCACAAATAAAAAATCATTTGTTATATAATAATACTAACAAATCGTACCAAAAAAATCAAACAAAGTTTTTACTTTCAGTGTGTTTGTGAAAATAAATTTATTATTATTAAAATAATCTGAATTATTTCCAATATGTTTTGTGATAATATTGTTACTGTTTTATTTGTTACCGTATTTGTCGGTTACTGTATGTGCAGCTATGGTGGCGGTGGCGGCGGTTCTTCAACGAGCAAACGCCAACAGGACGATCACGGAAACTATATGTTCAACTATGAAATCAAAGACGCCAAGGGTGGCCAAAACTACCGGAGCGAAAAAGGAGACGCTCACAATAATGTCCAGGGATCGTATGGTCTGCACGATGTCGACGGCCGTATGCGTGTTGTCGACTACTGGGCCAGCAAACAGGGGGGCTTCTCGGCTAAAATCCGATCCAATGAACCGGGAGTTGGCAACGCTGATGCCGCACACGCAACATATAACGGTGTAGATCAGGGACATGGACAACAATCACATATGGATATTAATCACTCAGATATGGGCAGCAAATACGGTGGTGGAGGCAGTGGTGGATATGGAGGCGGCAAATGGTAAACATAAATGATAATATGTTTTTGTTTAACCAATTTTATTGTAAAAATAATGTTTTTTTTGTTGTTGTGTAATATGTAATAAGTATTGTTAAATTTGTTATTTAATAAAATTCAAGTTAAAATTAATGTTACTTGAATATAATTATTTTTTAAATTAAATACTTAATGAAGATATTATATATTTAATATAAACAATTATTTAGACTAAAATTATTATAAGTTAAAAATATCATTTTTATAATTGTGTAAAAAAAATAATATACCAAATATTTTAAAAATATTATCCTAACATTTTAGTTAGAAATAATAAATCGATTACAATTAAATTATGATTAATATGTATTTATTAAAAAATCTAATATTTATAAAAATTTATTAATCGACTATTACTTGTATTATTTTACTATGGATTTTGATAAATTATTATTTCTTTAATTGTTGTTTTATAGTAGTTTTAAACGCAAAAAGTTACAAATTTTTAAGTAAAAAAGTTCAAAATTTATACAAATTAGATTAAATTCATATAATAATAGATGGCGATAATTTTTAATTAAGGTTCAGTAAACACATAAATTTTTAAATACATTTTAAAACTAATAATAGACTGATTGATTTTTTGAAAATAAAAAATGTTTTATTCATAATAATAATTTACAATATAAAATAAATCTTTATTAAATCAAAATTCATACAAATAAATTTAATTATAATTTTAAAAATATATTTTTAAAATCCATTTACAGTTTCATAAATTTCTTAAAATATTATTATACTGTAGTTACAGTATTTTATACAGGTATACAATATGTGAAACTATTTTATTTGATAATTTTGTTAGATTTTTAATTAAAAATTTTTTCACGATAACACTTATTGTTAATAACTGGATAAAATTTTGACTAAGATTATTTAACTAAAATGATTTATACTTAAATTATAGTTCAATTTTTAAATTTAATTTCTAACGATGTCAAGTTGTAATTATTTATACATTAGTTAAAATAGACGTAATATATAAAAAAATCAATAATTTTAAGAAAATTTTATATTTAAAAATAAATCATTTGTAATTCAAAAAAAACTTATAGTGATTCTCAACAAACCTACACACTTTGTTAATAATAACATTAAGTTATTTTTATAAAAACTAAGCAAAAATTACAAAATACTATATATATAAAGTTTAATAATTTAATAATTTTAGCTTTTAAATATATTTTATTAACATTCAAATAATATAATATAAAATTTTATCAGTTATTTTTAACTATAAAATTTCAAAAAATATATTTTTAAAATTAATTAAATAGCTGTATGATACTTGTATCTTACTTTTGCTTTACGTAAATTTAAAAAACAACATTTAAACAAAAATTATTTAAAAATAATAAATAATATTATGAATAATATTATGAATAATACTTGAATATTAATACTTATTAAATATTTTTATTATTTAAAGATTTGCTGATAATTATATCAACTAACTCAACAAATGTATAAATTTAGAATATAAATAATATTTCAAATTAAAATTCATTAGTAATTAGTTAATAAATAGCTAATAAGTTATAATTATAAAAACAATGTGCATCTTATATCATAATAACTTAATCGTATAATTATTATTGTATCATATTTTAATAGTATTTTTTGTAAACTTCTAAATATTATATTTTAAGTTAATATAATTAATTTTTTAAAAATATTAGTAATATTATAAAATGTATATATTCTATAATTTAAAAAATAAATCTAAAAACATTTCTATTATTCTTATATTAATAATCTTTTAATAATTTTAATATTGATTCAATGTTTAATAACTTAATTATTAACAGTATTTATCAAAATCTATAGGTATTTGAGTGAAAATAATAATTTTGATGACATGCTCACACATTATTGATTATTTACAGTACAATCACATATAATTTGTATTATATACTCTATACTACCGGTATATAATCACTTTATATAACATAAATAAATGTACTTTAAAAATTACCTAAATGTTGAAATGTTTTTTATGATAAAATATTATACTAACAATATTGTCTACTAGGTTAAAATAATAGGATAACGTCATTGTGAAATTTTTATTGGTTATATAAAATAATATAAATTAATTTTTTGCTATCTTAATAACTAAAGTGAACATGCTCATTTAGCAAAATGAGCAATCATAATATTGCAACATTTGCCAATTTATATCATAGTGATTTGTTATCACAGTTAATGTGTTTTTAAAAATTATATATGAATTATTTCTTTAAATAAATATGACCAAGTAAAATTTTTATATTATCAATAATTTGTGAACAATATCATTATATTTTAAYATATATTGAAAATTTTATACACTATTCTACAGTATTTTGTATTATAAATAACTAAATAGTATTACATTTTTAAACATAATATTTAAAAATTATAAAGTGTTTTCTCTACAATAGCTTATACATATGAATAGTTTAAGAAAGTAAAAAATTTAATTTACAATATTGAACTGAAAAAATAGTTTTATCGTTTTTTAAGCAAAATAATAATAATAATAATAATGTGGACACATATAGACAATGTTTGATTATATATTAATATTGTTTGGTATTAGTAAACAATGTAATTCATTGACAAATATATTAATATGTCTATCGTTTATATCATTTTTATTATATTCGAGTCACGCGTTTCTCACAGTAGACGGTCCGGTGATCACTGTCTACAAGATATTTACAGTAATGCTCACCATATCATCGATCACATCATACATACTGGTGCTCGTGAGGGCTAATAAAATATATGATCTCAACTCACAGATAAACCTTCAATTAGGTTATCATAAATGTCTTGATAAAAAACGGTTGACTACCAACATATCGTTCATCAGTGCATTATTGGTCAGTATTGTGGTAACTGTCCTCATAGTACTTGCTCTACATATAGATCCTCTAATCATCCAATCAATGAGTTTTACGTCAATTTCTCTAAAATCCCGTCAATTATTATCAATTCTAAGTCATCTCTATGTCAGCTATTGGTTAATAGCCGTCTCACTAATCTATGGTCAAACAAATCTACTTATCTATCAACTCATCAATGAATTCAATTTACAATTACTTAATCTAACTGCTGATAGTAGACCTGAAAAAAGTCATATAATAATGGCACAGGTATTTGTACTACAGTTACTCAAGTTTGACACAAAGTTTAACTTATGTATTGACCATTTAAAGTATTTTACGCTAATTCAGATAATATCCATTGATGTGACAAACGGTGCGATTTTTATTTACGAAAATATTAATAATTTAAGCTATTTATTATGTATTGCTGTGTATTTGGCAATCATCAACACATTTATTATAATCACCTATTTATCCGTCTTTTTAAAACATCGGACAAAACATCAACTGATAAACACAATACAAAAGTGGGACTTCTTTCTAAACGATGAAAATCTTGTCATTGAGCTAACTGTCCTCCAAAGCACTATTACTATATTAAATCATTGATTTGTTATATATTAAATACTATATATATTTCTATTAGTTTATATTAGTTAACAAATATCTGCATATTAAATAATAAATGAAAATTTATTTATCATTATATACTGTATCTGTTTTTGGTAAATATAGAAAGTTTTATTATTTGATATTTTTAATAATGAATTTAAATAAAATTTAATATTTATAAGTTTGACTTTTTAAATACTGTAGATTCTTCAATGTAAAAAATATTATTAACATTTTCAATAATTATTTGTCGATTACAGCAACTATTTGAATATTTTAAACAATTTCTTGATATTTTCAATAAATTTTGCTAAAATTTAAATAGTTGTTGTAATCTACAATTAATTGTTTTTTAAAATTACGTATATATTTTATAAAATGTCAAAATAAATATATACTCATAAAAATTAATCGGTTTTTAATTAAATAATATTGAATTAATACTTTTTAAATAATATTGAATATTATTATTATTATATTATTATAATAAAAAGTATGTTATACAAATTTGATATCCTACTATATTAATTTATTAGACAATTTTATCATTGTAAATATTATTTGTATTTATGTTATTTCAATTTTATTGTTAATAAATATATTTTATACATGAAATAAGATTTTTAGCTGATCTAAATATACTATATATTATACTACTGTATATTACATTATATATACATATATCTAAATTTATTTAAAAATCAATAAATTCTGTTGCAGTTAAGGAATTTTTGGTATTATTTAAATTAAATTTTAATTTTTAAATTACGTAATAAAATACAAATTAAACTGAATATATTGTTTTGTTTGTAATGTTAATAAAGATAATAAATTATTTTATAATATTATTGTTTTTTATTTATAAACTATACAAATATAAATAAAAAAAAATTACAAAAATAGCTATTAAATTGTTGAATGATTTTTTAATTTAATTTCAATTTGTATTTAAGGTATAAATAAAAAATTACCGATTAATTTATAATCACTGCAATAATCAATAATACAAATAATTAATATTAATAATTAATTAATAATCAATTGATTATGCAACAAAAAATAATAAAATATAAACTCAAAATTATTGTGTAATAATAAAATCAATAAAAATATTGCATTAAATTATAACCAAACTTAATTATAACATCTATTTCAATAATAATAAATTATTATTAATAATAATAAAGAAAATAAAGTAATTGAAAATTGTTTGTGACTTTATATTTACATTTTATATTTGATCGAAATTTTATTGTATTTTTGTCATTTTATAACATATATTCAAATTATAATGTATTTGTACTAAACTTATCTAAAAAATGTTTGTTAATTTTGTTTTATCAAATGTTTACTTTATAATTCAATATAGAATATTGTATGTTGACTACTGTATTGTTGAAATTTAATAATTATTTTTTTATTTGTATAATGATTTGTATGAATATTTACAATATATTATTTTAAATAACTTATTTATCTATTATAATTCAGTCTAGTTTTTGAACGATTTCTTATGAAAACAAAATTTACTCAATAGTTTAAATGATTTAATTTATAAATATCTGTCTCCACTTTATAGACTAATTAAAATAATTAATATAATTAATATATTCATTTTTAATTGAATTCACACGTCAGTAGTAATAGTATTAATAAAATAATTAATATAAAATAAAATGATTATAATCAGCTAATTAGCATAATATTATTAGCAGCAACATATGTTTTATAAATAATTAATTTTATTATCCACAACATTGTAAATATTATATTAAAGAACTAAAATTTATTTTAAAAATCATGCTAAAAATCTTACAATTAATATTATTTAATATAATTATAATAAATTTAATAAATTTAAAATGTGTTTTTATTTTATACTTACTATTTGTTTATATTGTCTATAACTACAATAGTTTTTAAATTTATACAGTAAGCCTCATTGGAAACATTTAAATTATTTTAATCTTACGTTAAGTTTTAATTTTAAATTATTGAATTAAAAGATACTAAAAGTTTTATTTTACTTTGAATGTCAGCAATATTGACATTAAGTTATATATATAATGGTGTTTATTTAATAACAATTTTTGTTATTGTTATATACAGATATTTTTATATTTAATTTTATTGTAATATAAATATTTTTGTAAAAAAATCAATAAATTTGATTTTTTTCTATTATTGAAATAAAAATAAAGCAAAAGGTTAAATATTTTTTTAAATGTTAAAAAATAGAAATAATATAATGATTAGCATTAATACAGTATAATAAAAAACTTTAAATAAATAAATAATATAAAAGATAAATATTTAATTTAAAATATAAATTAAAAAAGCATACAATATACAGGGTCATATAAAAATAAACACTATATAAAAATTATTTATTAAATTAATATTACTAATTTTATTGAGTTATCATTAATTGATATTTTATTGCATAAATTATCAATATCTTAAAATTTATTAATGAATATCTTATTTTGAAAAATAAAATTATTACATTTAATATCACATGGTTTTGAGTTAATTGCTGGTAATTATTACATGAAAACTAAATAAAAAGACACACACACTCACTCATACACACACACACACACACTCACTCATACACACACACACTCACTCATACACACACACACACTCATACACACATACACACACTCATACACACACACACATACATACATACACACACACACACACACACACACACACACACACACACACACACACACACACACACACACACACACACACACACACACTCACTCACTCACATACACACACAAACACACACACTCACTCACATACACAGACTTATAAATGCCTATAAACATAAAGAGGATAGCCTTGATTTTTCCAGCCCTTTCCTCATATAGAAATAGCATTTATATAATAAATGTTGAAATTATAATTTTTATAAATACCATAATAATAGCTACTTATCTACAATATTAAAACTATCTGTTAAAAGCATTTATCATTTTTGTTATATTATTATATATCAGACAAAAAGCGAGAGAAAGAAAGAAAGAAARARAGAGAGAGAGAGAGAGAGAGAGAGAGAGAGAGATTGAGTGAGAGATTTCAAGTAATTTTCAAAAAGTAATTTAACGATTGTTTTAAAAAAAATTATTTAAAGTCTTACTTATCTTTTAAAGTCAACTGTCAAAAAACTCATACATTTGTAAAGTATTGAAAGTCATTGAAGCAATTCAAACCGTATGAATCATAACTACCTGTGCTTAATCATATGTATAGGTAATAGACTACTATCGGGTGATTTCATGGCATTGTTGCCGATACTATAATAAAGTTGTGATTATTGTTATGTATTATTATTACAAATATTATTGTTGATTGATTTGGTAAAAGTATTTTATTCAATGAAAATGTTTTTGTGATTTACTATTATTAATATATATTTTTTTAATGTGTAAAATAAACAAAAATAAAAATTCATTTACAAACAATTATGTTGAAGAAACTATGCGCACAAATAAATAATAAAAAGGAAAATATTAGATATTAAAACTGTTTCTTACGGTTTGAAATTATTTATGTGAAAAAGTTGAACAATGATTACCAGTAATAGTATTACCGATAATCGTGTGCTGTACGCGACACGCGACTCGTGCAGTGATATATGTTTAGTGATTGGCACCAATAAGATACCGGTACACAAAAATATACTTATATCAACCAGTGACTACTTTCGGGCCATGTTTACCATTGAAATGCTGGAATCGCAGCTCCAGGAGGTGACAATCGACGAGTACCTGATCCGCGAGTTTCTGCTAGTCTTACGTGTGGCCTATGGATTCAAACTAACTGTTCCCGAACTGGACAAAGACTGGTCGTTTAGCGAACTGTTTGACGCCATAGTTATCTCAAATAAATATAATTTTCTTGCTGTCGAAGAGATAATAAGCGAAATGTTTGTCCAAAAACTGATGACAACTCCTATAAGCTATTTATGTATCAAATATAACAACTATACAACTGGTGTGGTCGACAACAATAACAGTGCTGTCAGTGATACCACTGTTTTGACTAAAGTAACGGAAAACGAGTCGTTACAGACAATGACAATCTATGAGCTCATGGATGTGGCCCGGGATTTCAATTTGCTATATTTACCACAATTTTGTCAACAGTATATTCAAACGAGAGCCCTGCAAAACATCAATAGTTTTAAATACTATTATAATTTATGGTCTTAGATATGCATCAAATAATAAATAACAATTATTTTATTAAAAAAATAGATTTTTATTCTTTAGATTTCTATATTGATTAATTACAGTATATAAATTACTAATGATAATTTATAACATAATTTTAAAAAAAAAAYATATTTATGTAATCATTAATGTAAAGATTTTGTAAAATTAAAAATTAAAAAAATTGTATAATTTATAAAAATATATACCGTACAGTATATGTTGTATATATAAATAAATAATTTTATAAATAAGTTAGAAAATTAATCAACAAAATACTGTATTTGTATAAATAAAATGACATAAAAATTTGTTATCAATAATAAATGAACGAATTTAATGGAATGTTTTTTTAAATAAATAAATTGTATAAATTATCTACAATTTTAATTAATTAACAATATAATAAGTAAAACTTATATGACATTATTTTAATTTTTTATTAACATTAGAAACTTTTTTTATTATATACAGTACAATGTTGATATTAGTTAGTTAGCATCAGTCAGTAAAGTACAGGTATATAAAATATACTAAATTTTTAATCATACGTTTAAAACAGTAAATTAATTTTCAACGATGAACACACATAAAAATTCTTTAACAATATCTCAAAGAATATTAATTATATTCAGAATTATGAGTTTTTTATGAGTTTTCATTTATGAATTTAAAAAATTAAGTAATAGTATAGTAAAATATTTCATAGATATATTCTCAAGACTAATTAAAATTATTTTTATTATTAATTAACAATTACATAAAGCTATAYATATAAACATTGCAACTATTTATGTTAAAAAATACTAACAATTTTAAAAATATATATAAACAAATATTTTATATGTACATAAAAGTAATAAAATATTTTTTATTTTTTTAGAAATGTCATTTTTATTGTGTCATTAAAGCTATACACATAGTGATCGTGATTGAGTTTTAACTCAAATTGACAACACTAAGTTAATATCCTATTATTATATATTTATAAAAAAAAAATATTTATATTATTAAACAATATATATATATATAAATAAATAATAGTATTTAAGATTAAAAATTGAATATTTTTTAAATAATGACTAATATAAAGACATGTTTAATGATTAAATTAAAAAATTCCTGAAATTAATTTTTGACAATTTAATCTCATTTTGATTTTTAAAAAATTCATTTTCTTTTATTAGTTAAAAATTTAGTTATAATATATATAAATTTATAGCAGTATATTTAATATATAAAGAAATATTTACACAAAATTATATTATTTATAAAATGAAATAAAAGAAAATAGCAATAAAATAATTTTTAAAAATTGTATTACAAAGAACTACATAAAAATTTTATTCTAGAAACAAATAAATTAAACTATAATAAAATGTAAAATATTTATTTAAAAAAATAAAAATATGATAAATATTCATGATGATTCTTTTTTATATATAAATATTTAATAAACTAATAATTTATTTTTAGGTATATATATATTTGTAAGATTTTTTTTAAAAAATGTAAATCAACTGCCTTTTTATAAAAATTCTAAATAATTATATCAACTGATGTCTGTAAACATTAATAATTTAACATTTGATAAATTATTAATAGTAATAAAATAATTATATGAAACTTAACCGTGAAAAAGTATATCGATCTTGATTTTGTTATTTGGGAGTATCAAGGACATTTGAAATGTATATATTATTGATTACTAATATATAAAGTTGTGAAACTAATTTTTGTTGAGTTTGATCAGAAATTTGTTTTATTAAATATATTATTAGTTAATGAATTACACATTTTAACTGCCAATATATAGTATTGCATTGTATTGTAATTAGTACTAATGTTTTATTTTTATTTTAGTGACTTTAATAAAAGATCTTGAATTTATAGAAAAAATTATAACTAGAAGTGCCAACTCAAATTATTTATAAAAAAGTAAAGTTTATTTCAATTATTTAGTAATTTTAATTATTAATCAAAAATATATTAAATAATTACAAATAAACATTTAAAAAAGCTTACAAAAATTATATTTATAACTTAAACAATTTTTACAATTTTTTTAAAAAAGAATTTACAGTATTATTTAAAAGCAATTTATTGTTTATAATAAAGATATCAATATTAATAAAATATTTTATAAAAACAATTAAAGTATTTTCACATTGAGATGAAAAACATGTCAAATTACAATTATATTGTACAGTATTTACACACTTGATGTTACAACTATTGTGTGACAAATATTATCAAATTATTATTTAACGTATTATTATTAATAATAATGTTTATTTATTCATATTAAAATTTAAAAAAAACTATCATAATATATACAGTATACATAAATTATAATGTAATTTATTAATTTAAAATAATCAAGCAAGATATTATCTATTTTTAGAAATATTTTATCAATTGATCATACAAAATTTGTTTTTTCTGAATCTAAATGTACTATTTTGAATATCAGATATTTATAAATTTAAATTTTTTTATATAAACTTACAAAAGTGCAATGAATTGTTTGACACCATAAATATTTATATTGCAAAATAGCTTATCATTTGCAAAAATGTCAAATTTTTTAATTTAAACGATGCATTTTTTTAAAAAAATACCGACAATAAAGCCATAACTCTGAAGGACAGCCACTTATAATAATAATAATAATATTACAGTACTAACTAGTTTATCCCGGTTTATATCAAATAAAACAATTTATTGGTTAAAAATCAAATAGCTAAACAGTTTAACAAAATAAAGAGACTGTAAGATTTGATTATATGCATTACTAGCTAAACCTGTATATACTCGGTTAAACAAAATTAATTATTTTTAGTTATTTATATAATATAATTAAACACAAACGTTAAATGTTTTATAGTTTTATTTGTTATAGTAATAATAATAACTTAAACTTGAAGACACCGGTAATTGAGTCTATTGTATAACATTTTATCTTGGAAAAAAATAATTTTTTTAAATGTATAACAATTTTTAAAACAAAAATGGTAACATAATTTTTAAATTCAATGAAAAAGATATTCATTTTAACAATATGATGACAATATTGTTTGGTAAGGTTATATAAATATTTAATCTACTAATAATATATTTGATAATAAAACACAAATATTATTTAATATTAATATTTACTTAATATTCTTTATTAAAATGTTTATATAATTATTGATATATAATGCAATTAACATAATTTATTGTAATAAAATAATTAAAAAAATTTTTATAATAGAAAACATGAATAAATAGTTTCTTTTTTATTTAAATAGTATAATATTTATAAAAAAATCATTTTATAAATTCAAGGTCACAACAAAAACAAAAAAATATTAAATATTTGCTCATTATATATTCTAATTATAAATTTCTATTATTATTTTATTAATATTGTTATTTATATATTTTGTGTTTAATTATTTTAAAACCACCATGTTGAAATTTTTAAAATAACACTATAATATCTATTGTTTAATATTAATTTTTGTTATTCGTTAATATTATTATAATTAGGTTTATATACCGGTATATATTAAAATACAGTATTATCTATAATATATTTTAAAATCGTTTTTCTAAATTACATTTACTACTCTAATAATAATAATAATAATAACAATAATAACATTAAATTATTATTTTATGAAATTTAATAATCTTTTTATTCTTTAGAATAATTAGTTTATAATTATACAGCTAATTATATTTATAATATATATATAATTAAATTATATATATATATATATCAATATATATATTGTAGATTTGTTAAATTAAAATTTTACAACTATATTTTGTTTCTACAACCTTGGAAAATTATAGATAAATACAAATTTGTTAAATATTAATAATATCTTAGAAACTACATATTTAGTAATATAAAAGTATTAAATATATTGAAATTTGTTTAAATATAATAAGTAATGTAATTACCGTACATTACTTATTAAATTTAGTTTATAAACTGATATTCAATATGAAAAAAATATATTACAAAAATTAATTGTTAAAAAAATATTTATAGCGTTTAATTATCTATTTTATATTTTCAAAATACATTATATATTGAATTATAAATAAATATTATAATTTGTTTAACACCAGAGATTATAACAATATTTGTAAGCATTAACTCCTCGATGAGCTTTACTATCGATATATGTTTTGCATAAATCGGACAAATAATTCAAATAATATTGTTTGGATATCTCAAGCACTTCATGTAAATTATAAACAGACGGCTCTGTGCTATTGACATCACATATGGACAGGTAGTCGGTGTAACTGTGCTGTAGTTTATCCATAAACAGGTCAGTGATATAAACTTCGCATCGTTTGAAATGATATTTGTTGGCTACTATTATGGCATCGAACAGTTGACTGAAAGACAGTGTTTTTAGATCCCGGTGCGATATTTTCAGACCATAAGCCGTCTTCAATGTAAACAGGAAGGGCTGATGAAGTTTCTCACAGAGTGTCACCTCTTGTAGCGAACACTCCAACATCTGATTGGTAAACATTGCCTGAAAATAGTCGCTCTCAGCGGTCAGTATCCTCTTGTGCGCCGGTATGCGGACCGATCCGAGCACTAGTATCACATCGCATGACTGGTCAGACAAATACAGATCACAATTGTTGGTAATCATTGTCAATGGATCCAAATATTTTGTCATTTATTTTCGTATAATATGTCATAAACAATACGACAGTTCAATAACGGAGTTTGTTATTTAACTTTGTTAGCTAACTGTCCACTTATATGATATATTTTTGTCAAACGATCAATGATCTGATGAGCAGTAGTTTATATAACCTATTGAAACACAAAATATTATAAAAACTTGTGTGATATTGAAAACTTTGAGAGAGAGAGAGAGAGAAACACTATTTTGAGAGATAATTATTATTTTCAATAATATTTCAAACTCTGGTTCATATTCTTGAGTAACAACTTTAAAAAAGATTGCTATTATAGGATAGGATGTATAGTACAGTACTTTTTAATATAATATATATATATATATATATATATATATATATATATATATATATATATATAATAGTTATATTGAGAAACCAGAAATGCAAACAATCAGAAAATATTTAATATAAAATGCAAACATTCAAGTTTAGGGATAACATGTTTAATGTATTGAATATAATTTACTTTTCAGATAATATACAGGTATATACCTGTATATAAAAATAATGTTTGAATGCAATGTTAAAAAATCAAGTTTCAGCACATAATTTGCATTAATATAGTACATTATGTTGACTACATTTTTAGATATATATTAGTTTTTTATTTATTTAAATTTATWAAAAAAAATTAAGTATACAGGTATATAAAAATAATAATTAATTAATACAGAAAAAGAAACAAAAAATGAAAAAGTCTGTTAAGGTTTTGTAAACAAAAACCAGTGAATAATATTAAATTAGAAAAATAATTAATTTAAAATATCAACAACAAAAATTACCTTGGTTATTGTTGATTGTCAATAAATTTGGAGATTTATTTTTTTGTTGAATTAATTGAACAAACATATAAATTGTTTTATTTTTAAAAAAAAAAAATTTCACTATATTAGAAAAAAGGATATTTATTTAATAATTGCATATTTGAAAAATTAAAATAATAATAAATAATATACTGTACTTCATATAACATTAGAATAATTAAAAAATATTTAGCAAAACTGTCAAACATATACAAGATTTATATATTTATTTTAATATAAATATATGTCTATTTTTTATAATATTAATGTTTTAAATGTTTTTTTTTAATTTTTAAAAAATAATAATTGAAAATTCAATAACAGTCAGTGTTTATGCGTTTTACTGCATTTTTTGACTGAATATCTTTAATACTATTTATAAACAAAACTTTGGTTTAATTATATTCAAACCTTAACCAAACGTTTTCCTATTGGGTTCGCGTATATAATATAAAACACACACAACATGTGACTCACGGGATATGCCTTTATTTGATTGATTGTTGCAATAAAAAAAATAAACGTTTGTATTACTGTACTATACATCATAAATATAAAGATACTAAAAATACTGTATTTAATACTACAGTATATTTTTAGGTATATAAGTTAAACGAAATAAGATTGGTTATATAAAAAATCTCTTATTTCAACTAATAGCTAATTTATTTGAAGGTCAGGTAATTTTTTTGTAACTATTACTATGCCTTATAAATTATGTTATAAGTTATAATGAGATTTTGTTAGTAAATGGCACTGTTGTCTCACTAAGCTCTCTCTCTCTCTCTCTCTCTCTCTCTCTCTTTCACACACACACACACACTAACACTACAATTACTAACCACTATCTATAAACTTATTTTTAATAACTACCTATTGTTTAGAAGAGAACTTATTATTAAAAATTTATTATAGTAGTATAAAATAATAATAATTGTTTTTATTGATAATTAAGTATTGCCACATAAAATCAACAAAAACAGTATGATTTATAAATTGAAATGTTTCAGTAGTTATTGCAATTTGCAAATCAACTTTTAAAGTGTGAAATGTTTACATTTTGTATCAATAATTTTTCAAATAATAATAATAATACAAAATTAAAGTTAAGTAGATGTTTGAAAAATCTGGGCGGCGTGTTATCAACTAAGATTCGTAACTTGCGTGCACTTAACTCCTCACTTAAGTGAAATCCTGTGTTATTAAACATTTTAGCAAGTTAGGTTTACGGGTAAGTTAGGAGAGGACTTAAGTATACAAAACTGGTTTTTAGGTGAAAAGTGTGTTAAGAAAACAAGTTAGTGCTAGAGTTAGGTGTAAAGTTAGGATAGCTTTAACCCAACTTTAGCTATACTTTAACATTGATAGTAATGTTTATTTTATAGTTTAAAATATTTATACTTATAAATTTAATAAAACACTGTATTATTATCACTACAAAAAAGAGTTACGTTTGCGTAAAGCAAAACATTTTGTAGTAACGCTACTCTATACTTAACTTAAGGAAATCGCAAACGTAAACCTAAGTGTATTCCTTATGATAACACTCACCCCTGAACAATTATTGAACATTATTTCCATTTAGTTGATAAATAAGTTGTCAATCAGGAAATCATTAACATTTAATGACTGTTTTAATAAACTGTATTTAAATATTAATATAAATACTATTTATTTATTAATGATTATCATTGCTATTATTAATGTAACAGTTTAACTAATAATATAATATTTTTATGCATTAGTTACCAGTGTTGGCAGAGACAAAATGTTTGTATAATACAAAGCGTATAATACAGTATAATACAATGTATTTATAATACATGGTCAATTTGACTTACAAACAAAATTTAGCGACACCTATTGTTAAAAGCATTAATATAGTAATAAAGTAAACCATGTTTTATAATAAATATAAATTAAATGTTATTTTTTATTAAATTTTTATTTTAAATTATTAGATTATTATTATTTAGAAACAACTATTATTATAATAATAATGCATTTAATAGTAATTATATTTTTAATTAATTTTTTAACATAATATATATTAGTCTTAAAATTTTTTATAATATAAGCAGTACATTATACAAAGTCAAAATTCAAAACCATGTATCTTTCCAACCCTGTTAGTAACACAATTGACTTTTGTCAAGATAAAGAAAATCATAAAATAATATTATTAAAAATATTATTAATTGATTTTTTTATTTAAATTGTCATCTAAATGCAAATTTTAAAATAATTTATTATATAGTCATAATCATATAATATAATTTTTGACATATAACAAAATTATTTAAAAATTTAATAATATATTAAATTATGTACAAACATAGCCAAAATGTATGTAATAAAAAAAATTTATATTAAATATTAAATTATATAAAACATATTCATTTAAATTGATAATACATATTTAGTATTATAATAATTACAAATTAAATAACTATAAATACTTTTAAAATATAAATTTATCATATATAATAACAAATGTAATTATAAATTATTACATATAAAATATTTAATTACTGTATAGTAACTGTAAATTTAATACTGTTTTTGTTTTAATAATAATAAACAAATAAAAATTATCGGAAACCCAATATTTTCTTAATAAGTATATGTAATTTAAAATTTTCTAAATAAGTAAACAATAATATATTGAATATAAATATAGCTATATTGTAGGCAACTGTCACAAGATAGCCATAGATGACCCGTTGATTGTACATTCGTAGGCCACGTAACATAACTGAGCGCATAGAGTCAATTGGTAGTGTCAATGGTGACCAATAGGCAAAAAACCGTAGATAGGATGGGATAGCCTCCAGTGGCCATAAAACACCGGAACATATCCATAGAGGTAGCATTAAAGCTGATATACCCACCTATAAAATAATAATTATAAATAAAAAAATATTAACATTAAGTATTAATTAAGTTAATGATGTGAAACAATTAGCTGTATTTTTAATAAATCATTTAACAATTATGTATTATAGTTAGGGTTTGAGCAAGTTCCATCCATCGTTTTATTTTCCAATAAATTTCCCTATTTTCCCTGAAAATTCCTAAGGAGGCTATTTCCGTTAGCTACCACCTATTGAACTTTAAACTACAAATTTTATTATAAGATTTGAATAAAAATTGTTGTATTTAAAGTTTATTTTGAGTATTATTGTTAAATAGTATTGAATTCAAATTGATTTTTAAATATTTCATTGAAATTTTATGAAAAATATTTAATTGTTTGTATTATTTAATGTAAAAATATATAATATATTTTCCTTTCTAACGATAGGGAACTATCTTTTCACTATTTTCTGGGAAAATTGGATAGATTTTATCAGGGTACTTCCTTCCCTTTGAAAGTTGCCCGAACCCTAATTATAGTGTTATAAAAAATTTATAAATAAAGTATTTAATTATATGTTAATGTTAGCTTAAATATTAAATTAATGATTGAAATGCATAACTAAATAATAATTATTTTGTTGTATAGTTTATTTTAACACTTGGATTGAAAAGTTATCAAAAAAAACCTTACGGTAAGTATCAATCATTTGTTAACTTAGAAATAAGGCTAAACGGTTGTCAAAAATAAATTAATGTAATTTTTCAACATCAAATCAATATTAAATTATGCATTTTTATTTAATAGTAAATACTGTATAATATTTAATTAGCCTAAATAATGTAGATATATATATATATATATATAATATGACTATACAGTATATGACTGAATTATATAGAGTAAATAAACTACTGTACGTAAAAATTAAAAATCAATTACTATATACTATATATATACTATATCATACCATAGCAAATACTTCATCGGGCAATATCAATGATATGGCTAACCCAATGCTGGCACCCTCTATACCCTGAAGAAACAGTAGTATATAGACATCTATAGCGTATCCCCTGAGAGTGGTCTGAAAAACGACAAATGACAGCAACATAATGACCATCACTTGAAACACAATACCGAACACAATGGGTATCATATGAGCGAACAGCACCTCAATAGGCCTAACACCGCCCACATAAGCCCTGTCAAGACAACCGCTTTTTTGATCCTGAATTATCATAAAAGCCGACATAATTATCGGTAATGTGTTAGTTATGGCCAACAGTATGCCGGGTGCCACATAATCTTTGAATGAATGATCATTAACACCGAAAATAGGGTTTTCAAACTTTACGGGCATTGAAAACGTGATGGGATTATAGCCTTTGCTGACACTGTAGTCCATAAGGAACGCCTGAAACGTTTCGAGTAGATAGTCGTACACATAGGTACCGACCACTGTATCGGACATATCGGCGTAGAGCCGAATCTTTGAGTTTTCAATATCATCGTCGGTCATATCCAGTGGGTATAGTATGCGAGTGTCGAAACTTTCGGAAAAATTGGATCGAAAAGTCATAGCAAAAGCATTGTGACCGCTGATCACCGATTCAATAGCCGATTCGTTACTCGGATAATAGATCTCTTCGATGAAGAATCTGTCGACACGTTTGAGAAATGTTTGTGAAAGTCGAGGCTCTTCTTCGCCATTATAAACGGCAACCTTCACGTGTTTAGGCTTCGGACCAATGGTTAGCGTACAGAAAGACAGGGAAATAATAGGAATCAAATAGAAGACAAAAAAGACGAGTGGATTACGACGAGATCGTATGACATTCTTGAGTAACAGTGCTCTCATACGGTCTCTATCGATCAGTTTGTTACTCTTTGTGGCACTAGTCTGGTAGTTCATCTCCCGGTGCTTTGTTATCTGTTTATCAATAATTCGTTCTTCATATTCAGTTTGTTTGTATACCTCAACCGGATTGTCTCGTTTGACACCTCGTCCTCCGCCTCGACTGCGGACAACTTCGTCTTCGGCCATCTTTTTCTTACACAACATCAGAAACACATCTTCTAGTGATCGACACGAGTATTCTGTCATTAATTTATTTGGATTGGACTGTCTTAATAGGGAACCGTTATTCATGAATCCAACATTATGGGCAGTACGCGCTTCCTCTATATAATGAGTAGTGATAATGACCGTCACGCCATAATTTTTGCACATCCGCTCCAAGTACTGCCAAATACGACACCGGAGTAGTGAGTCGACACCAACGGTAGGTTCGTCCAGTATCAATAGCTTAGGTCGATGAATCATTGTAACCGCAATCGATGTTAGCCGCTGTTGACCACCACTAAGCTGACTGACCGGTTGATTCTTATCCGGTAAGTTCAACAATTCAATTAAGTCTTGTATGCGCTCCTGTATGTCACACTTGTCCATGTGATATATTGTGCCGTAATAGGTTAGACTCTCGCGTATGGAAAACTCGTTAAACAGTGCAATCTCTTGTGGCATATACCCGACGCCTGGGCCCGGTATGTCGGACCGGTGACTACCCGGTTCCTCACCGAACACCCGAATAAAACCGCTTTTGTACTTCAAACGGCCCAACACTAGTCGTAACAAAGTTGTCTTTCCACACCCATTGGGACCCAAAAGTGCAAAGATTTTTCCTATAAATTTGTTTGATTTAAATATACTATAAATTAAATGTTTTTATTTGTTTTATAAATGAAAATGTATTAAAACAATACTACATTAATCATGGATTTTGTTAATAGATTTTTTGTTTATTTAAAATTATTACAGTATTATTTCAATAGACTGTATTTATAATGTAATTCTTTTATTATTTATATAATATTTTAAGTAAATTTATAATTTGTTGTTATAAAAGTAATTGAATTTCTAATGTACCATGAGCTAAATTAATAATTTATGTTCACTTAACATCGTATAAGTATAAAACATTTAAATAAAGTTAAGTAATTAATAAGTGTCATAGATTATGTAAAAATTAGATTTAAAATTACATATTTTAAAATAAAATTAATTAAAAATGTATGCATATTTTACTTAGAGATTTCAATTAAATTAATAAAAATTATTATTATGAAAATGATTTATAAATAATTTCTTTTAGTATAATTCAATATAAACAAATAATTTAACAATAATATTATTTGAAATAAGATTATCACAAAATATAATCATAAAAAGTTTTTATAAAACCTATTAAAATGTGTAGTAATCGGTTTGAATTAGAAAAAGAAATAGTAATTAACAGATAGTTATCTAAAAAACATTATGATGTAACAGATAAGCCATATAAATGTATGCCAATCCTTAAGTCCAATACAATATACAGTAAATATTCAATGATTATTACATAACTGACCTTCAGGTATGTGCAAATAAATGTCATCCAATATGACATTATCTTTGCTGTAACCAAATGTCAGATTTCGGACATCAACCGCCAAAGCAATGTTTTCATAATTTAAATCACAATAATAATTATTATTATTATTATTAACACTATTATTAAAGTTTTTATTTAAATAAATAGACTTTTTATTATTCATTTTTACAATTCAAGTCTAAACTGATAAACGTTTGATTAACCAAATGATTATTAAATATATATATATATATATAATTTTATAGTAAAAATAATATTTGTATATTATATCACATTTTATGGAAAAATATTTAAAATATAAAGTATTGAAAATTACAATTTAGTATTTTTATTTAAAAAAATAAAAGATTCAAACTTTTGTTGCAAAATAATATACTGTATAACTGTTGTATAACTGATAATAATTAAAAATTCACATTTATTCTCACAATTAATATATTAAAATGGATTATATAATTGAAATTACAAAAAATATAAAATATTTATAATCTAAAATTTGAATAAATAGCATATTATAAATAGTATATAAAAATTATTATTATTATTAAAAATTTTATTACAGTGAATATGTAGATATTTGAAAAATAATATTTAATTTTTTTTAAATAATCAGATTATTAATAATTATTATTAATGATTAATATGCAAACAACCAAAAATTCACAAATTTAAAAAATAATGATTTTAAGTTTTCACAATATAGAAAAAACATACCTGTGCTACACAACCATCATTACTATTTCTACAAATTGCTATCGACTTTTAAGATTTAATAAATCTTAATTTATTTTCAAAAAATATATATTAACTTTCACTTTTTTTCACTATTTTTGCATATTAAGTACATGTCGTAGACTGATATCAACAACAAAAATTTAAACACTATATCATGAAATTACTTCATGATATATGGTTCATGTATTAGAAAGTGAATTAAAAAAATTTATATACAAAACCAAGGACAATTTGTTGGAAAATTTTAATTTGTTATATAATTTCAAATCATATCAAACCTGAAGCATAAATGAATATTCAATTAATAAATGTAAAATAAAAAATWACAATAATCAACATTATTTATCACATATATTTGATATAATGTTAGTTTTTCAATTATTTGTTATTAATACTTTGTTATTATTATTTTATTATTACTTAATTTTAATGATTAAATTTTTTTTGTTGTCACATAAGCAAACACTTGATAGATAATAAATCAGGTTTTTTTAATATATCAATCTGTATGACAAATATTAACATAAATATGAGACAAATCTATTTGCATTGATATATCTGTCAAATACTGTAGTACTATACTATAAAGTTGTCAAATATGTACTAAATTTATTATATTAGTAAATAATGTACAGTATTATCATTATTATTAATATTTATACAATTATAATAGACTTTCTATAAATTAAAATCTCTGTATACAGTATATGTATTTTCAAATATTCAACGCATAACAGGTATTATCTAATAAGACAATCAATAAATCAGATAAAAGTGGCCAAAAAAAACCTGATTTCACTCTTCATTAAACGTTTTTGTATTAATTATATTACTAAACGCACGGTATGTCCTACTTTTATATAATATAAATTATATGACTAACCGACCACTACTTTCTACAATTAGGGTCTTACATAACACACTCCCCCCTCWCACACACACACTCCCGGTTTAATTGAATGCAAGTATTGAGGAAAAAAATTTTGCTTTAATACACAATGTATTTAAATATAAAATTAGATGAACTTTCACTCCATTTTATAGTATAGTATATCAAAATGCAATAACATTTTGTATATTGATTAATGATTTAATGTACAATATATTACAACTAAAATATATATATTTTTAATTAAAAAGATATGTTTTTTTTAGTATTTTAAACCCATATTCAGAAATATATTGTTATTACTATTTCTATACTTATATTACTTTACTGTATGTTTAATTAATGATTATACTGTAAATATTATTAATAACCAATTTAGTATATATATTATAATATTTATTTGATTAGTTAATAGATAAAATAAAGTAAATAATATAAATTGGATTAACTAATTATTAGATCAATAGTCAATAAATTAGATTATATAAAAATTATATAATTAATATATGAAAATTATAACTTTTCACTAGTTTATTAATGATATAATTTATTAAAGTTTTCATATTAATTATTTAAAGATTTTCCTAATTTTGTAGTCAAAATAAAAAATCTGCCCAACATTAACATAATCTATAAAATAATATTTATAAATATTCATAAATATTGATAGTTAATATTTTTTTAAATATAAAACTATTACTTACTCTAAATGCTATCATTGGTGTCATAGCAAACAACTTTCCGCACGTGAAGCCAACCAACCGCTGTTTATTACTGACCCTTTCCATCGCATTAATTAACTACCAGTTTGTGTGTTGTTGTTGTTGTTTATAAAAAAAATTATTATTTAGAAAACAATTTTATTTTTGTTTACAGAAAATACCTTAATATCGTATTTTAATCCCAAACGTCTAATCCTTGACAGTCTATAAAGATTATGGTAAGACCTATTGGCTTCTTTATGAACACTGGCTGTCATCATATTAATACCGGTCACCATAGAAATGACCATCAAACACCCGGTGCCCAATACAGCCAATAAAAGTGGATTACGGTTTTTGCCCATTAACATTTCGTGCCATAAAATAAGATTACCAGGTATTATGATAAACAATAATGCAAAATAAAACCGACACCAAAACTGGTCATACCGTTTGACAAGCAAACAGTTATTGTTGTGCTCTGACAGCGCTTGCTTTATATGACGGGCCGTTAGATTTARCCGTAATTGTAGATTCATTTCACGGAACCGAAGTCGGCAAAAGTCACAGACAATAAAATAACAGATAAAACTGTAGGTCTCGACCGACATTATGGCCATACCTAACACTGATAACACTGCGGCGCTTAATATGCCGTATATGAAAAAGTTTAGTAAATCATAAGCAATATAGCATACAATAAGTCCTAATAAGCCCATCAATGTCGGTATAAAAATAAGTGAAATAAAACTAAATTTAACAAAAAAATTTACTCTATAAACGAATTTAGTAATCTCCCGGCGCTCATTGATACCCATACTGTTCATTAATTTATAACTGTCCATTGATTTTATTATTTTTAACCAATCATAATTGCTTGAAAAGTTAAACAAATAGACAATAATTGTCACCAATGATGTAAATATAATTTCTGTCATATAGAGAAACACTACGTTTCCGCCCACGTGTTGAGTGGCGTCAAACATATAATCAGCTACCAGTCCATCGGATCGTACACTTGACAAACAATAACAATAATACATTAGATGAGTCAATCGCCAAATTAAATGTATATATTTTAGGTGTGAATTACGATATTTTTCAATAACCAGTTGTTSGGTTATCCTGTAATCGCATACCAGTCCCCAACGGTTCATACGATTAATGATTAAATCTGAAATGTTGTGCTGATGTTTGCCATAAGAATATTCAGTTATTTTATTATTTTTAGAATAAAATAATTTTATAAATTTGAAAATCATTTTTTAGGYTAAAAATTTTAAGTTTACAAAACTATGGGTTAACAAAAATTGTATGAATATTGTACATCAAAATTTAATCGATTAAATATTGTAGTATTTTTTTATAACCACTTATTTTTAGTATAAACATTAAGATATTTATAGTTTTTGTTTTTATCTTACAAATAACATATTATAAAAATAAAATAGACTGTGTATATAAATTTAGTTATTTATACTTTAGTTTATTTTATGTGTTTTGTGCTATATGTATGACTGCAAATAAATATAAAACTTACTTTTCAAACAATATTTATAATTAATATTAAAATTATTGACTTAGATCACGCTGTTTTGTGTACATATATTTTATTGTATAATACATATTACTTTAAATTGTAGAAAATACAAGAAACTACTGTAATATTGGAAAACCTATTTAGTGCTAAAAATGATTAATGATAAACAAAAAATATATATAAATATATATTTCTAACTATTAATTATAAAAATGCTAAGAATATGGAGAATTCAAATAAGTTTTAAAAAATATATTTATCAAAAATAATATAATTAATTTTATAAATATAACTTTATATTTATAATATAATGTATATAAACTTTCCTAATATAAAACCGGTATATGTTATAWCTAGTAAAATAATTTTAGTAATTATTACTAAAAATATAATGTAAAAATTGTAGATATTTATTATTATTCTATAGCATTATATTAATTTTATTAGAAATTAAATGATCTAGGTAAAAGTATTATTCTTAACTAAATTTAATTACTATGTATTATAAATATATGCAAATGGAAATTTTATCAAATTGTATTCATATAAAATGTTAAAATTTAATTTATCAAACATAAGAAATATAYGACAAATTTTTAATATTTATTAAATTTTCAATAAATAAAATTTTAATTTAGTAAATATTATTATTATTATTAATATAGTGTACAATAAACAAAATTTAATTGGTATGAATAAATGTTGAGATAAATATTATTTGTGTCATATATATGCCATTTTCAAATTGCTACAATAATTTCTACAAGATATTTTTTATTAAAAATTGTTATGATTATGTGCAATAAATTAAATACTAAAATCAGTATAATATATATGGTTTTTTAATATAATTATTTTACTTAAAATAAAATTCATTTTGTGTACCGGTATATACCTTATATATTAATAATAGAAATATCTATATTGAAATATTTTATAAATATTGGTTTCATAACAATTATAAAACAAATAATAAAATTTTAAATCATAAACATTAAAATACTTATGTATAATATTTATTTAAAAATGTTGTGTCTAAATATAATAATTCATATTTGAAATAAAAAAAATAATTCAAATACTTGTAAGGTTAGGTATTATTGTATATTGTAAGTTATAATTTGTAACCTTACTAAACAGTATTATAAGTTAATAAAAATTGTGTGGATTATAGAGAAATCTAAATATTATCATAAAATTATTATTATTGAATTATCATTAAATTTTAGATTATTGTTAATCTGCAATTTTAAAAGGATATTATTATGTGAAAAACTACACATGTTTTTTAATAAAAAAAATAAATCTGCAAATCTGTAAAAACTAATATTTTATCACTAATTTATCTAATTATTTATAATATACCGGTAATAATAAATTATATTAATATATATATATATATATAAATATAATTCCATTTATATTTATAATTATATTTAAAAATAAATTTAAGTTATAATAATTTAAACTATATAATAGTAATAATGAAAATTATAGAAATTTGTGTAATTTTATTGCTTTATATATTTCCTGATATACTTTGTTCGTTACTATCGGCGGACATCTGTGTATATGGCGGCACATCGGCCGGTGTTATGGCCGCATATAAGGCTAAACAGTTRGGCAAAAATGTTGTTCTGATAGAGCCGGGCAAACATTTGGGTGGTATCACATCAGGCGGTCTCGGATTTACCGATTACGGCGACAARTCTGCCATTATTGGTTTGGCTAAAGATTTCTATCGTAGAGTTGGCCAAAAATATGAAAAATCTACTGAAATATATACTTTTGAGCCACACGTGGCCGAAGTGGTCTATAATTCTTATATAAAAGAAGCAAATGTTAACGTTTTATTTGATCACCGAATAGTATCGGCAAAAGTGGTCAACAAACGGATCGAGTCGATAGTTGTGGAAAAATCRAGTCAATCACAAAACAGTACTAATATTGAGATTACGGCCAAAATGTTTATCGATTGCAGTTATGAGGGCGATCTTATGGCCAGTGCTAACATCACTTACACAATTGGCAGAGAATCAAACGGTAATTACAATGAAACACATAATGGCGTTCAAATGTTATCTGGCCATCAATTTCCCGACGGTATTGATCCCTATGTATTAGCGGGTAATAAATCAAGTGGTCTATTGTGGGGTATAAGTGATATGAATATAGCTAAGACAGGATCAGGCGATAAAAAAATACAGTCTTATAATTATCGGATATGTCTAACAAATAATGCTAGTAATCGACTGGATATCACAAAACCGGATAACTATAATCCAAATCATTATAAACTATTCGTACGATTGATAAACAAATCGAAACCACAAACAATCAGAAAGTTTTTGAAACAAGATCTGATGCCAAACCATAAAACCGATTTCAATAATGAGGGTCCGTTYAGTACAGACATGATTGGCATGAATTATGACTATCCAGATGGCAGTTATGAGACAAGAAATAGGATTATCAAACAACACGAAGAATACACCAAAGGTTTTCTRTATTTCATAGGACATGACCCACAAGTGCCTCAACAGCTAAGAAATGAGATGCTTATGTGGGGCTATCCAAAGGATGAGTATYTGGATAACAATCATTGGTCTCATCAGCTCTATATTCGAGAGGCTCGACGTWTGAAAGGCCAGTATGTTATGACCGAACGAAACGCTTTGGGTACCGAAGTGGTCAGTGATGGTATAGCTGTGGCGTCCTATCGGATGGACTCGCATAACGCCGAACGTGTTGTAGTTAACGGTCAGGTCAAAAATGAAGGTGACGTTCAATGGCCACGAAATTTGCCGCATCCTTATCAGGTGTCGTACCGATCGATAACTCCCAAAGCAGACGAATGTCATAATCTTTTGGTGCCCGTCTGTCTGTCCACAACTCATATTGCCTACGGATCAATACGTATGGAGTATACGTTCATGGAATTAGGTGAAGCAGCTGCAGTGGCCGCACAACTGGCCATCGATGGACACACTTCGGYACAAGAAATCAATGTAAAACAATTAAAATTTAAACTAAATATTRATAATAATTAAAGTTTACTACTATTGAAGCAAAATAGTAGTTCGGGTAATGAAAAAATAATAGTAATTTAATAAAAAGAAGTTAAAAAATATTTATTAATAATTTCATAATAACAGTAAAAATTTAATTAAATAAATAAATGTTTGAAATATTTTAAACAAATTATTGAATAAATGTTGGCCACACCTCCCGGCACTCAATCACACAACTGATTATGACTGATATAAATGTACGTTCACTTCGGGTACAATAAAATACTCGACAAAGCAATGCTCGACGGGTTGGTCTCTGTCGTCCTTAAGTCGTATCATAAATTGAAGACTCAGAAGACCATCGGCATCGGTACGTATGGACAGTTTGCTTGAGTTGATTAATGCTTTTAATGTAAACTTCATGAGTGACATCTTGTAGCGATTGGTCACATCTTCTGAATGCATGAACTGTTCGACATCAGGACTGTCTTTGTTTATATTATAGTGAACTCTGGCCCGTTCGCTGTCCGTCGACCACCGCAAGTAAGGTTCRTCAGCTGTTATGCCGACCTCTATGTGATCGCTGCTCAGATCACACGACTTCCAGAAATCGACAATAGGTTCGGCGTTKAGTATGACTTTGTTAATACAATTCATATGAAATATCATCAACTCTTCCACTTCATAGGTCCTAATGTATGCCTTCTTGTGTGCCGTTTCTTCGCGAAACTCCAGACGAATGCGCTCAACATCTGAACTGTATTTCAATCGAAGTACATCATCGCCGCCGCCAACCATATGGACATCGGACGCAATGGCCACGGGTACCGAACCACACATAAGTGTCAATACGTGTAAAAGATCGGTTAATCTGAAACACACCGACACTGGAATAGTCTCGTTGGACATCGAGTAGCGGTCAAATAGTGTGCGGTCGATAAAACTGTTGGCCTGCAAACAGCGACCCGAATCCTGACACGTCAGCTTCAGGCCTTTCGATGTGATGGCCATTACTGTTGTCCGCATAATGTTGATCGACCTTAACATCGGTATCAGTCGTTTCGGGTCACGAATCTCGGCCTCGAATCGGAACAACTCGTCGTCGACTTGACTGTTGGCCTGTGTGGTCAGTGTTGTCTCTCGCGATGACAACATTGTGTGGTCAACAATGTCTTAATGTTTGTCCGTATAATTTATCGGTCAATAAGTGGTCACAAAATGATAATTACATTTAGAGACACAAAAAACGCAACAAATGTTTCATTCAATGAAATCCCATTCAAAACAAAACAAACAATTTTTTGCCGCACTTTATGTGTTGTACGCAATGCTAACACTATACGCATGCGTATTATAATACATATGTTGTACAGTAAATACAAATACAGTCGACTATTGATAAAAGTAACTCTAATTTATTTAATTTGATATATTTTTAATTATAATTTATTTTAATAAATAAAATTATAGMAATTTCWATAATATTTCAATATTTTATATGAAATAATTAAATTAGATTTTCATATATATTTTTTATTGATTWAAAAATGTTTATAAAAATAATACATTTTCATAGAGTTTGTACATATTTAATACAGTAGTTTGTCATAAATAGCTAAATAGCGGTACATTTAAGTTTATGTTATAATTAAGAAAAATATGTATWAATTTTAATTAATATATTGATACTAATAATTAATTACAAAATATAAATTTCATATTTATATTGATTTTTTTCATATAAATACTGTCTGTATATATGTATATATTTTGACAAATCTATATAATATTTAAATGTCTTTTATAAGTATTTTTCGTATTTACTGTTTTTATATAAAAATAAAGTTTTAGTAAAATTTATAAATTATTAAATGTTAGAAATAAAACATTAACAGCAATACTAAAAAATAAATAAATAAATATTTTCAATGAAAATCAAATGTTTAGCGTATCTATTGATCTACTATTATATAGTCTATAGCCTCKCRACYGTTTCGGTCGCGCGGTTACCGACCAGTGATCGACACCACTCAACGCCGCATAAAAAGAAACCAATAGTTTTGATTCCCGACAACAGTGACGATGAATCACAAGTGACTGTCCCGGAGTCGGAAGCTTATGGCCATAGACTGCACAGTCAACCCGATAACAATCAATCTATGTTAACGACCACTTCAACCAATCCTCTGGTAATTTATTATCATTTATAGACAATATTTTTTGTTAGTTTTTAAAATGAATTTTATTATACGACACAACTTTTTTTTTGTATTTATTATCTGTTTTTGTCTCTTATGATCAAAAGTTTTTCAATTTCCAAGTATTAGTCAATTGGCAAAAGTTTAGATGTAATGATATAAAGAAGAAAAAAAGACAACACATTGATACCAATGTCGAGGAAAGTAGTACTGAAAGAAATAATTACAACAATATTGATGACGACATTAGTGATCAGCGAGTGATTGTCCAAAACAAGAGTACTGACCAACAATCGCCGTCGAGTGTAAGCAAATCTATTGAAATAGTGACTACAATGTCATCACTGAAATTTCGAGATGTTGTGACTGAACCACAACTTAAAGTCAATAGTGAATTGTTGAAAACTAAGACAACTATACMTATTAGGGATCAACCATTTAATGTGACCGCATTACAGACACCAGTTCCCAATCAGATCGACCCAATCGATCGTTTTCAGAATGTATTAGCAATGGTCACTGAATCGGACATTGGAATCGATAGTTTAGCSGACAATAAGGCTGAAAGATATGTTATATTAGATCAAACAAATGTTATAGAAATCAATAATCAAAGCAATTTTGATATTATCATAAAAAAATATATAACMGAAAAACCCGAAACAAATCATATTTTAAAAGATATTATCGATGTATACATCGGTCAGAATAAGACTATTAGTGGACAAACAATTGTGAAACATATTGACAAACATATTGTTAAACCGATAGATATTAACATTACGAGTGATTATGATTATGCAATCGTTGAACCCGATTATCAAAATATTATTAATACAACTATAGAGTCCGTTACGATGGAAGGACAGACAGATTATTGGTTTAAAAATAAATAACAATTTAAATGAATATAATCTAATAATTGTCAATCAATAAAAATAATAACTTTGATAATATAGAAACATTAAAAACAATTATAATAAATATGAATAAATTTTTACATTTCATTAAATATTTTAAACTGTTTTTAAATAATTTATGCTCTATTTTAATGGCATTAATTTTATAAATTTATCAAGATATTCATGATAATACTTTAAAATAATAGTTGTGTTTGTATGTGTGACATTTTCCTCAACAACCATATTTTAATTCAAATCTAAAAATATATCGTTAAATATAACTATAATTCAATATTTATAGAAAGCATGTTATTTCTATGGAAAATTTTAAATGTTTTTTTTGAGCTCATGCAGGTTTAAGGGACAGGTAGGTATAAGCAGTGTAATTACATTATGCTATTACTGTGGCAAATATATTTCGAGACAAATTGTAATATGAAAACTTAATAGATTTTTCTGCATTCGGTTTAATAATTAAAAATTATTTTTTTATGGTATTAAATAGTAGAGATATTCATTATTATTGTTAATTTTTTAAAATATTTTATAGTATAATAATTAAAGTTTTATAATGCTACAAAATTAGTAACCTCAATTTTTAGAATTGTATAATTTATAAAATCTAAGAAAAACTATTAATCCTGATAAAATAATAAAAGTATTTTTATTTTATTATATATATATGAAAAATTACAAAAAAAATACAATTTATACTTATTTCTAAAAAACGAAAATAAATTTTAAAATGTTTTTGTTATTTATTAAAATTATATTTTTCTAATAAATTTTTTAAAATGATTAAATATTATATTATGTTGCCTGCTTTTAAGAAAATAATTTTTTATTATTGACGAAAATACCAAACATTATTAAAAATTAAAATTGTGCTATTTTGGAAGACAAATTTAGACCTAATTTTAGATAAAATTATTTATTAAAAATTGTAAGCATTTGATAAACTTACTGATTTTTACTAAAAAATAAACATCAAATATTACTCTTTAAAATTAATATTTTTTTTGTTTTAATTTATTTTTATTTTATTTTAAACATAAAAATATCAAAAAAGATTACTGTTTTAAAATGTCATTTATCAAATATTTTTGTAAATAATTCCAAAAACTTTTTAGACAAAGATATTAAACTACTATTATTTTGATAAGTGATAATCATAGAAAATATGTACATTAAAACAAAAATATAAAACATTCTAATATTCGAATTATTTTAGAAAAACTTAGTACAAAGATTCTGTCTCGAAATTTACTAGCCACAGTAATATATTGTATGAGTCACAGGGCACCGGAAGGTTAGCTACCGGTGCTAAATTTTTGTAAAATTTTTTCAAATGCAAATKCAAAAATGATTAAATTTTCAATTTTTATTAAAATTATTTTAATATATATATAAATCTAAAACTTCTTAAGAGTTCAGTAGAATTGSTTCTGTATTTTTGTTAAATTAGGTTAAGTAGTTTGTTGTTTAAAATTAATTAGGCAGTMATTCAAATTACTTGAATATTTTAAAAAATTAAAAAAAATGCACGGCTATACATGTTGCGCGGAAAAAAACTAGTATTTTATAATTTAATATACTTTTTATTAATGTTTAAATTAATAATATATTTTATTGATTATAATTTAAAATATTTTTATATTTGAACAAAAATAATTTCACATTTGTTTAATTTTAAAGCGAGTTATTTGAAATACTTTTTATTAATAATATTATTTTATTATACATATGAAGTATATCTGTATCATAAAGTTTTTGGCAATTTTGTTGTTTAGTAGTGGACAACAAATACTATATATCTATTCATTAAATATATGGTATTATTATTATTTAATTTAATAGATAGTATTATGTATTATCAATATAATATTTTAAATTAATTTTTATTTATCATATATAGATAGTGGTGTTTTTTACAATTATGTACTCAATTTATTTGTTAGTTATTTGGCATATGGTTGAAATACCAGTTATTTAAATTGAGAAAATTAAAATTATTAGTAAACGATATAATTTTAATAAATGTATTTTTTGATATTTAATGCTAACCCTAGCTTAATAACAATTGCCAAATATCATTACTTATTTATAGTACGATAATTAAAATGTATTCAAAATCTATATATATATATATATATATTTATACAGTATTTTTAAATAATTGTATAATTTTTATTAAAAGATTTTTAAGAGATTTATACATTTAAATTGATTTGACAAACAAAATAATTTTGAGGACATTTATAATTAAGTAGAGATTAAATATAAGTATAAGAAATATTGTGGACAACAATTTTGTAAGCACTGGTAGGCCATGACTTTGAATATAGTTTTTTTGTTTTACTAATTGAAATGATAGTTAATGAGAACTAACACTGAGTTGAATCTTGGACTCAATATCTGATACGGTCTGTCCGGATAATTGTTGAAAGCGGCAAATCTTTGTCCCCAATGTCCTCCCTGTGCCGGAATGATTGGATCAATTGAACCGATCATAAACTTCTTAGAGCGAAACGAAAACAATGCTACGGATGGGAAGTGCTGTCTGAGAGCAGTGATCACTCCGTGGATGTGCTGATTGTTGGCCATCTGTTTGCTGGCAAACAATATTCCCTGAGTTATTGACTTCGGGCTGTTTTTTGTGAACTGTGGGTTCAGTCGAGTCTTGAACTGAGAGATGGTATTATTGAGATAATAATGACTCGAGGGAAGGACCAAACTGGCCGCCAATATGTTTGGTCCTCTAAAAGTTATAATACATGGATCCGTTAAAGCTGTTTCATCCAGTCCTCGACGCTTATTGTTAGGTTTTTTTAGGTCTGGGACAACACGAGGTGGTTCGCCTTTCAACCAACACTTTGCGGCACTAATAAGTCCGCCACCGATGACCACTTGTCCGTTGAATCTTTGCTTAAGAGCGCGTATTTCGTTGTCAACATCCCTAACAATAGTGGACAACTGCGCCGATCGGTTGATCACTTTGGATGACTTCAGATAGAGTATGCATTTTATATCACTCGTGTCCACGATGTCGTCCAATGCTCGATATGTGTTGATTTGAATACCCTTTATGTCAGAAACTAACAAACACGACATACCTTTGTATTTGTTTGAATAGACAATCAAATAAAGAAATGATTAGTTTATGAAAAGTATTTGAAATATTTGTTGAGAAAACACTCACTCGATCTTATCATCGGATTGACAACTAATTGGTTGTTTGCAGAGGTCGTTGCAATGGTCATTGAATTGTGTAACTGACCGCACAATCGGACAGTCGGGCCGACATCCAAATACATAATTTGACACCCATTTGGAAGGCCAGCCGTCAGTTTGGTCAGAGTGTTGATCCATTTGCGATAATCCGGTGACTGCTTATAACCACCGAATTGAATGAATGCAAAACACGGTTTGAATTCTATGGACGAGTTGATCCAATTGGTCATCGCATTGGCAAACGGACGCATATCTTCATGAATATCCTGATTGTGTCTCAAAAACAGGTGCTTCAAACCGGGCCGTCTGTCCATCTCTTTTTGGGCGGCGTCGTGAAACTCACGGTTCACCGCAATACAGTTGGCCAACGATTTTATGTCCATTTGCCGACAAATAGCGTCCAATGCGTACGGGTTTTCAAACAAAGACTTTACAATACTGTCATATCTGGTGTTGTCTGAGATGTTGTTGCGGACACTACTGTTGTTTTGTTTGGCCGACATATTATCAACCGATTGTATCTTAATCTTAATTATCTTATTTTAATCTCTAACTTATTGTCCAAAAACTAAATTAAATCTAAAGATCGGAAGTCTTTTATAATTATCTGTTGATTGGTTTGATTAACAATTTGTATAAAAATGATTTGAATTTAAATCGGTTGGAAATTTTAAATATTTAAATAACAGTTAAATCATATTTAATACTAATATATGATTTACAATTAAAAAATTGTTTGTTTCACGCGTTAATCAATACAACAATATTTTATTAATATAGATATTTAATAATTTTTTAATTAATAAACCGATTATATTAATAATGCAATTTTATTATTCAATAATTGTATTCACGTTTTGTAACAATATTACAGTACAGWTATTAAAGTTTCACAGGAAATTGAAACGATATTATTTTTGACAATTGATAGCACTATTGCACAAAAATTGCCAAAATTGATAGCAAAAAATATGGAGCCGATCTATGTTGTAAGCACCGTTTTTTATATTATTTACACGCGCTATTGTTTCAATCATTTTAATTGTATTTCACGCGATATTTACACGTATTTTTATAATTAATAAATTAAAAGTAAATAAGTTTAAGCAAAAATAAGATCATTTTCTATTTAACTAATCTAACCTATTTACACAATTGTTAACATAACCTAATCTATTGTATTAGTGTTCGCTCCGTTACCTAACCTGGTGTTCGGACCGCAACCTTAACCTAATTATAATGGTATTATACAAATGTATTATATGATTACTGTATAATAGTAATAGCTGTCAATAGCGCGTGAAATATAATTAAAATGATTGAAACAATAGCGCGTGTAAATAATTTAAAAAACGGTGCTTACAACATAGATTTTAGCCAAAAATATTATTTTAAGTGTCAGTTGAAAATCAATTGGAAATTGAAAAAAAATTAATCCAAAATTCAAACATCTGGTAAAATAATAGGATATAATGATTCAACAATTAGTTGACTATTTATCTCAATTAAAAAAAATTTAAGAAAGTTATGTTTATTGGGTTTATTGGTGATAACCCAATGTTTATCAATTGGTTTAAAAATCTGTATAAATATGCAATCAGTTAATTGGAGGGAATTTATTAGAAAACTTTTTACCCTTTTAGACAACCTCTTCATATTAATATTTATTTAATAAATTTATATTTATTATTATTWTGCGGTAATTAGTAAATAAACTTATTTTCTATTGTTTTGTTACATATGTATATTTTKTTACATATTACATATATATTATTTACTCTAAATAATATTATATTGATGTAATTAATTATTTTTTCAGTATTTAACTAATTTTATTTATTTTCTATAAATAAGCTATTTATTAATACATAATGTATTAACAATAACATAGCATTTATTTTTTTTAATATTAAATTTTATATAAATGAAAAAAATATTTTATTAAACAATTTTTTTATTTACTTAAAAACTGTTTTCTGTGTTTTGTTAAGAATTATCTGATTAAAAACAACAAAATTTAAAGCATTAACTCAAATATAAACTTTTTTATAATCTTTTTTGAATATTATTTTTAAAGTTTAAAATAAATATTTACTAAATCAACAAATAAAAATCTTTATGTTGGTTTAATATGCAGTATATTTACATATACTATATTTTTATAAAAATATTTTAGTATATATATAAATTTATATATATACTAATAATTTATTATTTTTATTTAATTTTTTTTATTGAATTGCTTAACTTAATTATTACAAAATAATTATATTATAGATTTTATTATATTAACTAAAATTTCGTAWTAAATAGCTAATTAGTGAAAATTAATATTAATTGAACCAAAATGATATTGTATAATATTTATATATTTCACAATATAATATCATATATTTGTTATAAATATAGAAATAGTCATATAATTTAATAAATATAACATTTCTCATAAGTAATAAAATATAATGTATTATATGTCATACAATAATTATATCATAATTCTTTTACTTAGAATAAGATATAACTAAAAACAAACATAAAATTATTACAATATTTCTAATATTTATGAAAAAGTTTTGTACTCGAAATTGGTTTAAATAGATTAAGAAAAGTTATTTTATTTATAATATATATTATATACTGTATATAAATATTAAAAAYAGTTTATATTTTGAATATAATTCTTTATAATTATTAATAGAGAAAATTATATAATTAATGTGGTGTTTTGTGTATCAATAAATTTAATGGCACACAATATTTATATTTAGTTTTTTGTAGATAATTAGACAAAAATAGATTTTATTACTTTATATACAGTAAATACTACAGTATATTCTGTACATTACATACAAAATATTTATTATKTTTTCAGTCACTGTAATTAAAAACCAAATAAATTTTTACGAATTATTATATCTTTGCTGTCATTTTGTAATATTTTTTAAAACAATTTGTCTCTCAATTTTGTTTGTCTTATTATAACTAAATAGCATATTCGTGGCAATTAATGTCTAAAAATTGATGTGTTATTTATTATATTACTGTAATTCTAATATTTTTATGCATTTATTCATTTATACATTTACTGTCTGTCTCTAAAATGTCTTATAGTTATAAATAACATTAAATATTTGCTAATAATATTATTGTTATTATATTTATATATATAATAAAATATTTAAAAAACAGAGACATTAAACAAAACAAATATAAATTTTATTTTTATATTTTATTTCTACGATTACTTTATTTAATGCATTTTATATCTTAAGGGTTGGACTGTATTTTCGGAGTTGTCTGAGAATAGAAATTCATTTATGAAATATATAAATATATTATATGTTAAGTATATCTACAAAAATATATGCATTTATTAAGCTAATAGTCATTATTTACATTAAAAGCAAAAAAAACTTTATGAGTCTTTTTAAAAATATATATATAACATATAAATAATGATAAAATTGTTGTCGTGTTTTTTTAGTATTACTGTATTTAGTAGTGCAATCAGACATCGATTTTTTTATACATTTAATTTTGTCCTAATAGGTTGTTTGGTGCTGTTGTCTGGCTAACTGTGCAACTTTGCCAAACATTGTCTCTAATAGCGTGTGTCGAGTGTGTCGACCTAAATATTATATATATGTTTATAAAACATTAATACTGTATATACTTAACAATAGATTTTAATATACTGTACAAGACAATACTATATATATATAAATCTATAGAGTATATATTGTATAAACAAATGAGAATTTTACAGTATATTCTGAGGCTAATATTATTGCCTACCAGTGCTCGCATACACACACACACACACACACACACTCCACTACCACCATCATCAGCACCATCAGTGTGTTATTAAGTGTCGCTGCTATATAACTATGGGTGTGATTCTGGTATCGCTTGACTAGTTTGAGGAAAAGTATATAATGTATATATTTTAAATAGGAGTTGTGAAAGTAAAATAATATATATAAACATAAAAATCTAAAAACAGTGTGAATAGAGTTATATCAATGGATTTTGTGGTTTATAGTAAAGTGTCAACACTCGTGTATGCCATCCCATTCCTATAAGATAACATCCCAGTGATGCCTAAAATGTACAGTCAATAAATATATTATATACACACCAGTGAATAAAACTATTCTCAACAGTATATACAGTATTGTATGAGTTAATTATGTGACAGTATGTATGATACTGTGTGTATCATTCAAAAACATACAACTGATCTCAACGTATTATATAAAAAATACAATTATTTTATAAAGAAGTCAACTGGAAATAGATCTCAAGGACATAACAATAATAATTTCTATAATAACTAGCTATCGGTGTCGAAAACACTGGTATTTATACATACATATATATACATACATTTTTTAATAACATATACAGCATAATTGTATGTATAATTTAAATAATTAGTATTTTAATATTATTTGATATCTTCTACTTGTAATAATTATATACGACTCTCCCATTTAAAAACTACTGGTGTTGTTATTTATTTATGTTAGTGTTGTTGTTGTAAAAGTTGGGTTTAAATGATGAGAAAACGATATACAGTTTTATGTATTACATAAAAGCTATGAGAAGGAAGTGAAAGTTCATTATATTTATACAGTATATATATATATATATCATATAATAGACATTAAAAAGAAAAGTGAAATGATTTTTATATATGAATCTAAATATTATTACAAAATATATTATATATAAAGTTTGTGTGTTGTGTTTGGCAATTAAGTTGCGTCGACTTTCTTCTCAAAAAAAAAACATTTTTCACTAAACTGGTGACTGACTCCCTGTTCTCTGTCCTCATGAATACAGTATACACACACACATCCAGTATAGTATAATAAAGCCGTTTGTCGTTTCGGTTGAGTTCAGATAAAGTTATACAATATATTGTGTTATTTGAGGGACTAATTGTTTTTTTTTTTTGTAACGAAGTGCAGCAATCATTGTCACCCGTTTTATTTAGTAGTAGTAATGTATTATATAGTTTGAAATACTAGCCATTGAATGAGCTATTGTGCGTCTCTTATATATATATATTAGACTGACCACCCATACAGGTGACGCCTGTATTATACAGGAATCAAGGGTCTGATACAGGTGACAGGAAAGGGGTTAACCTGTATAATAAAATATAGAGTTTCAAAATATGTAAAACTAATTGATTATAAAGTATAAAATAACTATGAATTAAGTTTTGTTTGTAAAAAATTGCTTATATTTTTAATATACAGTTTATATATATAAATATTATAAAAAATTTATAAATATTTATAAAATTGTTCATATCTAATATAAAAGATAAATTTCAACTTTTTATATAAATATAGTATCTAAATTAAATTTTTTAAAATTTATATTATAAAAATATACGAATATATAGAGTTATTTAAGTACAGGTTTACATACAGGAATATAATATTTAATATACAGGAAAATACAGGTGAAAATCATATATTTTATACTATTATACAGGTTTACTAATAAATTGGGTGGTCAGTCTAATATATATATATATATATATATATACACACTATAATGTCTATTAGTGTAAAGACAAAAATAATACCACATTTCATGGATTTTTATCAATTTTATTATTAACAATAGTAATATGTTTCGCTGTTTTTTTTAATCAAGATCAAACAATTTTGATTGTATAGACTTTATGTTTGTATATATACTGTATAATATACACACAAACAKTATATGTCATCATCGGTTATCATTGTAGACTAAATATTTTACACTAATTTACAATTTTACATAATTATTTATCATGATGATTTTGTCAAATAAAGCAAATAATTATATTAGTCAACATTTTTTTATCATTTTGTCTATTATTACATTATTATTATTATTATTATCGACATCCATTAATGGCATTAAATTGCGTGGAATTGCATTACAGGTATAATTTATTAACAATATTATTATTATTAGTATTAGTATTRCATGTTTAATGTATTTTTTAAATATTCTTAAAAATATTTTATGTTAGAAAGTTTCATATTATCATAGTTTATAATATTATTTTATAAAGTATTAATTAAATATAAATATTAAATTTAACATAAAATTTACTATTAAATRTTATTAATGTCTAATAATAAGAAYAAGATATTGATTAACAATAAAAAAATTRATATATATATAATATATTATTATTCATATATTTTCTACATTACAGTCACATCCATTTGTCATTAAAGATGGCATCTATTTTAATGGTTATATCATTGATATATTGAATGCTATGAAAAACTTTTCCGACTTTGACTACTATCTAAATGACGCCAACGAGTTGGCCGCACAACAGTCAAAGTCTGGATCCATTTCCTTCCTATTGGACCAACTCTGGAGAAATGTATGACTTATTTATAATGTAAATAAATCTCAAGTAATGTTTGCATTTTAAGTTCAAAACACTCTTAATATTAGTCTTTTTAAAATAAGTAAATAGACTGACAAACATTCATATTTAAAATCATAAATCATATWAAAAAGTTGAAATATATTTTATTTAAGAATTTCATAAATTTATAAATAATTTACATTTATTTTACTCACAAGAATTTACATAATATTTTTTGATAGATTATTTGTTTATAAGTACTAATTATTAGTTATTAGTTACCAAATATTATTAATTACTTTTTAAAAAAATATAATTATAGACAAATACACTAACTTAAAATTTTTGAAATTAAATATAAGCTGTAGATTTGATTTGTTTATAGTTTATAGTGAAATATATTRTACAACAATGCATAACAAACCCATAATTTGAGTATTTAAAAAATAACTTTTTAKTTATCATCCTTAATAAAAATACATAACAATAAAAGATATTAAATTAAATATATTGTATAAAAATGAACTTGTTTAATATTTATAAAATATATATATATTAAAAAATCAATTTTTAATGTTTTTAAACATTATGTTTTCTAATTAGTTATCAAACAAGTAGTATTTTTTCTGTGAATTATAATAGTCTATTATTAATATATTTATAAATTATAATGTACTGTACTTAATTTGCTAAAATTGTTATTTGTAGAAAGTTTAAAATAACATTTTTTCTAATATACTTAACTTTATTAATATATCCATGAATATAATAATTTATTATTATTATTATTAGATAATAAACAAATTAAATTTAGTGTCAGGGATTTTATTTTTATAACAATAGTTGTTTACATGGTTATTTTAAAAAGCTAAACTATAATACTAAACAACAATTAGACTAAATTGTCAAAAATAGTTTAAATCTATAACATGATTATATATTTATGAGATTCAATATATCTTATTAATTGAATAATCTTATGTTTGCTAACTTAAGTATAAGTACATTATCTCAAAAGTACAGTATTATATAAAATTTAAGAATCTATACACAGTATATATATATATATATATATTTATAAATATTTATGTATACTTTATATTTATATTTCTAATTTATTTATCAGATCAAAAAAAATTAAAAATAGATTTTAACTAAAAAATATTAATTTCCAGTTCTAATTTATGTATATTAAAAAATTTAGATTCCTTTTGTAATTATATATATATATATATTTTAATTAAAATATAATATTAACATATAAAACTGAATGTCTTAATAAAGTTAAAAATTTCTAAATTTTATTTGCTTATAATATCTATAATATATATACTGTATCATCTTACCTAATTTAATGCTAATTTTATTAATGTCAATATATTTGTATACCATTAGACGATTTTAAAATAATTTGTACTTATTTTATTGAATATCATATTAAATGTTTTATATACTATATTATWCAGTAATATTAGAATCTTAAACAGAGCGGCGATGTTATTAATTTCAATTATCTGGTCATCAATACATTGGATTTAAAAATGACCAAGGGCAAAGTTATAGATAATTTTACACTAAATTATTTTGTAATTTGACATTTTAAAATTAATCTTATGATTGACCAGATAATTGCAGTCAACTATTTATTTTTAAAATTTATTAAAAGTGAAATGTAAATTATATGACTAACCATCCAATTAATTAGAAAATCACCAATTACAATGTAAAATTATCTACAACATTGCCCTTGGTCTCTTTTAAATTCAACGTATTGTTGACCAGATTATTGTAATTAATAGCATCGCCGCTATTTAAGATTCTCTCTCTCTCTTTCTTTCTTTCTTTCTTTCTTTCTTTCTCCTGTATGTTCTGTATATTAGATTTATATTAAATTAAATGCATTTTAATCTGTTATCATACAGTATATGTATTAAATAATTCATAAAATTATGTTTAAAATATTACACAATAAATGAGTATTACTGAGAGTTAGTATAATACTGTAATATATTTAGACTTATTATTGGCAGTTGTGTTTAAAATAACATTTTTGTATATGTCATTCAAATTGTATTAAAACATGTATTAAAATTATTATTATTACTATTATTAATGTAAAATTTTTTTATTTAAAAAAAATATATTTCCCAATACTACTGATGCCATTGAATACAAAGAATGCTGAATTTGGTGTTTCATACATAACGGTGACCGACGAGAGAAGACAGTTGATTGACTTTACAGATCCGTTGTTGAACTACAGTATCAGTGCTTTAATACATAAGTCAAATGTGGGAAACATGCGATCATTTAACGAATTGGCAGACCAGACAAGGATTACATACGGAGCGCTGAGAAATGGAGATACTATGAAAATGTTTGACGGATCCGGCGATATGGTTGTGCGGCGTATGCTTGCCTTAATGAACAGCACTGGTGTCCCTGTGGACAGTCTACCCGAGGCTGTCTTCCGAGTACGTAGTGAGAGATATGCCTTCATTGCCGACTCAATAACCATTCAACAGTTAGCCAGAGATAACTGCGATATGACTGTCATTGTCAACAATTGGCCACAATTTCGTCGTTCAGTGGCCATTGCACTGCCAAAAGGGTCGCCCTATTTGAGGACATTCAACAGTCTCATCAAACGTCTCATCGAGACTAACATATTGTATGTTATAAGGGAAAGGTATTGGAAAATAATCTGCAACTATAATATCGGTAACACAGTTACCACAACTAAACTTATATCGTTAGGGATGACATTTACATCAATACTGTTGACTACTTATTTGTTGAATTAATAGTTATATAATATATTATAATTTTATATACATTTATATTAATGTATAAACTATGTTATATCAATTATCTTATTATTTGTTAAAATCTAGTTAATTTAAAAATATACATTACGTTACACATTGTTTTCTATGTTTACAATTTTGTAAAAAAATCAAATTAACTAACATGGTCATTTTTCTAATATATTTTATTTGTTTTGATCTCAAAGTGCTTCAATGTGTTGCGCTTATAATGCAACACAATGTGTTTATATAAATTATATAATATAATTATTATATAGTAATTTATAATTTACTTTTTATGTTAATTATATATTAAATTATACACATTATAAATATTGTGTTTGTTTAGTGTTATATAAATRTATTRTGGTAATTAATAACATTAAGATATAAATTATTAACTAAATATTTATTTTATTTCAAATAGATGTGTGACTAAACACAATGAGTAATAACGAACTGTTAATGCAATTTACGATWATATTTAAATATTTATTATTAACAATTAAAAATAAATAAATAAATTGTAATTTTGATATTTTAATATACACTTTAAATACACATTAAKTTACACTTTTACAAATATTAAACCCATACATCTATTTATAATCTTTATTAAATTCACATTTGACATATTAATACAGTACTGTTTAATAATAACAAACACACATAAAAGTGACATGTATTAAATAAAATAAAAATGATTTATAAATAAATAAATATTTAACACAATAGATAACAATCTGTTTTCATCTCGAATTTAAAACTTTAATTCATAAAATGATTAATTGTATAATTTTAACAAAACATTTTTTTAATTAACTTTCTAAGAAAAATTATTTATTCTAATATTAGATCCTTTATTGGATTAACGTTAATATTTTAATTAAATTTTATTTTGATTTATTAAAAGGGGTGCTTCACATATTACGTTCGCACTTGGGGAGGAGTGTTTTGCGAATTTTTGCAAATGGGGGGGGAATAAGATAGAGCTTTTAAGAATCTTTGCATTTAAAATTAAGGAATTTAAGGAATTAATTTTTAGTTTAAGTTAATCTATGTGTAATAGGTGGGGGTTAGGGATGTGCGAACGTAATTTTTTAAAATGACTGTATGTGAACAATTGTGAATTAGAGGGAGGGAGGGGTCTATATTTCTTAAAAAGTGCGAACCTAATATGTGAATCACCTCAAATATTTTTGGTCTCAAAGATTAATAATAATTATTAATGTCAACTATAAAACAAACATAATCTCTCTCTCTCTCTCTCTCTCTCTCTCTCTCTCTCTCTCTCTCTCTCTCTCTGTGTGTGTATTTATTTATTTTCAACTCCAAACTATAAAATAGATAATTAATTATTAAATAAAATTGCATATTATATGATACACGTGAATCTGAAACAACAAAACTAAATAAAATTGAATTRAATCGTGAAAACTCAAGCAATGGATAATCACAGTATTGAATATATGGTTAATTTCAAGGTAAAGGTTCGCCCACTAACTAACTGTTTTTGTAACTAAAAGCTATTGTATTTTAGCCATTCAATTATATCTATATGTTTATGTCTATTATACTTATTGTTAATAACAAGCAATACTTTTATATGCATTATTCAACGTAATGTATATTCAAAGTTATATTTGATTTTTTGTATTCAAAGATGCAAATAAATCATTTGAATGTAAATACTTTTTTGTRTATCAACTAATGGGATATATATATATAGGATATAATTGTATTTATCATTTGTTGAGTAAAGAGCACTTCAATTTTAATATATATTTGTAATAAATACAAAACATAACATCTATATATTTATTTGATAATATGTTGAATGATATTTATATATAAAGTGTCTATCACTATGTAAACATTTTTATAATGAAAATGTAAACTTTTTTAATATATTGTTGTTTACTTGTATATTATTATTATTATATATATTATTTATATGTCAATGTCACAAATATTTCGGTGCTTTTAAACTGCGACAAAATGTTTTCACTGAAATTTGTTATATCAATATTGGTATGTCATATGGCAATCATAAACCTGGCATCAGGTGTTGTGCTCAGGGGTATCACTATAAGGGTATGTACTCTACTGTAATAACTAATAAAATAATAATAATAAAATAAATTGATTTTATATACTAAAAATAAATATTAATATTTGTTGAATACATACTGTATATAATATATACATTGTATATTTCATTTAATAAATGACATAAAATATAGTTAAACTTTCAAGTCTATATAAACTTTTTAATACAAGTTTACAACTTTAAATATAAAGGTTGTATATATTATATTTATGTTTAATTTAAAGTAAATTTACATAAAAATAATCCAAAATATATTTTATTAAAAGTTTTAAATATTTAAACTCTGTAAAATTAAAAAGCAAATATGATTTCAAGTTAAAATATTTAAATAATATTTATTTTTATATATAGATATAATAATATACTTAAAATCACTAGAAATCAGAGAAATTTTTTATAATTAATTAAATCATGCAAWATAATATGATAAAATCTAATTATATTATTAATTAAGTTTTCAAAAGTCCATTAAATACAAATAACACATTGTAGCAATTTTTTCAAGACTATAAAACAATACATTAAAGTTATATAATWTATATATATATATATGACCTTGAACATTTTTTCATACAATTAGTTTCGCTCCTAATTTTGACATAAGGCTATCAACACAAACAAATGTTATGCTTATGGTGTTTGATGATAACAATATTTTGWATTGCATGCTTTAATGATGCATATTAAATAATATTATTAAAAACAATAGATATTAAAAAAGCTTACTGTAATAATTAATTTATTTTACTAATGTAATTTTATATACCTAGTGTGTCATAATAATAATAATTGTTTTATTAAAACGTTTACATTTATTATATTTATCGTATGGTAGATTTAAATTAATTATAAAAATTATGTAAAATTTATTTAATACAATATAGAAACTATCATAAAGATTATGCTATTTAAAAATAAAACTAATTTAGAAATTTTTATCAATACACAAAGTAATTTATATTTTAAATAACATATACATAAAGTTTTAAAATARTTTAAATAATTATTGATCCAATGAAATAATAATATTTATAGAAGTGGCCATACGCCAACCAACTGGCCAATGGACAGTTTGAGGGCTTCTGTATCGAATTGCTCAATGAGATTGCGGCCATCACCCGACTGGCCTATACATTAGAGTTGGCCACTGGAAATAAGGTGGGTGCCTTGCATTCAAATGGCACCATTGATGGCATGATTGGTCAGATCTATAGAAATGTATGTGTTTTCCAATAATTGTCATAATCAACAAAAAATAATAATATATTTATTGATATAATGTATATATTATTTAGCGGTCGCACTCATAAGATCTAAACTCATTTGACCCAAACTTATTTTACCCAAATCACTTGACCCAAACTTATATGAACCAAATCATTTGACCCAAACTTATATGACCCAAATCATTTGACCCAAACTTATTTGACCCAAATCACTTGACCCAAATCATTTGACACAAATCATTTGACCCAACTCATTTGACCCAAATCACTTGATCTAAATCATTTAACCCAAACTTATTTGACCCAAATATTTATTATTTTATTTTTTCAAACTATGATTATATATAAATAATATACAACTTAATAATTTTATTTAATTAATTATATAAATAAAATAATAATCTATTTAATCTATAAAATAATTTAGAACTTAATAATATTTATTTTTTTAAATAAAAAAGCCAGAAATATTCCCAATTATTAAGTTTGTATTATTTATATATAATTATATATTATGAAAAATAATATAATAAATATTTGGGTTAAATAAGTTTGGGTCAAATGATTTGGGTAAAGTAAGTTGGGTCAAATGAGTTGGGTCAAATGAGTTGGGTCAAATGAGTTGGGTCAATTTGTGTCAAATAAGTTTGGGTCAAATGAAAATGAAGTTGGGTCAAGTAATTTGGGTCATATAAGTTTGGGTCAAATGAGTTTAGATCTTATGAACTAGACCCATTATTTAGACATGAAATAACTTTTAATCAATTATTTCTAATAATAGCGAAATAGATAAATATCAGTCACAAGTGTGATATTACTTTATATTTTAGTAAACTGATCTAGTAATATTATAATTGATAATAATATAATTTATAAAATTAGATTTAATGTATTTGTAAACATCACGATTTGTTTATTAAACAAATCAAATGCGATTTTGTATTATAAAAAATCAATATTCATGTAAAGTATCAATAAAAATGATTTWAATAATATATTGATACTATATATTTATAACTATAATATATATAAAATAATATAAATCATAAGTTGTACTATTGGTCAATGCTAAGTACTATATATTAAAGATGTCAGATTGTGGAAAGTTAACACATACTGTATATTAATCACATATTGCTAATACAATGAAACAACTAATATCAAACATTTTTAAAAAGTTAGCAATGACAATTTATAATAAAGTTATGTGATTTTTGCATTAATTTATAATATTATATCTGTTTTTATCTTTTAAATCCTATTTATGTATTTTTAATTAATTGTATTACATATTATTTTTCATGTATCATGTATTTGCTTTCTTATCTGTGGTTATTTATTTTCATATATATATATATATATATATCAGGGTTAAGTAAAGGGGGTAGGGGTAAGGCCAAAATACCTCCCCCTAAGATCGAGATTTTTGGATTTTACCCCCCAGACTTTTTGACCAAATGGGAAAAGTTGTCGCTTAAAAACGAGGAGAAATGACCCCCCTAATATTTCGGCGCTGAAGGCGCCGAAAATTTTTTGTAGTTTTTAAAAATTTTATTTTAGTTTTTTTAGTTTTGTGTTTTTAAAATTTATATAAATCTAATTATTGATTAAAAATAAGTAAAATAGTTAAAATAACGTTAAAACTCATGAAAAAATAACATTATTTTAATTAAAATATTAAACTAAAAAATTAAAAATTACCTATTTGTTCAAAAAGGTAATCATATTAAAATTTAAATATAAGTTTAAGATAGTTTAAGAAGTTAATAAAACAATAAATACTTATATTACAAGATTTTTATTAATAATTTTAAAAATTTAAACTAAAAAATCTAAAAAATATTAGGGAATTTTCTCTTGACGCCCCCCCCCCCAAGATTTTTCGAGAATTTTGTAAATTTTACCCCGGTCTACCCCCCTAAAATCCAAAACCTTGCTTAACCCTGATATATATATATATATATATATATATATAATATTAACTTTCCACAATCCTTTACTATATATATATATAGACCATATACTGTATATTATAAATAAAAAAATTAAGAGWTAAAGTAAAAAATATACTATGAAATTTATAGCATGAATTATCCAATAAAAAAATWAATTTAATTATGCTATTTAGATATTGACTTTATAAAAATAAATAAAATAATTTTTATTGATTGCATAAAGTATATTAGACTTTAGATAAATACTAAAGACAAATAAAATATAAATAGTTTTTATATCTATAAATAATTATGATATAAAAAGTAAATGCATCAGATTAATGGAAAATGCATCAAATTTGATATCGATTTTTATATTTAGTATAAAAGGATAATACAGTATAATATTATATATACTGTAAATTAATTACTTATACTATAATGTATAACGTTATAGAAAATATCATATTTAAGGACATCTTTTCTTATAATATATTATTGTTATTCTTGTCGATGAAATAGTATACGAACTCATTGTTATATTTTTGTTGAATTAAAATTACTAATAAAATAAAAATGTTATCATAAGTTACTTTATGCGCAATAAAATAACAATTTATATATATTTTGAGTGTATTAATAAAATAATTATCTGAATCTATAATCTTTCACTAAATATTATATAGAAAAAAAAGTTTAWWTTCTAYAGTATATGAATAACTTATTAATTTATTTGTAGGAAACCGACTTTGCAATTGCCGACATACCAGTGCTTACACAACATGAACGGCTCATTGACTATAGCTATCCGTTCATAAAGTTCGGGTTGAGTGCACTGATCCGTAAAGACATTGTCGGCCGTATGAAAACATTTGACGATTTGGCCCATCAGTCGCGCGTCGACTATGGAGTGAAAAAATACGGCTCACATTTGCCGCTCATTCATCCGAGTTATGTGGTCAGCAAAATGTACGACTATTGGGATTATAATCCTAATAGTTATACGTTTGGCAGCGATGATGACGGTGTCAAACGAGTCAAGACATCCAACTATGCCTTCATTACAGATCATCCGTTTAATGAGTATGTCGTCCAACGCGACTGTGAATTGACTATCATCGAGGACAGGGTTAAGTATTTTGAGTTTGGTTATGCCATTGCAATGAGGAAAGGGTTTCCATTCAAGAATGTCGTTACCAATGCTATCAAACACTTGGAAAGCATCGGAAAGTTAGCCAAATTGAAGGACAAGTACTGGAAAACTGATAAATGTAAAAATGATTGGACTCAAAGTAAAGGGTTTGGTACTAAACGAGATGAGTATTATTTGTCCGACATTAGGAATCACATGAGAGGTAGGTCGACACRCTTGAGGACAGGTAACAAAAGTAACAGTTTGTTGACTAATAATAGTAATTATATTTCTTTGAATTGTAATGTTTTCTACATTTTTATTATTTTGTTTAAAATTATGTTAAATATTTGTGCTAATACTAGCTAACTAATCAACGTAATTGAATTTATTAATATTTAACACTTCAATCAAAAAAATAAATAATATAAATTGAATTGCAAATTTWAAAAAAAATACATTAATTCAAATTAATACYAAAAATAACACTTATTTTACAAAATAATATGAAATATTGTATTTTTATTATTTGTATTAACATTTTTTCACAATAACAAATAAAATTAATTTTAAATGTTTATACATTATATATTTACATATTTTTATGAGTTAATATTTTAAAATCTATATATAAATTTGTATTTATTTTTAAAATTAAACAAATTAATAAATGTTATAAACTTGGAAAAATATATAAATTAACATTTTTTTATTATATAGCAAAAAATAAATAAAATAAAATTTAGTACTAGAATAATAAGATATTACATATATTTAAATTAATTTTTATATAATTAAAATTTTCAAAAATTTTCTTTTTATATTATTTTTAAAAATCTAAACAAATAAAAACTTATAATATAATTGTTATTTGATATTTATATATCACATAAACTATTAGWAAAAATATTTTTTTAAATATATTAATAATATATTATTTAAAGTAATATAATATTATATACATATGTAGTTAATTTGACTTATTTTTTGGCATACAATCATTATATTTATTCATTGAAGTTCATGTATATTCATACGACTTGTTTAACCACTAAAATTATATATGCATTGAATGCTAATATATGTAACTTTAAGTCTGTTTAGAAAATAGACAATATATGTAATTACTAAATAAATTTTGTAATTAATAATTTAATTTTTTTGTATGATGTTTTCAATACAAATTATATATAAATTTTCAAAAAAATCAAAGCTTTTCATTAAACATTGAAATTACGAAATGCAGATACGATACGAAAAAAACAATATAYAGATTTATAATTAAAAAAAATTTTTTTTAATAAATTTAAGTTTATAAGTGTTCACAAAAAATATCCTAATATACCATAACATTATTATTTTTTRTGTCTTATAATGACATTACTTTAAAATATTTAACATTTTATGTAACATTAATTTTATATTTATTATTTTAAATAATATTTTTTAATAATAAAAAATAAATTATTACTATAATAAAAATGATAATTTTAATTTTTATCTATTGTGAACATTTCCATTCATACAGACCTTGTCTTAGTTTATATTGTATACCTGACCTACAGTACAGCCACATCTGTGTAGTTATAAAGTAGAAATTCATACAAATATAATACAAACCAATAATGYAGTTAATTCTGGTATCTTTGACAAACTCAGGACACAAAACAAATATTGATATCATATTTGTGTTATAGAAAAACATTATGAAATAAATGAAAATTTGTAYATAGAATAGGGTAGTTTTGAAACAGTGGTCATCTCGGGGAAAGTTGTTTAACACTTTTGTTAGTTGAAGTTTGACATCATATGTCGGGCGCCGGCTATAGTGATCACTCACTGCATTRTTATAGTAATAAAGTAGATTTAGATATTTGTTTCTGATCTCAAAGTTTATATACTGTAGGATCAGTACCCAAGCGTTTAGATAGTACACGGAAACTGTGGCGTGATGTCGGAATAGGATATCCACTACAAACAATTGAAACACTTTGTCGAGCATCTGATCCCAAATACAGGTAATTGTTCGCAATGTRTAAACCGTGATGACTGTCCACAGAAAAAATATGTATGAATACGAATTATGAGTATCAGAGACCAGTGAACGCCGTACCAGAAGCACATGGATCTCAGCGTAAATATCTAATAGTATATGTATTTTGCGTTTGAGGAACAGGTAGGAGACAATGGTAGACACCATAAATCCTGTGAACGTTAACTTCATTATAACCATCGGAACAGTATGTAGTAAATGAAGTGACAGTCCAATAGTTAATAACATAAATATGAATATTGATAGTGTTATACCAGTGAAGAAACTATTTAAAGCATTATTAGTTGGTCTCAAACCAAATGAGTGAAGTATTATATTAAATAATTTTTTATTCATATTTATTATGAAATTTTATTTTATTAATATAATTTAAGTTTTTTCATTGTTATTATAATATTTTAGTTGTAATTAGTTGTATTTTAGTATATCTTACTGTAGATAAATATTAAAATATTAGTATTATTACTAAAATAATAAAAAATTAAATTATTTTAAAATGTAAAATATATKTTTTATTACATTTYTAATTTTAATTAACTTTATATAAAATACTATATAATTTGAATTTAAATATAAAATATTAATGAAAACTTTTGAGTATAATTTTATAGACATAATACGGTAGTCTAAATAAAATTAAGATGAACTCTCAGAAACAGTCAATCAATTCTACTAATATATAATACCTGTTCTGTGATTTACGGCTCATACTCGAGATGCTCCACATATGTGTTATATATTGAAGATTCTGTATTCTGTTATAATTACTATAAGGAATATTTCAATGATAGTATGTTTGAGTGTATGTGTGTGTGTGTTGTGTGTGTGTATGTGTGTGTGTGTTGTGTKTTGTKTGTTGTGTGTTGTGGGTTGTGTGTTGTGTGTTGTGTGTTGTGTGTTGTGTGTTGTGTGTTGTGTGTTGTGTGTTGTGTGTTGTGTGTTGTGTGTTGTGTGTTGTGTGTTGTGTGTTGTGTGTTGTGTGTTGTGTGTTGTGTGTTGTGTGTTGTGTGTTGTGTGTTGTGTGTTGTGTGTTGTGTGTTGTGTGTTGTGTGTTGTGTGTTGTGTGTTGTGTGTTGTGTGTTGTGTGTTGTGTGTTGTGTGTTGTGTGTTGTGTGTGTTGTGTGTTGTGTGTTGTGTGTTGTGTGTTGTGTGTTGTGTGTTGTGTGTTGTGTGTTGTGTGTTGTGTGTTGTGTGTTGTGTTTTGTTTGTTGTGTGTGTGTGTATGTGTTTTGTTTGTTGTGTGTGTGTGTGTATGTGTGTTGTGTGTGTGTGTGTGTATGCGTGTGTTGTGTATGTATGTRTGTGTGTGTCGTTTAATATATTTAAATAAATAAGTAATAAATTTGTATAATTATTTTTACCAAAATTTTATCACTTGTTATTAAATTATTTTTGTATAAAATTCTAGTTATATGTGATAATATTTTATTCATTGTTTATTTATGTAATGCTATAAAACTTAATAGTTATAATAAATTATAGTATTTGTACTAATATTGTGTATATTTAAATACTGTAGTAAAATKACATTATTCTAATACCATATATCTTATTAAATCTAATTAATATCGTATATATCAATATATTATAAGTGTAAGTGAACTAAGTTTTAAGTTTTTATATACTATTATACTGTATAGTGTTTTGTTATGCAGATTTATTTCATAATAAAATAGTTAAATTAATCTAATTTTAAAATCAATAAAAATAATGTTGTTATTTAACTGTTTTACAAAWAAGAATATACAATAGTATAAATTTTTATTAATACATTAGTATTAAGTAATCATAATTTAGGATTTCGCATAAAAATCAATATTTCATTTGTTATAATATTTATGAAAAATATTTATATATTTTTATATAAAGTAATTTTCCAAATAATAGTTTGTGTTATAAATTAAGTCTATTCTTAAATAATGATTAATTAATTAGAGCACTCAAAATACAATTAGTCAGATATTTTTTGTATAATTTTTTTGTAGACAAGTTTTATGTGAATTTTTAAAAGAAGAATGAAATCAGAATTTATGTAAAAATTCAAATTKATTATATATTTTGACAGATTTTTATCATTATATATAATTAGTTTTTTTTAAATCTAGTAAATAGTCTTTAAAAAATAATTTTTAAAAATTCATCTAAAATTTGCTAAAACCACTCTGTTAAAAATATAACAAAAATAAAATAGTTATTTTTTACTTTAAACATTAAATTACATAATTTAGTTTTAGTGCATACTATAATATTTAGCAAGATTAATAGTAAATAAATAATAAAGATATTTTTTTACTTTATCGTAAATATAATAGTTATTGTTGTGAATTTTTAAAATAAATATATTATACACATATCATATCAATTTATATACAGTATATATATATATATATATATATATATATATATATATATATATAGTATAAATTCAAGGTTTCAAAGTTCAAAAATTAAATCAATTGCTATATTTATAATTATAATTTAAATAATTTATTAATATTTAGCCTGTACATTTTGTTTAAATGTCAATAATATAATAAATAAAATTTTTGCATTGATGTCATACAATTAATGTACACTTACTAATTGGGAATTTTTTATAACAAAATATATAAATATTAAAAAAATGCAACTTTTATTATATTTATTGTTAAAATATAAATTTTAAAAATAGCAAAAATATGACACTTATATTCATTGTAACTTATAAATAAAATAATATTTACAATATATTATAATATAATAATTATCGTGTTTATATAACTTTAGATTAAAATTTGTTATTTTAATATTATAATTGTTATTGTAATTTATATAAATAAAATATTTTATCATGAATATATTATTTTGTTTAAAGTGATAATTGTGATTAAAATAACATAATATATTAATCCATAATATTTTTAATGTTGTTATATTATTTATCAAAATGATAAATTGATATATCTTTACTGTAAATAAACGCATTATATTTAATGTTCATAAATTATATACTGTATTATATTAACTACAAATAATAGTTTAATAATACAATCTTAAAACATTCAGTATTATCAATATAGCGGTTTAGTATATTATACCCAGGGTTTTAAAAATGGCAGGCATAAACAGGCAATAATTTATACCTTATAATTGCAGAATGTTTTTTTAAATTAATTAATAAAGTAGTTTATATTATACAGAATATTATATAATATTTGTTAAACATATTTTTATTTAATAAGAATTTTTAAATAATTGATTGCATGTTTAGTTATTTGTTAAAATTATATAAACAAATTATTTATTCAATTGTATTTAATGTAAATCAACATTACTATTATAATATAATACAATATTATAGAAATTTAACATATAACTATAATATCATTAAATACTAAATCTTTATCAATATAAACCAGTTGAGAATGCTTCAAAAGCATTTCCATACGAACTCCTTAACTTAAAAAATCAAAAAAAAAATCAAAAAAAAATCAAAAAAAAATTTGTAGCAGAGCCTGGATTCGAACCACTGACCTATGTGGGACAGACAGACAGACAGACTTATAGAATGCATATACGGACTCCTTTCAGGAGTTCGTGAAAATTATATTTGTATTTCTTAATAATGTAAATTGATAATTGATATTTTTTAGTTTACAATTATTTATTAAATATTTATGTGCCATCATTTATAAACATTAAACAATTATAGATAAATTTTAAATACAATGACGTTAATTAGTCAATAGTAACCTTGGTTATGCTCTATAGGGATATACTGTATTTATGTTTATATTATAAAATTTTTAGTAGATATTTATGGTGAAATTATTCACTTTACATACTATTTATATTACTAATATAATATTTAGTCGTTTAGAAAAATTATTATTATTTTTATTATATTTGTTCAATGAGATATATCGTACAATATTTTTTTGATAATTTACATTGTTTTATAAAAGTATAAGCARGGTGCTTAGTAGATTAGGGGACAGGGATTTACTAACAAAAAGTTTTAATAATAATTATGTATATGTCTAAATTATACAAAACTAACAAAAACAATAAAAATTTAATTATAAATACAATTTTAACATTTTATACAGTAGACGATTTAATTAAAAATATTTAATTTATTTTAACATGAAATGTTGTATAAATCATATTATTTCAAGTATATCAACAAAATAAAAAATAAAAATTTTGAATAATTGTATTGTATTTTGAACTTTTGAAAAATAACAAAATTCATTTATTAATCACAATATAGAATCTATATATTATAGATAATTATAAATACARTCGATTAGTGCATTAATAGACTTTAAACATTGTTTTGTAAATTAATTACAATATTATTTTTATTATTATTTAAACTATTTATATTTAAAAAAATAAATATTTTAAACATAACTAATTTACATTTACGACACTGAATCTAAAATTTCAATTACAATGTCCTCTCCTCTCATCTCTCTCTCTCTCTCTCTCTCTCTCTCTTTCACACAAACATAAAACATATAAACTTCTGTCTCAATCAATAGTATATAAACCTTGAGCATCAATAAAGAAAACAAAATTACTATTTTTTAATAAGAAAAAGTGAATTTCGTTCAAAAAAAAGATTTTTAATAAAAATTTTTAAAAAGATTAAACTAAAAGCAATCAAAATAAACTTTCGAAAAGATTTAAAAAATCTTATACATTATATAAATAATTATTGTTATTATAATTAGAAAAAAGTGACAAAAWTTTTGAAAAACAATGTTTTCAACTTATAATAGATTGGATAATGATATTGTGGTCAGTGGTATGAGTGGCCGATATCCCGATTCCGATTCGACCGATGAGTTTGCTAATAATCTATACAATAGTGTTGATATGATTACCGCCGATGACAGACGTTGGCCGACAGACTTGTGGAATATGAATCCCCGAATGGGTAAACTTAAACACATCGATAAGTTTGACCACCAGTTCTTTGGTCTGACCAAAACTATGAGCGGAAGTACTGATCCACAGTCGAGGATTGCTGTGGAGACAGCATATGAAGCCATCATTGATGCTGGTATTGTCATAATTATTATAATCAATATTATTATTATTATAAAAATTATATTATAAATAAGTTATAATAACTTTTTCTAACTATTATTAATATTAATTAATAATAAAAAGTCTTTATTAAAAATTTCCTTATAATAGAAAATTATTATCAGTTTCTACATTAGAGTATGTTTTCAATACAATTTAAATAAAAATTTATATACTGTAATAAAATATTTTAAAAATMAAATATTTATTATTTAGGTATAAATCCACAATCACTTCGTGGCTCAAAYACTGGTGTTTATATCGGCTACTCGTCGTTCGGTATGCCCGACGGTCTRCCGGAAAACGTTCAGCCGGACTGCGAGGCAATTATGGCCAACACYTTACTATGGCTTCCCGGCGCTCAAAAGTGTTTGTACGCCAACCGTATATCATATGTGTTCGACTTTAAGGGTCCGTCGATGATCATCGACACGGCCTGTTCATCGAGTTTAGTGGCATTCAATACGGCTGTCAATGATTTGAGATTAGGTATGTCTAACAAAAATGCATTATATTATTAAMAATAATACTATTTATATTATTATTTATTTATTGATGACATAAGGAAAGTGCGATCAGGCTATTGTTGGCGGCACTCAGGTATGTTTGCAGCCATTTTCAAATCACATATTTCAATCATTGAGAATGAACGCACCGGACGGCATACCTAAGGTATGGGACGAAAAAGCTGACGGATTTGTTAGGGGAGAGACTGTCTGTTGCTTTTTCTTACAACGAAAGTCTGACTCAAAGCGCATTTATGCCACTATTTTGAACAGTGGTGTCAACATTGATGGCTATAAGAAGAGCGGTATGTTTTTTCCGTCATCCGAGAGTCAGGAAGAGCTCATGACTCGTGTCTACAAAGAGGCTAATATTAATCCATTGGATGTCAACTATTTTGAGGCGCACGCGACCGGCACTAAGGTTTGGATAAATGATRTTATTTATATAAGAAATAGTTGATATTAAAAAAATAGATTCAAAATTAAATATAATATATTATATAATAGGTCGGTGACCCTCAAGAAGCTCAGGCCATTTACAATGCCTACTGCGGTAAACCTAAACGAGAGGGAGTACTACCAGTTGGCTTATTAAAGAGCAATATCGGTCACGCGGAGGGCGCCTCMGGGGTTTCATCTGTTACCAAATTATTGCTCGCCTATGAAAATGAATGCATTGCTCCGAGTCTTCATTTGAATACAATTAAAGCTTCAATAAAGGAGTTGTGTCCACCATTACTACCGGTCACTGAAAATATGAAATACACACCGGGTTTGTATAGAATCTATATATTATTTTATATAAATTCATATGTGTTATGCAAAAAACAAATAAAAAATTTAAAAATATATAATATAGGCATTGCTGGTGTCAATAACTTTGGTGTGGGCGGTGTTAACGCAACAGTATTATTTGAGCCCAACTATAAAGTGGCCGATGAGGACAGTCTTAAGATTGCTGACACTATACCCAGAATTATCAACATATGCTGCAGAACTGAGACGACATTAAATGAATATTTCAAATGGATTGAAGACAACCCCCAGAAAGTCACCCGTGATTTGTTGGCACTGTTGACCGATATTATGCGAGTTGAACCAGATATTAATTCAACGGGATTTCCATATAGAGGTTTCATATTAATTAATATTACTGATAAAAAATTACTGTATTAGTGTTATGATAATTAATCCATGTCATTTATTAATTTCTCAATTATAGGCTCAATAATTATTAAGAAAACTTGTGATAATAAGTATGAMTATAAGAAACAGTGGTCACTGTTTACATTAAAATCAAAACGACCCATATATTTCCTATTTCCTGGACTGGGAGGTCAATGGGTAGGTATGGCTAAGGCATTGATGCCAATCAAGATATTTGCCGATAAAATAGAGGAATGCCATGAAATACTCAAACCCTATGACATTGACTTAAAACATCTGTTATTATCTGATGACAACAACTCTATGAACTCAATGACCAATAAATTCTGTGCCACAACTGCTATAGAGATTGCATTGTTTGATGTGATTAATGCTTTGGATATAACACCCGACGGTATTATTGGACACTCATTCGGTGAAATAGCCGCTGCCTATGCTGACGGAGCACTGACTGCTAAAGAGGCACTTTTGGTAACATATTATAGAGGAGTTGTGACAGAAAGTGATAAAAAGATACCAAAGGGACTGATGGCTGTGGTAGGGATGTCATGGAGTGAGGCAAAGAAAATCTGTCCGAAAGGCGTGTCTGTTGTGTGTAACAATGGTAAAGACACTGTTGTCATATCAGGTATAACTGTATTTTTAATAATTGAAAAAACCATAAATTTTGTAGAATATAAAAAACTAAATAATAAATTTATTTGTATAATATTTTAAGGTTTATACAAAGAGACGAAACAAGTTGTCGACAATTTGGCTAAAAARGCAGTATTTGTACGTGAATTGCAAAGTCATGACATCCCATATCATAGCGAATATCTTAAGTCATCAGCCGATAGACTAACTCAACAACTAAGGAAAGTGGTTCCCAATCCTAAACCGCGATCAAAAAAGTGGATCTCAACAGCACTTCTTGACTCTGATCTCGATGACGCACTTAAGAGTGCTTCGGCCGAGTATTTCGTTCATAACCTCATTAGTCCCGTATATTTCTATAATAAATTCAAGAATATTCCCTCCGATGCTATTGTTCTGGAGATCGGACCGCACGGACTCTTCTCCAAAGCAGTTAAAGAAACTCTTGAATCGGGAACTTATGTATCACTTATGAGAAAAGACTCCAACGATACAAATCTCGATATGTTATTGACATCTTTAGCAAAACTTTATGAATTGGGTTTTAATACAAAGATTGAATCTCTTTACCCGAAAGTTGAGTGGCCAGTGGCCCGAAACACACAATCTATCAGTTCATTGATGAAATGGGATCATACGTACAGTCATGAAGTGAGATTATGTCCCGACTATTTCTTTAAGTCGACCGCTGCGGACATGAATTTTATATATAATCCGCAACAAAATTTACAAAACTTTTATCCGGATCATTGCATTGATGGCAATGTATTATTTCCGGCAACTGGTTATCTAATGCTAGCGTGGCGTCGTATGGCCGCACAGTTTGGCAAATTATGGAACCAATTGCCGGTCATCTTCGAGGACGTCCAGTTTCGGCGACCAATTTTCTTGGCTGACACTGAAACCACAAAAATTATTATTCAATATTTTGAAAAAACTGGTAAATATTATATAAAATATTGCTTAAACACTTAAATACTATGATTATTGTAATTAATAGTAGATATATAAATCTTTATCTATTAATAAAGTCTATTTCAATGTTTCTCTCAGTTATATATAAAAAACAAATAATAAATTAATTCTTTATTTTTATAGATGAGTTCGTTATCTTAGAGAGTGGTAACACGTGTTGTGTGGGAAAAATTCGCACTTCAGATGAATACTCGTTGAGTCTGCAAAATGTGTTGATTGAGGCCGAAGAGGTCAGGGATAAGGAGTTTGCGGTTACACTCACTGCTAATGACATCTATAAAGATATGAAAGTCTTGGCCTACGATTACAAACCAAAGTTTAGAAGAATTCAAAAAATGAAAACCAATAACTTTGAACACATCTATGGAGAGATCAGTTGGGATGGAAATTGGATTACATTTATGGACTCATTGTTTCAAACTATGGCTGCCGCCAACTCTTTCCGCAAAATGATGGTTCCGGTGATGATTAAGTCATTGCGTTGCGATCCTAAAGCACTTTTTGATGGTGTGGCTAAACATAGACAACAATTAGTCAAAGAAAATGCCAATATTGAAGAACAGATGACTGAAACAAATCTCGATAATGTCTTAGAAAATGAGATAAATGCAGACAAAGTGGAGGTCGAGGGTCTACTCAATACTGATCACACCGACTATATGGAAGAGTATTTAGGAAAAGACTATCATATCTATCCATCAATTGTTCCATATTATGTCGATTTAACCACAAGAATGGTTGTCACATATGGCGTAGAAATTGAAGAACTGATGGCTCTTCCTATTCCTCATAGATCTCAAACACAAGACATTAAATTAGAGTCCTATCAATTCGTGCCAAATGATAATAACATTGCCATCGATGAGAGTGATAAACAATCTGTTAGAGAGTATATTAAAGTTTGTTCATCACTTGCCAACCAAATTAAGCAAACAATCGGATCTAATAATGAAAAACAAGAAACAAATATAAATAAGGATTTGTTAGATAAGTATTTATCAAATATGAAAGACAATCATATTATGCTTAAAACACTCAACGAGTTATATAAGGGATGTTTGGATGAAAATTGTAATATCGATACAAATGAAGTGTTAACTGAATTGCAAAACAATAAAGAATACGACATGTCTTTGGATGTCATCAATGATATCTCGAAGAATGAACATTTGATTCGTGCTTTTGTTGATATTGTCAGTGAAAGTATTGTACCGAARAAAGAGATAAATGTCGTGGAAATAAATTTATCACGAAATTTATTGGTTGAAAAAATCGACAACCAATTGGCCACTTCTCATATTTATCCCATTGATGTCAACTATACAGTCGCTGTTCAATCAGCAGACAATATAAGTGAAGAACTTAAGAAAGAGTGTGCAATGAAAGTGATTGATTGGAATTACAAGAAATCAGTGTTTCCTCGAGAGATCAGTTCAACCAATTTGATTGTCTTCAATGATTCACTAGAGTTATGGGAAATAGACTGCGAAAATCAGATTCAAGATATGTATGATGTTATCACTGATAAAGGTTTCCTATTGTGTGTCTTTAAGTATCAATTCACTGAACCGGAACTGATCTTAAAGCAAATTAATGGTAAGAAAATGTTACAAAATATCGATTTAGAAAAACGTATCAATGATTTCATTAAAATCGCTCAATCGGTTGGTTTCAATATAATTGGTCGCAAATGCGATACAATTGGATCAATGGCTGTGTTGTTTAGAAAATTATTTAATGAACCAAAAGTTCCCAAAAATGATTTTATTATTGAAATCAATTCAAATACAGAGAAGTGGTTTGAAAATCTAAAAACAAAATTAGTTGAAATCAAAGAAAGTGAATCAAATGACGATAACCTTTGGCTAATAGCCAGCAAATCGCCAAACAATGGTATCGTTGGTCTCGTTAATTGTCTTCGTCTGGAACCGGGAGGTGATAGGCTTCGATGTCTTTTTGATTACAACCATTTGGCCAATTCTGTCAACTTTCAAGAGAAMCCGTTTTCTGATATTTTATCAAATGATTTGCCAATAAATGTGCTAAAACACGGAAAGGTTGGCACTTATAGACACTTGAATTTCAATAAAGACAACGGAAAAGTAGTATCCAATGAGTATTACTTAAATGTGGCACAAAATCGTGATTTGGGATCAATTCAATTGTATGACATGAAACAGTTGGTCGCACCCAAAGTCAGCTACAATATAATGAACAACTCACTGACAAATGTTTGCTGTAATATTTATARCACTGGTATGAACTTCAGGGATGTTATGGTCGCTACAGGTATRATACAAATACATATTAATACTATATTGTGTATAAAACTCCTTATAAATKATTTTWAAAAATAATTTTAATAACTACTGAAACTTATAATTCATAGGACGGGTATCTTCTGGACCGCAGATGTTGTTCACTGATTGTTGCATTGGATTGGAGTTTGCCGGCCGTCGTGTGGACACTGGAGAAAGGGTTTGTGGTGTTTCCACTCGTTGTTTTGCCACATCTATCGATATCGCCGAAGATTATATAACTCGTATCCCTGACCACTGGTCAATGGATGACGCGGCAACCATTTTGTCCACATACAGCACATTATGGTACGGACTCATTGAAAGAGCTAATTTGAAGAAAGGAGAGTCCGTTTTGATACATTCAGGTGCTGGAGGTGTGGGACAGTCGGCAATTAGTATCTGTCAATACTATGGCTGCGATATATTTGTTACGGTTGGAACTGACGACAAACGAAAGTTTTTGATTGAAACGTTTAATATACCGGAAAACAGAATATTCAGTTCAAGAAATACTCAATTTAAGTACAAAATCAAAGAATTGACAAAAGGAAAGGGAGTAAACATTGTCATCAACTCATTGACTGGCGATAAATTGGAGGCCAGCTATGACTGTGTCGCCGATAGCGGAAGATTCATAGAGATAGGCAAATATGATCTTCAAATGAATAAACAATTGGGAATGTTTTCATTTCTAAGAGATATATCATTTATTGGTGTATCCATTGATAGACCAATGTTTACACAACACGGCTTTTTGAAGATGTTTTTTGATTGGTTGCACCAAAACGCCAACAATGGTATGATAAGACCCGTCACTAAAAACATTTTTTCGATAGAAGAGGCAGAAAAGGCATTCCGTTTTATGACTACAGGTAAACATATGGGAAAAATAATTATTAAGATTAGAGACGAAGAAAACAACTTAATTGTGAAAGAAGGATACAATCTTCCGAAGAGTCTATTGGTTACGAAAAAGACTTATTTTAATCCAAACAAAACTTATATCATTACCGGAGGTTTGGGTGGCTTTGGTCTTGAGTTAGTTCATTGGATGTTGTTTTTAGGCGCTCACAAGTTTGTATTGACATCAAGATATGGCGTCAAAACTGATTACCAAAAGTTTGTTTTGGAAAGACTGAAAGCATTAGGAAATCAGTTTAAATTATTTGATACACAGATTGTTGTGTCAACTCATGACACTAATACTATTGAAGGCACTAAACAATTGATAGATGAATCACAAAAATTGGGACCAATTGGCGGTGTCTTTCACTTATCTCTCGTACTCAACGACTGTCTTCTCGAAAACCATACTTTTGATAAATTTCAGGAAACTATTGATTCCAAGACTAAGGCTTTTGAGAACTTGGATCGCATTTCACGTGAATTGAGTATAGATTTAGACTATTTTGTTGTCTTCTCATCCGTCGCTTGTGGTAAAGGAAATGCCGGACAATCCAACTATGGATACGCAAACTCTGTCTGTGAGCGTATCTGCGAGTCTCGACGTAGAGATGGACTGCACGGTCTGGCCATTCAATGGGGACCTATCGGTGATGTCGGTGTGTTGGCTGACTCTGATATCAACACTACTTTGGCTGCTGTCGTCAAACAGAGATTGTATTCCTGTATGGAAACTATGGATAAGTTGCTTCAATCAGATAGAGCTGTAGTCTCATGTCTAGTATGTTATCATTATTTTTAATTACTATAATTTTTWWAATTACATTATATTTATTAAATAATTGAATACATTTAAGGTGAGAGCCAAGAGAACCATAACATCGGGAAGTAAAGAATCAAAACTTGTTCAACAAGTTTGGATAGCTTTAGGTATCGATCCCAAGACTACTCCCAATCACTTGACATTAGGTGAGATCGGTATGGAGTCTATGTTTGCAGTGGAACTACAACAGGGAATGGAAAGAGAGTATAATATAAAAGTCACTTTGAATGACATCAAGAATATCACAATAGGAATGATGAAAGAGTTTGAAAACGGAAAGGTAGACGAAATGAAAAGTTTTGCCGAAGACCTGAAAAAATGTAGAGAAAGATTAACTAAAACCAAGTTTATTATACCTACCGATTCCTATACTCGACTTAATAATGTCATGACTGGCAAACCCATCTACTTCTTGCCCACACTCGAAGGTATATTTTCTTCACTTCAACCATTGGCTGATAAACTCAATCGACCGGTCATTGGACTCAATTGGACTAAAGAAATGAATAGTTTGAATGATATGAAAGAGATAAACAATTATTACATGAATATTATGAACACACTCGAGCCTAAAGGCAATTATGATATATTTGGTTACTTATACGGAGCACTTATAGCCGTAAAAATGATACGAAAAGCATCGATACGTAAGGCTGTTATACTCGACACGATGTCCAACCTTAACATCACTGATGAGATGCTAAACGAAGACTTCTTGTTGGATATGATCGTAACAATGATGACTAAAGACATGCCGGCTGTTGTTAAGTTGAAAATCATGAGAGATATGTCTACTAAACCAGACTTGCCATCAAAGTTGGAACAAATATCGTCGTCTATTAAAGAGTTTTGTGGTAAAAGTCTTGTTAGTCGAGACTTGGATGAGATTTTGTTGACGTCATACAAACGCGCAAAACTATATCAAACACACCGATTGAATATGAAAAACAAAATCAAAAAATTAAAGTTTAATATCGGATCAAAGTTTATGAAAATAACGGGAAAAGTTTTGCTCATTAAAATGTTTGATAACTCGTTGGACAACACAAATGATGAAACAATGGATCAAATAGAAAACACACACTTTTTACCAGAAAATGTATTTAAAAAATTATTTTAATAATTCTTGTACTAATTTTTGTTGTTATCAATGTTTAACAAATTTTTTTGTTTTATTATAGGATACCAATGATAATATCAATATCAAGACAATAGACTACAAAGAAACCATTGATAATGACTGGGCAACTGATAAAATATGGCCGAAACTATCAACACATACCTGTCCAAAAAGTAGTTATCACACCTACTGTATACATACATTATAGCCGTTTAATACATTATTATAGTTTTATTTGACTACAAATATATTCAGTTATTATATGTACTGTATTTGTATTAACATTAAACGTGAGCTTAAATTTTTAAAAATTATTTTGTTTACATACAAAATTTAAATAAATTTATTTTTGTTATAAAATTGATCTGTTTCAATTATATTTTTATATCATATTAATTTTTAATTAAAAATAATTATATATTAAAAGTTTGTATAATGACTCAACTAATTATTAATAATATAAAAAGTCTTTCTATATCTATGATTAAAATATAGTATTTATTACTTTGTAATTTCAGCTCAAATATTAAATAATTCATAATTATTAATGTTTTTTGATAATTACTATTAGTATTAATATTTGAATACTGTATAAAAAACTTATGAATCATATTGTTTGTACTTTTTTTTATTTGTTATTATATTAAATTGTTATAATTATAAAACAAATTAAATATACAATTATATGAATATATATATTTAAAACAAATCGTGTTTAATTACAATAAACATCATATATATAAATTTATATAAAAAAAGTTAGTTTTAAAATTACCAATAATTACAAACGATAATGATTTTCAATTTTAGTTGTGTATTATTTCTAAATTTATTATACGGCATTAAAAAAATTGCATTAAAACAGTGCCAAATGATATCAGCAATATTTCTAACAACTATAATAATTGACTCGTTGTTATTGCTTTTATTAGTCTTTAATGCAGAATATTAAATAATAATAATAATAATAATTAATTAGTAAAATAGTAAAAAGTGAAACAAAAAATATGTCAAAATTAATTTTGGTGACGGGAGGGGCCGGTTATGTGGGCTCACACTGTGTACTGGAGTTTCTAAATAAGGAATACAATGTCATAGTAATTGACAATTTAGTTAACTCTACAATTATTAATGGCAATGGACTACCAGAAAGTTTAATTCGTGTCCAACATTTGACGGGAAAAAAGTTAAAACAATTTATTGATGGAGACCTTCGGGACAGTGAGYTATTGGACTCTATATTTTCAAACAACAACATCGATGTTGTCATACATTTTGCTGGACTCAAGGCTGTCGGCGAATCTATAGCCAAACCATTACTCTATTACGACAACAATATTACCGGAACTATCAATTTGTTAAAAGTTATTTATTTATGATAATAATAAATACATATTATAAATATAATTTTTTAAAAACAGTTACATAATTTATATAATTTATTATAAAAATGATATTATCCTTTAATACAGTCAATGGAAAAGTTTAAAGTTAACAAATTGGTGTTTTCTTCGTCCAGCACTGTCTACGGCGAACCGGAAGAGTTGCCGATCACTGAACACTTCCCGACCGGCCAGAACTGTACCAATCCGTACGGCCGAACCAAATATATGTTGGAAGAGATAATGAAAGATCTGTGTGTGGCSTCGCCTGACTGGTCAATCATGTCGTTACGTTATTTCAATCCGGTCGGCGCCCATTTTTCCGCCGATATCGGCGAACAACCTAATGGTGAGCCAAAAAATTTGATGCCTTATATTACTCAAGTGGCAGTCGGTGTAAGAAAAGAGCTGAAAGTGTTTGGCAATGACTATAAAACAAGTGACGGCACCTGTATTCGCGACTATTTGCATATCGAGGATCTGGCGGTCGGACATCTTAAGGCAATTGATAAGATTTATAATAATAATTTTCCCGGTTTTCATGCAATCAATTTGGGCACTGGAAGGGGTTATACAGTTTTGGAGGTATATTATTAATTATATATTTTTAAACATAACGTATTATTAAATAAAAAAATATGCCGTGTTATAAAATACTTTAATTATTATATTTGAATAATTTATATAAATTGTAAAATAGTAATTATTACATAAATCATTAAATCTACTGTTTATTTTACAATAAGGTTATCCAAGCCTTTAAAATGGCCACTGGAGTAAAGATTGCCTACAAAATAGTCGATCGTCGTCCAGGAGATGCCTGTGCCGTCTACGCGGACGCCCGGTTAGCACATGAGGTAATCGGCTGGAAAGCCACGCGCGGACTACAAGACATGTGTTCATCGGCCTGGAAATGGCAACAGAAAAATCCCAATGGATATCGATCTAAAGTTAAATGATCATCAATTTATTTATTTATTTATTTAATTAATTACAACTTAATATTATTATATTATCATTTAATTAATTAATTTTTTTTAGATAKAATCATATTTTTCCAATTTTGTTTTCTAAATTATGAATTGATTWWTWATAATAATAATATGCTAATTTTATATATTAGTTAATTGTTATTTAGTATTTTTTATGTTAACTTTTTTTACATGTTTTTTTTTATTCAATTGCAGTTAATATAAGAGATTTTAAGTTTCAATAATAATGTTGAATAATAATAAATAATGTATAATATGATACAATTTAATTAAGAAAATGTAATCGAAACTTAAAAAATGTTTTTGTAATAAACTAAACTATGKATTTCCAATTTGAATATAAATTTTATTGATCTATTTATCACTTTTTTAATGTTTATCAAAACAATATTAGCAATTATAATTTTGTAAATTAATTGCAATTAGTAATAAAAAATATTTAATCAAAAAATATATATCTGTGGTATATGAATAAAAAAAATATATTAAGATATYTAAGCACTTAGATTAATTACATTAAATATTATTTAAAAAAATTATAGTAACTTTTTTTGAGTTAACTAATTTATATGATTACTATTAACAATAGTCTATTATTATATTTACAATATATTCTATTAATAATATCTAATTTACATTTAATTAATATTTAATAGATGTTACACTACTTGAGTGCAAATGTAAATTACTAAATATTATTTAATAATTTATTTTGATATTTATTATAGACTCACTACTGTACCCGATTGTTTTGCAATTGATAATAACAATATAAAAAATAGGACATGGATGGTTTTGTACCAAAAACGGCCAATTTTGAATGTCGATTTGATATGTTAAATGATGATAAAGTGGGCAGGGTACAAAAGTTTCATTATGACTTTCCATTAGTAGGCAATTTTACATTTACCTGGCAATTGGCGGTAAGTCTATGTATTTTTTTTGATAGCTAGTAATCTATTAATATTAATGTGAATTAAAATTAACAAAACAATTGATTACTATTCATCTATTGTCTAGTTGTCTAATATGAATATGCATGTACTGTGTTGTCATCATTTATTTTTGATAAGAGAGTTAGTTAGACGAACTAAATATGGGTAGATATACATTGAATTGAATWAAATAATATATTAGAAAACTTAAATAATTAATATACAATTGTACCCAATATCAGTGCCATACCGGTGCCAATCAATGATACTAATTATTTGAGACTGCCCGATTCAAATGCAATATTTGCACCTCAACTATCATATATTAAAGATAATGTATGTTGAGTTAAAATTATTATTTTTTATTTTCCTAATTTATAATTATAATCTAAATTTGATTAAATTAGCAAGTTGATATTTGTGTGGACACATTTCAAATAGACGATCAATTTCTATTGTTTTTGGATCCATTTGGTTCACAAATTAGTGCCGCATTGGCTATTATGGGCGGATATTATCTAAACATTAAGTCAAATCCATTACACGGTGTTAGCAATATATTTCATTATGAGGTTAATTAATTAATTAAGTATAATTATTTTGCAATTATTGTATTTATATTAAATTAATTTGTTTGTAAAAACAAATCAGATATGGATTTCAATGTTATTGACAGCACTTTTAGCTGTAATAGTGCTAACTTTTATTTGCTATATAAATGCAGATTTACTTTATAATATGTAAGTAAAGCATAAAATATTAAAATTAATAATTTACTAATATTTACTAATAATAGTTTATTATATTTATTATTATAGTAGACATTCATTATTAGATATATTAGGGCAACAACTTTGGTGTGTATTACACGCAATGTTTATGCATTGTATGTAAAAAAAAATTATTTATTTAAAATTATTTTTTAAAGACATTATATAATTAATTATGTATTTCTTATTAACTATCATTTCTTAAAGCATATCATTTCAAACATTTATGGCGACTCGACTATACAATAATTATAAGCACTTTATTATTAGTTAAAGTTTTTATTTTGATATTTTTTTCATCAGAAATCTTGTCGATCACTATTGATAACTCTTATTCGGTGATCGATACCATTGATGATCTGACTGTGCGATCAAACTTACAATCAGAGATATTTATGAACAGAGATCAGATGGCAGACCTACAGGTTCTCACAAATAGATATTTAATATAATATTTAATATAAATTATTTTTGTTTTTTTAAATACAGAAAGACAAACAATTAAAAGATACCATCAATAAAGTCGATGAAAGCTATTATTTGGGAAATGATTTCAAAGAGCTATTTGAAAGCATCAATGAATTAATTCTTAATATAACTACATATAAAACTCATGTATTATTGGCGGCGCCGACGGCTCTTAAAAATATTGTTGATTTGAATCGACAACTGTATGGAAAAGTCACACATATATCACAAAATACATATAACTATAAAGTTACCGGTTTTGTTGTCAACAAAAATGTCGACCAATTTGTGGGAAATCAGTTTCGAAAGCTGTAAAAATAATTTTAAAATATTAAATATATTTACACTTTTAGATTTTCAATTATAATTAATAGACAGGTATTCTGTTTTTTTTAATAATTTTTGTTTACAATTACAGTATAATGGACTGTCGTGAAACCGGTCTATTGGGTAAATGGATAGACTCTGGACTACAGCAGGCATACAATGCTTTTGCCGATAAATATTTGCAAATATCTGCATTCAAAGTAGTCGACGATTTAGTGATGATTTTGGATGATATCAAAGTAGCTATGGGTCCATATATTGCCGGTCTTGTCATAGCTATCGGTGTATTACTCGTTGAAAATATCAATATTAACACTAATAATAGTAGTATTAATACTAGTAATAGTAGTCATATAAATAATGTAAAGTTTAACAATAATAATATTAATAATAATGAGAAAATTTTTAATAAATATTCCAATAATTTAAACATACAGTTAATGTCTAGTAGATCACAATTAAATAGCATATATGATAAGTATCCATATATTTATCAACATATAAAATAGTAAATGAAATTTACTAATAAATAAATACTAATATATAGTATTATTATTGAAAATTATATTATATAATAGTTTTATTCATCTGTAAAAATATATTAAAACAATATTAAAATACATGTAAAAAGATTATACCAATATTTAGTCTAAAATTCTAAAAACTGTCTAAATTTATTTTTAAATTTTAATCTAATGTAAAACATTAGAATTTTGTTACAATTTATATGTAAACTAATTTTTTAAGATTTAATAAATTAAACACTTTATTCTGATTTTAGTGATTTCACTTAATCAAAGGGTTGACCAAAAAATATGTATTTGAAAGACAATAAATGTAAAGAAAGAGAAATATTTACTAAATTATTGCTTTTAGTGAATGAAATATTCTTAAATTTAAAGTTAATTCAAAAAATAATTTATATTATAGTATTTACATATAAATAATGTACATATAAAACATGTATCATATCTTAATAAATTATAAAATAATTAATTTTTCAATATTATTTTAATAATAATTTTATTTTATTATTAGTTTATTCTATTGGTTAAATAAAATACATTATATTTTTTATACAATTTTAATGATTTATAAATTTAATAAATTTTATTTGTTTATCAGTTTTCTTTAATGTATTAAAGTTTAATGATTAAACATACAGTAATGCTAAACATATTGAAAATCACTAATAGTTTATTGAAAAAATGAAATAAACAATAGACATAATAATAAAAAAATAAACAAGTAATTAATTAAATTGTATTATTTGAAATATTTAACTTGTTTAATCTAAAAAAACAATAAAAATTCACTTAAATATATTAAATTATATATTATGAATAAACTTTTCCATTGTTTTTATTATAATCAAATGTAAATTATTTGACATTGAAATATGTTAAATCTATACTAATTAGTATAATTTATTGATWTATTGACTATTTATTGTTTTCAATTTACTATARATTATATTGAAAATAAATGTAATGATGGATGGGTTTATGCCAAAAAAAGCAAATTTTGACTGTAAATTAACATTATTTAATGAAGATTGGAGTGGTATTATGCAAACGTTTGGTTATGATAAGCAACTAATCGGTAACTTTACATTTACATGGGAGTTGTCGGTAAAAACTATCAAATATTTATATAAATAATAAAAATTATTAAAAAAWATTTTCTTATTATGTCATATAATAACAGTTAGATGATGTTGAAACTAAGGCATTGTGTGCACACTTTTATTTTTTAGCCAAAGAAATGGTCAAAAGGACAAAATTGGGGTAAATTTTAAAAAATCAATATTAAATAAATTATAATTAATTAATTTATTTTTAATATTAATCTTTAGTGCAATTCCTGTATTAGTTAACAGTTCAAGATATTTAGAAATTAATAATGAAACATTTGATCAACAATTATATTATATAAAAAATAATGTTTGTTTTAATACTACAATACTGTATTAATATTAATTTATAATCTAAAATATTATATATATATACAAATGAACAGTTGGCTGATTTAAGTTTAAGTAACTTTGTGATGGAGGACTCATTGGTACCTTATTTTGATTTATTAAAAGCTGATATTGAATCAATGTTTAGCATTTTGGGCGGTTATTACCCAAATGTTAAGGAATCGCCATTGTTTGGCATAATTAGTATTTTTTATGTTGAGGTACTTTGAAAACAATAAAAYAAGAATATTAATAATGAGATTTTATAATAATTTTATGTTTAATATGATTAATAAAAATATTTATTTAAAAAAATATTATAGATATGGATATTAATTTTTRTCTCAYTACTGGTCTCGACTACRAYAYTAACAATAATTGTGATCACAATTTTGAAAAGAGATARTAAAATGAGAAATCAATTAAATGAAACAAATAATTATAACACAACTGTTTTATTTGGATATGAATTGTGGAGCGCTTGGAATGCATTGATTATGCAAT